TTAGTTCCCTATGCCCCCCAAAAGATGCTTTAATGATAGACAGGGATAGAAAAACGGGTTCAAAATCTACAAAATATTCGGACCGGCTCAAAGCCCAGCTTAACCGGAGCAGGGCCCTGGGTCTGACTAGAATCGCGGGGCCGCTAACGCGACGAACAGATTTTATGTCCTTTTGAAGGCACGCATGCGTAACATACAATTAAACGGTTTGCAATACCGTGAAACTATCATCTGGAATTTGAATTTTTTCTCTTTTTGCCATGACCCCCCCCCCCTTAAACCGCCGGGCCCTGGGCTTTGGATCGGCCTCATGGCTTACAGCGCTCCCCAGACCCCGTCAGGTGGTTTACTCGTGACCTTCCGTTCAGAGTAGTTTGTTTGGCGGTTCTTGGGGTAACTAAACCCCCTATTTACGAGGGGGTGGGGGCTTATTAAATCTGGCCCGCTTGCTACGACCGTCCGACAATTCCCGCTATACGAGTGTATAGCATATCCCGAACGACGGATTTATAGTAACTTGTACAACGTATAAAAGTCATGACTGGTCATAGAACGTGCTTTTATTGACAGAAGTACTTTATTTTAATTATTTCCTCATAGATTACGTGGACATTTTTATCTTTAGTGTTGGTTGGATTTCGAATACAAAAGTTGTGCACTGTACAAAAGAGAGTGTTAAATTTCACATTTAAGGGAACTAAACCAATTTGATATAGGTCAAAATAGAACATTGAAATTGGGGTGATCTGGTGGTCTTTTTTAAATAGTGATAGGGCAAACTGCATACGATTAAAGGTTTCTTTCCAAAAATTAAGTGTAGGTCGTTGAGTTGAAAATCTGTAAATTACTGGAATTGATAGTTTTAAAAGTTTAAGACCTTGAATTGTAAAATTTACTTAGTTCTTTTTACATTGTTAATATGGGGAATTCGCTCATTGTTTTGAATATACAACTGGGCGTAACGTAAAAAAAACGGTATAAATTTAGTTGGCGTTGTGTTTTAACGGATCTTAAGCTAAATCTCTATGTCAACACGCGAGGCCGATATTCCGTGGGCTGACTTTGTGAATTAATAAAATGTCTGAGTTGACTTAAAGGTTAGACTATACAAATATCACACTCTTGTCTTGATAATAATAACGACAATGGTCACCTGTTTTAATTTAAAATAATTTGTAAAATTCCACACAGTGTAAGTTAGTAAACTTGGTTAATGAAAATTCATTTGAGGGTCCAAGTGCAAAATATGGGCCGAAACGTCCAATATAATATGGCATTATTTTCTCCACCGTATACCGTACGTTAGTTTCAATGTGACCACGACAAATAAAAGATTATGGAGTAAGCATTGTGTCAATGTTTTAAAAAGGGAAATTAAATGGCATGTTGACATGTGAAGTATAACGGATATTGTAAGGTTAAACATCATTGCAAAGTTAAATGTCAGTAATAATGTAATTTATTAAATTTTAACCGTTGACTCTTATCTTTTGAAGTCATTAAACTGGATTGAAATGCTTGCTAGACTTTGTAGGTCTTTCTATTATCCATGAAATTAGTGAAATCAATCAATTTAGAAACAACGAGGTTATCATCCACGTTTCTCCTGAAGATCGCTTGGCATTTCCAGGGTTGCATTATATATTTTTAATTGGTATAGAAAAGAGACTTCTTGCTCAATTCAGAAGTAATGCTAAAACGCAGAACATACTGAAATTATTTTAATAATTGTAGGCCTATATTGCATTCAAAATTTGCTTCTTTTAAAGCACACAGAATAAATAATATAACAATATTAATTATAAAGAATATTATAGTTTCGATGCCGATCTACGTTCACGGCCCGGGTGCACTTTAATATAAAACAGACATGTTCCATCAACATCTTTTGTTTTAATCAACATAATTATAAGGCTTTTGTTGTAAATGTAATCAACACATATTTTTATATTATCTTGCTTCATACTTTAATACATTATTGAATAATACAACATATCGATTAACACAGAAAAACATACATCTACCATTATAACGAAAAATGATACCGACGTTCTTCATCGTGTAAGATAACGGATGATGGTTTTGTTAATATCGACTGTTGATATTTTTGCTGGTTCTGTTTCTGTTGGGCTATTTAGAGTGAGCTTTCCCCTTTCATAAATTTTGTAGAAATATACATTTTAGTGAGTAACAGAGTGGGCTTTCCTCTTTCATAAATTTTGTAGAAATAAGCGACATTTTAGTGAGTAACAGTACATTATGCAACAAGAAGGGGGGGGGATCTTACAAAGTATTGTCCTGATAGACATTGATTATACACCCAAAATCCGCATGTATCTATATCTGTCTGTTTAGAAAACATTTGAATGAAATGAAAAATGTTTGCTAAATTTTAATAGGTTTTAAAATGCTAAGATTATATTATTCAGAGCTTGTTAATGGACCGTCTTTATACAATCTGTGTTAAGAATTTCTCATAATTTTATCTAAAGATAACTTTTTGTTAAATTTTCATTATAGTTTCTTATCGCGGTGAGCATCGACTCACATGACAAGACAGCAAACAAATATTATAAAATGTAAGGTAACTTAGTTTGAAGGACTTAATATTGTATATTGTGTGATGTGGTCCGCAGCGAAGCCCTGTGGTTTGTTTATGTGAAAGCTAAGGCAATTAAAAGCGGCTTTACTGTTAGAAAAAAAGCCGGCAGATCATTTTGATGACCAAGCCATCTTAGGTGTAGGAGTACACTGTGACAGTAACCCATACCTTGTAATAAAGTATGGATTGAACGCTTTTATACGTTAAAACAGGACATATTTTGTTTCCACATGGACGACTATTTGGTGATAAGATCCCCAATAACAACACATCCCAGTAAGTTCCATGAATCTCATGATAAGGTATTCTGACGTAAGATTTCTGATAGTTCCATGCAACGGGACGGTTTCTAATAATTCTATATAATTATTGTTACGGTTTCTGATAGTTATATATTAAAAAAGCATCTGATATTTATATAGTAGTAAATTATCTGATGGTGAAATCTGGTAATTATAAGGGTTCGGATAGTGTTATGTGGTAATTGTATGTAATAATAAGGGTTCTGGGAGTGATAACTGATAGTTAGTTGTATGTAGTAATAAAGTAATAAGATTTCGAGACGATATTTCTGATCATACCATTATCGTGATTAGATCTCTATTATAGGTCAAATTATATACGAGGACTGGCTGAAACGTTCTAAGCCTAAAAAGGAAAGAGCAATTGAGTTGAAACAAACTTTTGCCACCAACAACTACAACCATTGAATGAATTATGGACATAAGAACTGCAACTGTAGTGTTATTATTGTCTTCAGACCAGACCATCTTGAAGCAGATATTGATAATTTTTTGGCCCCATTTCGCTCCGTCAGACTTCCGCCTGTTTCCAAAATTGAAAAAAGAACTAGCAGGTCGTCATTTTCCTAGTAATGATGACATCATGTCAGCTGTAAAGGACCTTTTTTATGATGGTTGAAGAAAATTTCTTCATGACCGGCATCCAGGCCTTGCAACATCGTAGGCAATAGTGTGTACACCTCGAAGGGGACTATGTAGAAGAATAAATGGAAACCATCCACTTTGTACAGGTCTTTCACAGATAGACTTAGAACTTTTAGTTTCTGATAATGTTAAGTCGTGATAAGGTTTCTGATAGTTTAATGGCATGATATCATCTCGTGGACGGCGCAGTTTCTTCACATTTATATACAATAAGAGGTTTTTGGATCGATTTGGTGTTAATTACCTACAACTGTAAGACTTGTAAGCTTTATCGTAAACAAGTGTATTTATACACGGAAGTATAAGCTACTGAATATTGTAACTATATAGGGTCATATACTTTTACCTGTTTACATTATGTGGTCTGTGCAAACACAGGTATATAAGAGAATATATGATAACAATAGAATGTAAGTTTTATATATATGATATATAGCTAGGTTAGGTTAGTGTGACCAAATAGGTGTAAAAATATTAATGTACACGAACACATACTAACATTAATATACATATTGCCTTATACGCCAGCTTGTTTTTATTCTCTGACTAAATTAAATAACTTATGTGTGTTATTTTTCAACTACCACCTTGCTAAGTTACACCCATTTATAATGTTGCCCACTTTTCATTTATTTGAGAAAAATAGACCACATGGGCTCCAGAATGTCACTCCCACGTTCAACGTGACATAACAGTCAGACAAAAACAACTCAGTGATAAAGTTAATATATCTACAATAGATCTTTCTGTACAAACTGTAATGAATTGTAAATTTAGTTGTCTTTAGATAAGTCAAGGGAAAAAGTTACTTTTGGGGCTTTGTGTTCTCACATGAATAATAGAAGCGTGCAAATCTTCATTAAGATTTAATCGGGTAATTTGATTAGATAATTGAATCCACTTTAAACACTTAAGATTAGTCTCTAAGCTGTAAAGTAAAAAGAAATGAAATTTGGTTTAACGTCCTATAGACTAGTCTTCAGTGTGTTTATGGGGGAAATTTTTGTTTGGACAGTGGCGTTTCCGCCTACTCTTCTTCGAATTCTTCGGGTTTTCATGCAATCCGAAAGACTAGACGCTGTAGTGTAAGCTCTACCAGGTCCTCCACCCTGCATCACATACAAGGATAAACCGGGCTGGAAAATCCCAAGTAACTTACTCGGCCAACACCGGGAACCTACTTGTTAGTGAGCCCACGCCTTATTTACCGACATTGATGCACCGTGGATCTTTACGTAATAAAAAAGTAAGAATTGTAACTCCCAAAGCCGGACCCCCAGTACAAAACTGTTATTTGAACATTACATTATACAGTATTGCGTGGGCTTCAATGGCTGTAAAGCTTAAGAGCCTCTACGCTATAGAGACACCAACTCATTGTAAATATAATACTGTATGAGAATAACAATCAGCCAAGCCGGTTCAACTCATTTCATATTCTGTATTTACAGGTGACCTACCATGCAGTAAAGTTTATTGTGATTGAAGCCGGGGACCTGTATTACCAGTACATACTGACCCTGTGGTGATGATGATTTGAATTCTGGGTATTCTGTGGAATAACGTTAGTAGTATCTTCAGTTTTCTCCCAAAAAGGTCAAGCTTCAGTGATTTCGATATCTGGAGACACAACAACAATAGTTCGGTGAGCCAAGCGAATTGATATAGATATCATTGACTACATACGAATACCGGTACAGCAAGATATATCCTAGAAGTTGTGTCCTCTGTGTGTTCCTTCTTATTGGATAGTTGCACCTTTTGGACTGAATTTGCCATGTGGCGGATGTGTGTGTCAAAATAATATAGTGGTTTAGAAAGTTTATAAAATGCTAGGTCATATGTAACAACCTGTATAGTTATCGCTTCATAAATTAACTACACTCTATTGATCGGTACACCGCGGTAAACTAGGACGGCGACCATGATGGATCGTCATAGAAATAGATAGACGTTCATCACCGGTATTTCGTCTTCATCGACTTTTATACTTTCTCTGGATTATCTGTACCACAAAGAAAATACTTTAAGATGGCGTCGAATCAGATGAAGTTATATGATATAAATGACAATAAGAGAGAAGATGTCGAATACCACAGAACAGTGGAAGAAGGGCGGGCACCAGATTCCTTTCCATGTGGGCACGTGCTGTGTCATCACTGTTTAAGAGAACATGTGAAACCAAAGATGACCAAGTTACAGTGTCCAGTTTGTAGTTCCATCACGGAATTACAAAAGCCTGTTGATGGTGCTACTTTGGCGTGTGCCGATTCAGAAATTCCCAATATAACCTTGATGTCAAATTTCGACGATATCGTTAAAAAGTTTAATGGTATAAATTATACTTTACGCCGGCTAAAAGAAGAAAATGTGCAGTCAAGGAGTATGGCCATGACATATACTAACAATCATTGTGATTTATGCCATGAACATCACGGTACCTTGAACGTTGTTCAAGAATACAATCAGCTTACAGTCAGTCACGAACGACCAATTAATTGGCATCCGTATTTCTATCGTTTGATGCAAGGGCATGTTGTAACTACGTTCTATAGTAAAGTCAATACTGCTAGCATTTGTGTACCGTGTTCATATAAAGAACTCCGGGACAGTCAACGTTTCAAAGAACTGGAATATATGCCTGACAGGGAGGCAATCTGCAGACCCGAAACCTGCTTAGCCGAAGTAGGAAAAATCATTGCTAGTGACATTACCCCGGTTATGTGTTTACAGGGTAAAAACGTCATCGAAGTCGACCATAAGATTAGAGTTCGTGAGCGAGCAGACCGATTCGATTTCTTTGATACGACTGATCAGATTGAACACATGGTTAAACAACAGGAGAAAAGTTTGATTAGAATGGCGAATAAACAAATAGAGGATACTGGTCGCTTATATCACATCCAAGACAGCAGTGAAGTTGAATACAATAAAGACGAGACGTCGTTGTAATACATCAATCAATAGATTTGCGATAAGACAACTATAAATTAATATAAAATAAAAAAGTGTGTTTATAGTTACTAACGTTTTGCTAATTTGACGCCATGATATTCGAAGAAAAAGTGTGAAACCTCACTTGGATATGTAGACAATTCTTAAAGATTAATAAGAATTTGGCTATTTAACCATTGGATTATTATCTCAATCGATATAAAAGTGTTTCAATTTGAATGTAAACCATTTCTGTATACGTGAGCTAATGTGTATGGAATATCTAGACTGTTTAGAGAAGGCATATTAGTAGACTTTGTGTTAGTATGAAGGCATTGTTAAGACAGTGTCATTCTCTTTTTGTGTGAACTTCGGGTGTTTCAATAATAAAACGTAGTGTTCTATATTCTTGCAGTGAAGGATATAACGCGAATACGAAGGCCAATGAATATTCTATGCAGTATGCAAGGCGGACAATCTAATGCTTTTATAATAGTTTCTGAATATGTTATACATGTACTGTTATGTATATATAGGAGTATATAATACCGTGATTTGAGATTTTGCTTCATAAATAATCTTGCATAACAATAGATAACAGAAATATACATCAGTTCCCAGTTCTATCAAGATAAATCAAGGGACATTGTTGTTATTAAATATTTTCGTATAGCTGTTGACGCTTTTTTTTAAATATTAGTGAGTCAACCAATCCCCCGAGATTCAATACATAATTCAATTTAAAGGACCCCTTTCACGTACATGTATGCACTGCACAATACAATTACACTGCTTTTTGTTCGGCTTGTCACTGGTTAAAGTTTCGGTCTATTTATCTATTTATAAATATAGAATTGAAACTAAGTAATTCCCTAAATGGCAATGTTCAGACATTCCACAATGATCTCAAAGCACTAGAAACATTTAAATGAAAAAGTCATTTAAGGCACAGCAAACCAGATCTTTCCATAATCCAAATTCATACTATATTTTAATGTAAAGGCTGTTGTTATGTATATAATGTATATATAAGTAGGCAAGTCTAGCTATCTGATAAAACCTTAATGAAGAATGGACAGATCTGTACGAAAGAGAAATAATTATTATTACTTTATTTATCGAAAATCATAAATATATAGAAACCAACGTAAATTTGAAATGCCCATAACATACTTTTAAATTAATCGATTTGAATAAGTTTTGGACCAAAATGTTTTAAATACTATTACTTTGTACATAGTCTTAAACTCTATATTTAAACCTTATTCTGCACAGGGGGCTTTTAATATATAGGCCGATACTTTAACGTATTTGTGAATGCCTTTGTTGTCAATTGTTTGTAACAGTGGTTTAAGTTTCTTGTTTTCGTGCTGTGAAGTGTATTTCGTTACGTAAGAAACCTAAATCACGTTTTTCAAGAATTCCATCATAATAATGTCGCAGACTGATTATACATGTCATTAGAATGTAGATAATTACAGATGACAAGAAATAATTATAAATCAATAACGCGATGAATGTAACATGATGAATATTCCTAGATAAATTTAAATAACAAAATATTGGTGTAATTGTTCTAAAATGCATATTAACCAACAACAATCAGTCGGATAGTATATGTTCTCCGCCATCTGCAGACAATTCTTGACAATTTAATATTTGCAGGAATTATGATTTTGTTGTTGTTTGTTTGTTTTTGTGATGAAGCTTCAATTTAACAAAAGATCCAGTCCACCAGGGTTATCAGTCGAGCACATATCCTGACTAAGCCCTTATTATGGTATAGAATTTACTAAATTAAAAATATTAATTGATTAATTACGACATTCGCTGACAATCTCAAATAAATTATAGGAATCTAAAGAAAATAACTATCCCGATACAATGTCAAGACCCATCCAATATTTAATAGTTGCGGTAGTTGCAGTCATTCGAAATTTGAGAAGATGTGTGAACGTATTGTGCTGCACTGATATTTACAAATCAGAATGTATAAATCGTAACGGTTAAACAAACACCGTCTTAAATCGAAAATTACAGAAATATAGGTATAGCTAAGCTGACCACTTTCAGACCTAGGGCTATAATACATGTCATTATATCTATAGTGATTGACATAGCCTACTGCATATATCAACAAGATGAATTAACATACCAATCGTTTCCCAATCAAGATTATATATACGAACTTGTTGATACGTATCAATGTCGTCGGATTAAATTACTGGAGCGTGATTACATGTAGATCATACATGTACTTTGCATTCGCAAAGTGTTGTTTTTCGGTTTAGATAAGAAAAGAGAGAGAAGGGGTGGGGGTGTTTTTCTTCCTAACCTGACACTGTAAAATTCATAATTCTCTATTCGAACTATAAATGATAAACCCTTACCTGAGACATGAAGCCATTCGATCTTTTATTGAAACGCTTACCTGAGACGTTATGGCATTTGTATCAAAATTAAAAACAGTACCCCTTGTACTAGATGTTCTCATACTATCCTGCAGACATTTCGAAATATTTACTGGTAATACTTGTTATGGATATTATAAAATTAATATAGGGTAAAAATCAGCAAATTGTCTATGTCTCATTTAGCCTGCATTGGTTTCTTTGTTTATTTTTTCCCCCGAAAAACGGTATTCAGCTTGGATACCCTGTCCCAGAATTATAGATCTGATTTTAAAACGTGTATTTCTCCAATTTAAACAAAATTAAAACGTTGCTGCATTGGTATCAATAATAATAAATAACATTAACTGCGTTTATTAATTATTGATATTAATATAAATTTCACGAAGCTCTGTCTTTCTTCAAATAGGTTGAATGCATAATTTGGTGTAACTCTTTGTAAATAATATGTAAATATGACTAAGAACCACTTGATCTTAAAGCCATCAATGTATATACTTATCCATACCACGGTTTACCTATATACCACGCAGTGACCATTAGTAAACAAAGTTGTTGATGTCTATATATTTTTGTATTTTGCTCAAAATACATCTTGTTTTCTAGTATGGCGATTGTAGTTTTTTTATTTCTAAGGTAGCTCACATATCATATTTTGATATTATTTTGCTTTAGTCTCTGTTGTGTTGTAGAGCTTGTCTCATCTTCATTAGATCTCCTTTGCTAACTTATTAAATATATATAATGTAGTATAATGTAATAATATTATGATCTTTTTTTTTAAATTACAGATTATATTTATAGTTTGATAATAGTTTGATATTCTCTATTGAAACATGAACTGTTAATTTGTGATGTTGAATGGTGCCACGATGTTGAAAGAGTAACAAATAATATGCAGTGTAAAGTGTGTGTAGATAGAATTATATGATTCCTGCTTGTGTTGTATATTAGGTTTAATAGATTTAACAGCACACAAGAGTGACCACAATGTGATATGGTGCTTTTGGTTATGCATAATATAGAACACTGGGATCAGTAGACCGGCAATTAGTTGTCGTTACCCTTCTGCTGGAAACGAGGCGTACTATTAGGCTGTTATGTGGCTTCATTCAGTGGGTGAGAATGAAAGGAGTAGAAATTTGTATCGGGACATATTTAAGTGGTACATGTAAATTGAAACACCCGTGAAAATTTTCGAATATTGATAGATTTGGAAAGTAAATAAAAACAACACGTGACTGGTGTAAATATAGGTGTCACGAAGGAGTAAAATTGCGAGAGAGATGAGATTTAAACAAAACATTAATGTTGGGGCGGAGGAGGGGGGGGGGCACACCCATCAAAAATGAACGAGAATTATTACATCTACTCCCTTCATTTTTATTCCCAGATTAAGACATGCTGTTATAGTGCGTTATTTAACGTTCTGTTGTTATTTCTTTTGTTACATTTTTTATTGTATGTTTTGTTCACTCTTGACACTCATTTCTAATTGTTTAATTTGTAAATATATGAAATACTATCAATGGCTTGGTGCAAATGCTATATATTTTTTGATATGTAGAGTGAAATAAAAATAAATTGATTTTCCCGAGAGCTATATTTGTGCCTTTTTTATTTTACTCCGAAGTAATAAAGTCGGCTACTTCAAATAATTTTCCTGGACTTAATATTTAACAAAATATTCAAAATAGAATACAAACCAACTATTAAATATGGTTTGCATACGATTAAATGAATTTACTTCGGGTGAGTGCGATGGGTTGGGTCTAAATAATTATTTGTTCGAAAGACATTGTAATGAAATTAAATGAAATGGAGTTTAACGTCCTACTGTTCTGCTCCGAATGAAGACGGGGAAAGCGGTTTAGTGTTCGCTTGATGCTTATACTGGGCGATTTTCCAGTAACCAAACCAATTGAATTCGATTCAATATTCCTAGGTGTGTAATATAGCCTACAAAGAGGCGGTATGAGTCATTTCATTGTAAATAATATATATCAAATTGTCACAGGTATACAGGTGTGCTTATTGATTGAGAAAGAGAATAGAAGTGTTTAAAATTTCAAAATAAAGTTATTATTCGTAAATTCGAAGGTGACATCAATTTATACAGTGTCCCCTGTCATAAATTTCAGTAAAATATTACTGACTTATAGGAGGACTTGGGTAATGAGAAAGAAAACTCTCATTAGGGTCGGCGATTTTGCTTTTAAAAAAATAGGGTATTTTTTTTTGTTGGGGATTTGGGGGAGGGGCCTTATCGTTAATTCTTCCATATCCTACAGTGCAAGCTTTGGAGTATAGGACTACATGAATACGTAACTTATGCTACCAAGTTGAGCTATGCGAGAAGGAAATTGTTATTATTGTTGAGTTTGCGATTTTATAGATACGATGCACAATATATATGCGTAAAATGACCATATAATAGCTTCAGTCTATAAGACATTATTTCCCTGGCGAAGCAACAACCAAATTTATAGCCTTTATAATTGCAGCCTATCCGTTTATCGATGTCGCCAATTTTGTTCCGACTGATATTCTGGTGCATGAGGCGGTTCAAGGCCACTACATTTATACTTTTCGGGCGACACTGCAAAACTCTTCAGTAGCAAAGTGAAAAAATATTCCTCTAAAACTGTAACATTTTTGGGGTTGTAACATATATGGACTAAGAAAAAAAGTCGCCTGGACCATAGCCTAATGCTACGTACATCATTTCAACTACGACGTGTTCTTTCTTTTTGACATCCATTTTAAAAAAAAAAATAGCCCCTTTCTGATGTTTTCTCAATTTCAGAGACGCGTAGGATGTTCAGTATATAGGGGTCTATTTATGATGTAAGGGAGACAAGTCTATTGTAATTTGACAAACGAAAATCAGTTGTGCATTGCTTTTCTGGCGTTTAGTATAGACTGAACGTTGACGACTGCTAAAACTTTCGTAGCCAGTTTACGAATTTCAGAATTCATACATGTATCGTAAATCCGTCGTAATCATTTCTTATCGTCCCGTCGTCCGTAACAGCTTCCTATTCGATTCTTCTCACGCACCCAACGGACACATTTGTGACCAATCGGGGCGGCACCATGATTCAACCGGGGGGGGGGGCAGGGGGGCAGGGGGGCAGGGGGGCCGAGTGGCCGAATGTTTAGCACGTGCGCGCTGTACCATACGGTCTGTCATTGAGTCAACTGGCGGGGTTTCGATTCTTCGGTTGTACGTGACAAGGAGTAGGGTCGCGTGTCCAACCTCGTGGGTTTTTTCCGGGTTCACCGGTTTCCTCCGGTAGGGGTCTTTAGCAGTGGGAGGAAACCGGAGAAACCGGATGCAAACCATATTTAATAGTTGGTTTGTAATCTGGGGTGGCATTTTGACATAGATGGTGAAAGACTTCATTTTCCGCCCTCAGTTCCTCCACCAGTCTATAGCCTTCTCTGGGGTGTCAGCTATGGTCGAACCTACCAGTGCTTGGATCTTCATTGACTTCTTGGGGTTTCCCTTCACCTCAGGTTCTCAGCTGCCAACAGTTGGTGTTGGTACTCCAATTCCATGACCAGAGCCAGACCTGCTCTCCGTTGAATATCCATTGTGCAGATAACGGTTTCGGAAACGATCGGCGTTTTTTTTTTCATGTCGTAACTCTTTCGTAAACTATTCGTAACTACTTTGTAGCTACTCCCGAGTCTCCACGATTATTTAATTTATATATATATATATATTTTTTTTTTGCCGAAGTGCCACGAATAAACGAGACACGAAAGTTTAAGAGGCCCACACACTCAAAATTGCAGGACACGTCTGATAATCCTTGACTGCATTTATAAGTGGAACTATTTTGCAAAGATTAAGATATGGTAGAATTAAGACAAGGTCAAACACGCTTACACCATGAGCATTGGTGATCGCCAATTATGGTCGTAAGAGTGATGTAGTGTAGGACAGTTTTTGTCAATTATTTTTGCTACGTAGAATTTTCACAGTGCCACAAACACAAGAACATCTTTTGTCAGAATGTGCCAAAAATATTTAAAAAAAAAAAAAAAAAAAAAATGACCCGAACCTCGTCATTCTTCCGATGTAGACAGGGTGTAGAAATGATTCTTGATAATGATATGTAATCTATTTGACGATATTAGGCCTACTAGTAAGATTTGTCCAAATAAGTCTGTCCTTGATTTTCGGGTCTTTTTTGGTTTGAATGAGTGAGACATTCCGAATTGTCATTATGCGAAAGAAGGCTTTTAATCCCCATTAAATCAATTATTATAAGCTTATTTATTATAAACTGAAATGAACTGAAATGTGGTTGAACATCCTTCTTTTCTCAAATTTCTACACCCATGTTACAAAAGTTCTTTTACTTTACGCGAAAGCCAAGGCTGCTGTTCCTCACACAGGCACTTCACCTGATATCGTCAGCTCGAAGACAGTTCCTAAAGGCACTAGCCCTTCGCCCTGCATCGCTCACAGAGAGAATTAAACACACTGATGAGCAGTGAATATTCGCTAGGCCGCGACTTTCGAAATCCTCTGTGAAACAGATCTAGATCGTATAGTTCTATGAGTATGATTAGGGTATCTACTGAATGAAATGATCGGCTTGACAATCGAGACTTTAAAATACCACGTGAGTTTGTTATGAAGAGATTCACCAACAAGTAACAAGTTGATATTTCAGGTCAACACATTCGAAGCAGAATTTTACCGCGGAAAGGCGAGGGATTTTAGTGTTAATGACAGGTGTATTGAAACATTTTAAAACGACATGAAGAATTGGGTTTTTAAATAGGTGTATTTCAGCTAATGTATAGAGTTTGCAGGAAACATACCGATAGCTGTGTATAGAAATGGAGTTAGGAAAAACATTGATGAAAGAGAATAATGTGAATGCTCTCAGTAAAGGTGGGTCATATAAACAGTATTAACTTTCTGTATTCATTTTTAAGCAGCTTCTCAGTCATGGGTTTATGAATTTGAGGTATAACATTCCTAAATAGTTAGTGTGTGTATATAGCCAGGCCTAGAAAAGCATCTTACTTTAAAATGTGTGATCAATTAGCAATCCAAGTCATTACCTAGAAATAGAATTAAATAGATTATGGTGTAGTTGAAGATGGGATAACATATGTAGTAAGCGCTTTATTTATTACTGATCATTGTTGTTTTCCGCCATTTGTCACTTTTGTTAGATATATATAGTCACAGTGCTTGAATATATATATATTATTCCATGTAAAATATATTTTTGTATACATGTATATCAATATTGATGTATGTCAATGCGTATAGGGTACTGTTCTTAATGGACATAATATCATATGCAAATAAAAAGTTGAAGTTGACTGACAGTGCATCAAGCTAACCCTCTCCTCTCATGTGAAACAAAGAAATCTATGGGATTTCTGCAATTTCTGATATTGGCAAGTGTTTCATTGCCTGGAATCTACCTTTTATTTGGTACCTCAATATTTTTGTGTCAGTGGGTGAAGGATAGGGAGGATATGTTCCTGTAATGGACCTTAAGACTTAAAGGGACTGTCCCGTATTTTAACAGAGTCTCAAAAATAAAAGTCTGAGTATGTATGAAATTTAAGCGCCAAAATATAGAGGAATGGTGTATTGACGTTATCTCAAAATTTCAACTCAAAATATTGAGTCGTTTGGACGTGACCGTCAAAACTGCTTTTCCGGACACGTAACCCTTTTAAGTTTTTGGGTAAATTCTTTTGTTGGGAGACCTTATAATCGATACCCGTTCATTGAGATGTCTATACAGTGAATGACCCAAATGCTGTACTTGATAACGAAAGGTATGGGACACTGGTCTCCATTTCTAGATGAAGACTGACGGGTTTCAGTTGTTTGAAAACTTATCACAAATATTAAGTTAGTTGCTCGGCCTTTAGGGATTTTAAAACAAAATTAAACAGTTTTATTCTCCAAAAAATTATCGGGATTAGCCCTTTAAGGTCCATGGTTCCTGCAACTTCTTAATCTATGAAGGTGCCCACTGTCAACCCTCGACATTCGATCATCCTTTAACATACACCCACCCACACACACAGTATTTCTGGCAGGTCAGAAGAGGAAGATCTTTACTTCTCCCCCTTCGTTTTTTATAGTTCAAAATTTCATTTTATTTGTCTGTACTACACTAGTATCTCGAAGTGTTGTTATATAAGCAGTGTTTTGGATGGCATGAGGAATTAGCCAGTGAAACCATCTGTTATGACGACTTCTTGATGTGCGATGCACGGAACTGTGGGTAAACCACTAAAACGTCAACACTGATTGATTAATCAATGTCTGACATCATAGGGTCAAAAGCCGATCGTACGACCCCTGACGCGACCTTCCAGTAGAACTGGTCAGATCTTCATGTAGTGTAGGCCATCGAAAGTATAAAGAAACGAAGCGAAATAGAGATCTGTATTTTAATTAGATTGCACGGCACTATGATGGAAGTAGACGTTAAACATGGGTATAGCGAGCATGAAGGTATGATGCAAACTATTTTAATAAAGGACACACAACAAATTATGATGTTACTGATTTGATATCCTTTTGACAACTTCAAGAAGAAAAGTTTGATGTATAATTAATATTAATAACTTAAAATTTCATATAACCTATATGTTAATCTTACACTAGTTATTTCATAAAATACTGTATAAACTTTTAAGTGCCGTTTTTTTACCTTGAGGCTATAGAAAATTATAATACTTCATTGACTTTTAACTGTAGTTTGTCATGTAAGAATTTATTGTGTGTATTCGTAGTTGGCTATACATGTACAAGCTTTGGTCTGGTATTTTAAAGATATTAAGTCCAATCTTCTTTACATAAGGTCTTTATATTGAGTCTATTGCTATTACGGCTTTCACCACTTCAGTGGTCAGGCCATCAATCATAATGCAGTACTCATTATTGAAGTACATGTATGTTACAACTATCCAATAATTGTTAATATTAGATAGCTTGCCTATAATATAATGCCTAGTCTTCAGAAAAATGGAAATGGATACATGTAGCATCCATTTTTTTTTTTGCCCATAGAAATATTTTATTGCATTAATTGGACTGGGTTTGTTTTAGTGTTTTGTAGTGGGTTAGTCTATCGATTGGTTTCATTCAGTTTATTAGTCAACTGAAAGTAAAATATGAATAGTTGTAATTTTTAGTAGAAATTTATTTTAATTTTGGTGTAAATTCTTGATTGAAATAAACAGCTGTGCATTCTACTTATTGATTTATCAGAACAGAAAATTTATGTTATATCGGGTAAATTGAATGAGCCTTACAGCAGTAGTTCTTTAAGTTGTGGTATTAGAGGATCTGTCTTAATTCTTTTAAGTGACATCAGTGTATTTATCAGTACCGGTAATTACGAATCTACATGTACATTGAAGTGATTTAGTTTTAAACCCTTGAAATAGTTTCAAACATTGTTGCTACTGTTTTCAATTGTTAAAATTGGAAGTCAACCTATTTCTGTTCTATTATTTCAGCAATTCATCCGCGACATGGCTTGGTATGGTCTGATGGTAAAGCTATATATCTTGGCCCTCTTATTATATCATCCGATACCTTACAAAATACAACGTCAAACAGACTAGGAGAGTTTGAGTAAGTTAATAAATTTAGTTTTTATTTGCCAACATTTTCTATGGTCGTTATATTGTCATCACCTATGTCTATCAGTCCGTCCAACATTTCGTGCAAATGATCTACACACAACAGTTCTTATTGGATCTTTAAAAAGATTTGCGGCCATAAATTATTTGGTTGTAAACAAGAACTGTATCAAAAATTCTAAATTCCAGAGTTATCTCCGAATTTACATTCAAACTTATGAAATCTTGAATGCAGGACGGAGGGGCTGACAAGGAAAGCTGTCTAGTTGTTCGGATGGGACAAAAAACCGATGTCCTGTGTACACATTGGCATGCACGTAAAAGATCCCTTGGCAGTTGGAATTCGATATAAGAGTAGGCCGTAGTGCCGCTGTCCGGGCAAATTTCCCTCATAACACACTGTATGGCGTATGCCTATCTTCATTACCCAGGTTAGGAGCAGAACAGTAGGACGTTAAACTCCATTTCATTTCATTTCATTTCATTTATGAAATCTTGTGTAAGTCAACTACTCTTAACAGTTTAGATCCTGTTTCTCTTCGCATATCACATGTACTTAATATAGAGAAGTTACCAATCCTATATTTCAGTTTAAATAATTTCTATTACTGTATGTATGTACCTAGTCTAGTAAAATCAAATCATGGTCACACATATTTTACTACATTCAGTTAGTCATCCACTTTGTATACATATAGGAATTTTAAAAACATGGTGTGCATTATGAAATTTGGGTGGAGACAAACCTGCTAAAGAGTTTGTCTATGCCAAATACTAAACCTGTAGGCAAGATACAAGGACTGAAATATAATTATTTATGGTTATAAAACTTATCCGCTTTTTCCATTTATGTTAAATGTAGTGACTTGATCTCTCCAAAATAGGTAAAGAATTTACACAGCTCAATGTAGTCTTAGGTAGTTTATATGCTGAAATAATAAATGACAGGATTGTTTCACTTTTATGTAATATGATCATTGTTTGTCTGTGGCAGTTTTATTCTCTTCAGTTAACCATTGTTTGACAATTATCCATTATCTACCTTCACATGTAAATGACCTATGACTGACAGGTAACCTACGTCAATGTTTGACAGACAAGTAACAATACAGGTGTACACCCTTTGTAATCATAGAAAACATTATTAAAGAATTTAAATTATCTGTTTAACCTACAGGTGTACTGTAATATTTTTAAATGGATGTATGTATATTCAGATGAATGTAATTTTAAAGAGCATCTTTGTACTGATATATCTATTAAATTTAATACACTAGAAGATAAATTTAAGTATCAAACAATCTAATCATTGGCCATGATATTTTAACTGTGAGAATATTTGATCAACTTTTCAATGTTAGACATATTTATTAAATATATATAATGCTTGATTTCCAACATTTCGGACTGCTTTATTTACAGACCTTCACCATATACAACAAATTATGAAAAAAATGTTACCTGCTTTGGTTAAATGAGACACCCATCCCTTTTTTCTGAGGTGGCATGTAAATAATAAAATGATTTTAATTTTCCAGCATATTTAGCTTCAAAATGACTTTATTTTTGTTTAGCCAATTCTCAAAAGAGAAAATATTTCAAAAATTCACGATATTTGTTACATTTGCATTGTTTGTTTTGCTTGTTTTCAATTGCAATTTCCTAAAAATTAAAGCTATAGCATGTCTTTTAAATGATTGCTATTGTCACATACATGTACCATATAAAAGGTCTTTGAATACATAACTTAAAGTGTGTTTAGCACCATTCTTTGGAACCTAGGATCCATTCACTTTATTTGATATTTGTTGTTTATTTCTTGCAACGTCTATGTAGTTTGTCTCGTCTGCAGGTTTGTCTTGTCGGTTTTATTTTGTGTCACAGATATTATTTATATGTATAATAATGTATTTTGTATTATATTTGATGGTAATGTATAGACAGTGTATCTTGGAGTAGGGATATAATGTATTTTGTATTATATTTGATAGCAATGTAGACAGTGTATGTTGGAGTGGGGATATAGACTCTACAACTTGTTTTATGTCAGTAGTACATCAAAATAATGTTACGGTATGGAAAGTATCTGGCTCCACACCTAAGCTGGGATTTAAACAAGTTCGAAGGATTAATGTTAAACCAATTCAACAAGGTATGCTTTAACAATATGAATAAGTTTTTATACGCCCACATTTTCATGTGGACGTATATTGTCGTTGCCCCTGTCCGTCCGTCCGTCCGTCCACAATTGTTTGTGAACAGTCTGCAGGTCACAATTTTTATCCAATTTCAATGAAACTTAAAATAAAGGTTGATCACCCTAAGATCTCGGTTCCTTTCGATATTGGCATGTATCGGACTGTAACTTCATGGATTATCGCCCCTGATTGTTCGTAAAATCACGTTTTTAGCTTGTGAACAACGTAGAGGTCACAATTTTTATCCGATTTGGTTTAAACTTGAAAGGTATGCTTATAACCCAAAGATCTCGGTTCCTTTCGATATTCGTGCATATCGGAACGTAACTTCCTGAATTATGGCCCCTGATTGTACGAAAAATCGCGTTTTTAGCTTGTGGATCCTATAGAGGTCATAATTTTTATCCGATTTAAAAAAAACGTATTTTTATATCACCGTTACACCCTAAGGACGACTGAGTTCGAATTTCGTGAAAATCGGCCCATAATTGACAAACAAAATGGCCGCCGTTCGTTCTCAAATAGCATAAAAATACAGTATATCAAGGTTGTGGACCCTATAGAGGTCACAATTTTTATACAATTTTGTTGAAACTTGATATGTAAGTTTATAACCCAAAGATCTCGGTTCATTTCGATATTCGAGCATATCGGACCGTAACTTCCTGATATATGGCCCCTGAATGTACGAAAAATCCCGTTTTTAGCTTGTGGACTCTATAGAGGTCATAATTTTTATCCGATTTAAAAAAACGTATCATTATATCACCGTTACACCCTAAGGACGGCCGAGTTCGAATTTCGTGAAAATCAGCCCCACACTGACAGACAAAATGGCCGCCCTTCATTCTCAAATAGTGTAAAAATATGGTATATCAAGGTTGTGGACCCTACGGAGGTCACAATTTTAATCCAATTTTGTTGAAACTTGAAATGTAAGTTTATAACCCAAAGATATTGGTTCCTTTCGATATTCGCGCATATCGGACCGTAACTTCCTGAATTATGCCCCCTGATTGTCCGAAAAATCGCGTTTTTAGCTTGTGGACCCAATAGAGGTCATAATTTTTATCCGATTTTAAAAACCGTATTATTATATCACCGTCACACCCTAAGGACGGCTGAGTTCGAATTTTGTGTAAATCGGCCCAAAATTGACAGACAAAATGTCCGCCGTTCGTTCTCAAATAGCATAAAAATACGGTATATCAAGATTGTGGACCCTATAGAGGTCACAATTTTTATCCGATTTTGTTGAAACTTGAAATGTAAGTTTATAACCCAAAGGTCTCGGTTCCTGTTGATATTCGCGCATATCGTACCATTACTTCCTGAATTATGGCCCCTGATCGGACCGTAACTTCTGAATTATGGACCCTGAATGTACGAAAAATTGCGTTTTTAGCTAGTGGACCCTATAGAGGTCATAATTTTTATCCGATTTAAAAAAATGTATTATTATATCACAGTTACACCATAAGGACGGCTGACTTTGAATTTCGTGAAAATCGGCCAAAACTGACAGACAAAATGGCCGCCCTTCGTTCTCCAATAGTGTAAAAATATGGTATATCAAGGTTGTGGACCCTATAGAGGTCACAATTTTTATCTGATTTTGTTGAAACTTGAAATGTAAGTTTATAACACAAAGACCTCGGTTCCTGTCGATATTTGCGCATATTGAATTGTAATTTCCTGAATTATGGCCCTTGATTGTAGGAAAAATCACTTTCTTTTTAGCTTGTTCTCTATCCATCTCTCGAAAATGTGGGCGTATCCTGCCTGGCAGCTGCTGGTTGGAAATCTTTTTAGGTTTTTTTTGTACACATTTATCTTGTATTGTTTCATTGATGCTTTACAAGCCTTAGTTTATAAATAATAGAATAACACTACTATACTAATACAGAAGCCATGTCAGTCAAACAGGAGTACATTTGATTACAAATGCATTATTTATTGCAGTGTCTGTCTAGCAGTGTATATTATACTTTAAATCATGATGTTTATCTGGTGGGTGGTTGAGTGCTTTTGTTTAGATCATAATGTCTGTCAATAAGTCAAGTTCCCTGGTTTCAATCTCAAGCTTTATGTGACAAGGAGTAGGGTTGACTGTCCAGTCTTATTTGTTTGCTCTGGGTAGCCTGGTTTCCATCCACTGCTAAAGACCTCTGTATAGCAGGGGAATTATTGAAATAAAATGACCTAGTTTGTGTCGATTGAACATTACACCCATTTCTCTGTCTCCCTTTATCAGGTCAGGTTTCATTGGTGAAGCCTAAAGTGTGTCCAGTCATGTAGAATTATAGTTTTGTACAACGTATTTATATATATATATATATATATATATATATATTATATTTCAGGTGTTTTATGGAATCCTAAATGTGATGTCCTGTGTTTATTTAGTAAAAATCAAGTCAGTTTTTATTTTAATCATTTAACAAAGAAAGGAAGTTATGCTTTTCCTCCATTAGTTAGGTAAGTGAGTTTTATTTATCATTGATGTACATAGATTTCGAGAAGTTTGTGATACACAAAATGATTATCATGTTTACTGATGTAGATTGTTAGTTCATTGAAAAGCCAATACACAGCATTGTGCTAGGATCATGGTACTTTCTAAAAAGACAATTTCCCCCACAAACATATGACATTGACATGGTGAAATAATTCCATGGTTTGGGGGTCAAAGGTATCGACCATTCCAAATGCTACTTAAGGAGCATAATCCATTTATTTTGATAAGCAAATTTTGTTTGTTTTTCAATGATCATAGAGTGTTTTTTTTTCCAGTGGTAAGATTACAAGTGGGTGTTGGTCTAATGATGGTAATAAGTTATTGGTGTGTATTGGTTCATCGCTACTGGTAAGTACCGGTATATATAATTATTATAATAAAGGCAAAAGAAGAATAATGAACTATGGAAACCTAAAATTCAGGAATTTTGTATTTTCTAATTATTGATGTAAACTTATTCATTTTATTTTCAACAGATTTATACATGGTCAGATATTGAAAACTCCCTAAGTGATTTTACGCCAAGTGCATGGACCTTACCAAAGTAAGTTGAAAAAACAAATTGTAAAAAAGTCTTGACATTACAGGGTGGTTAATGCCTGATATTTCTTAAAGGTGATTTTATAAAAGTGTATGGCACATTAAAATGAAATTAATGATAATCTAACAGAAATAAGGTATACTGAAATTAATGCAATCAATCTTACGGTGTTGGCATTTTAAAAAAAAAAAACACTAATAGCAAGTGCATTAGATCAACATAACACAGAACAACTAAATAAAAACCCAGTAGCAATAACATCACACTGATCAGCAGTGAATTTTCGCTAGGCCGCTACAATCACTGATAAGGATGACATCGATGCGACTTAATGAGTCCCAAATATTAACTTTTTTCTTCCGTCAAATTAAATTCTAAAACATTTTTTTCATTTATTAGAAAAATAAATAAAGACGCTTGAATTATTTGTAGGTAAAAATCATTTCCTATTTAGTGTAAATGGGTATTAAAATAAGTAAAATTCACCATTTACCTCGAATCAGTAACGTCTCATGTAAACAATGCACGCGCTATTAAGCCAATGATTGACACCGCGTGATGTGACGTCACATGTCGGAACAGTCATCTATTACAGAGATATTAAAAGATCTCTGTGAAACAGATTGCTATAACATAAGTACTTCTTCCAAACATAAAATGAGGACTATAACAGGGCTCTTAATCCATTTTAAAACGAACCGGTCAGAATTTGGTCAAATGAGTTCCTGGTAGGAACTGGGTTATAAAATTTTAAGTTTCCATTCCCTTTAATATAACCAGACATCAACAAAAATAATTCTAGGTAATTTATGAGGAATATCGTATTCTACTGTTTGTAATTAGCACAAAAATAACCACAAATAGGTACACCGTTTGGAAAATTTTCCATATTTAATTCACGTACCGGCTTGAAATTCATGTCAGTAATATTCCTGAATAAATTACTGTATTCGTTTTACTGATTTGCAATATTTGTTGTTCCAAAAGCCTAAATGATAGCTTTGAATTAACAAATGTTTATGTCAATGTCAATCAATATTCATGCATAATTAAAATATTAATGTCAATATAAAATTGCTTGATTTAGGTCTGATGGTAATGTAACAGCTATAGTACCTATCAGTCAAGATAAATATGTATGTTGTGTTGATTTACCCTTAGAAAGACTATGCCAGAATCAAGATGTTTTTCTTATGCCAGGTTGGTCTATAACCTTTTCTATTTCATTATTTATCTAGATTATATTGCAGTCAAAACCCAGTCAGTGATAAATACACCATGTCAATTGGGTATATACACATTGATTTAGGAAATAGTTTAACATAAATTGAGGCATTTTATTTCTCTTTATTCAACAGAGTTACCTGCCAATTTAAGTCGACATGACTCAAAAGAGAAGAGGAGAGAAGATTTAATAAAAGCAACTAAGTCTTCCTCTATAAAAGAAAATCTGCTCAATCTTCCCAAGAATCCAGAGGTATTTATATTGCTTTAGTTCTCTTATTTTAGACATAACAAGAAGAGGCAGTCATCATTATCCACAACCAGGGGGTTGAATGGTATGCACCTTAATTCATACAGTCTTTCATTGAGTCAAGTGGTGTGGTTTCGATTCTCTCATGTCCAACCTCATGATTTTTCTCATCCTCGGTATCCCCAGTGTTCTTATACTCCACTATACCCTGGGTTAATCCATAGGGTTTCCACGAATTCAAATTATCTGCCCTGGCCTTGATTTTAGCTAAAGTCTACGAACCAATCAAAAAACAGTTTACAAACCAGTTGTTTTGCATTTGTTTTTATAAAGGTAGATAACCATATTCATGTCCATTTACTGAATGATTTATGTAAATAATGTATATATTTCTAATACATTTATATTTAATTGAATTATCAAAATCTGTAGTATGTTTCGCAGATTACAAATATGTATAGCATCTATATGTTTGTCTTTCGTTATTATTATTACTATTTGGTCTTTGTCTGAAATATTTCATTGTGTTGCGTTTATTATTGTTGAACTTATTCTTGGCAATTTGATTCCCAATGAAACTTATGAACCTACACATTTATAAACACCTGTCGGGGCCTTATTAATATATTATGAAATAATTGTAATTTGTTGTTAATAGATATGTATTTAGTATAATTTGGACTTCTCTCATTTAGGCTACCTTGTCTCTTGAAGGGGAGCCTTTGCGTTTTGCTTACTTTACCCAATAAGATTTACATACCTTTGGAAACTTCCTTTGCAATTAACGATTTATGGGATTGGTCAATAAAAATAGCACAATCATCAAGGGCGGATAACTTGAAAAAGTGTTCCCCCCCCCATAGATTAACCCAGGGGTTAGTGGAGTAGAATGGAATGAAACCACTGGGGATACCGAGGATGGGGTTTTCTCTGGGTCCTCCGGTTTCATCCCACTGCTAAAGACACTCCTAATGAAATGATCTAGATTGTGTTGAGTTGGTGTTAAACCCCATTTCTCTCTCTCTCTCTCTTATCCAGAGCCCTTGTTTACCAAAAACTAAGTCAAATTTGTTAGTGTTCACTAAAAGTACACTTACTTAGGGAAATAATAAGAAAAAAACCCAATTACTTCTGTAACACATATGTGGTATCAACCAAAAATCAATTACTACATTTAACAGTTAACGGGAGGTAATTCTGTTTATTATGCTAATTAAGTTTAATAATAGTAACGAATGATGTAAGCTAGCTGGAAAGCGTGCAAGAAAGGGCCGAGTAAGCAGATCTTGGGCTCTGGGAAAAGCCGGGTATCGAGCTAGTATTATTATATATAAAACTGTATTATTATTTGCAGATTGTATCAATGTTTTTATTGTTTTATTTTAGGCCGTTATAAATGACAGTTCACAACTCGTCTACTTTCAAATAAATGATGATGCTAGAAGTTCTGTAAGATTAAACACAATATCATTACAAGGTCTTGTCTCTCCAGATTTATTGGCTCATGAGGTAAGGATTTCTTTTCTACGTAAGTATTAGAAATATAGGCCTTTTACATCAGACATTCAACTATAGCCTTCTATATGTGCAAAAGTGATGTGCTGCAATGGTATAACTAGAAAAATAAACAAATTATCGGTATATAGAGACAAATAATTGTTTGTCTCTGTTAATAGAAAGGAAGTTGGGTAATAGATATTACAATATTTCTGTGTAACTTCAATATATTCTTATTTATCATTATTATCTTTTTCTTGTTTTTCAAGCCCAGTGGATGTATTATTGTAGGAAGTAATAGTCAGAATTGTTTACAGATATTTACACTAACTGATTTAAACCTAATTAAATCATCAGAAATAGTAAGACTATTTATATATACACAATTATTTCTTTTATTATCGTACAAACCTTATGATTTGTAAATCACTATGCTGTGTGGTAATTGTCTTTCATTGTGAATTACATGAATTTTCCATTCATTTAGATGTTACTAAAATCATGTTAATAATACATTTTCTCTCTACCTTAACTAGGTGCTACAAAAATCACAAAGACCAAAAGGTATCTGCTGTCCCTATAACAGTTTAAGAGAGAGTCAGAATGGAGTTCTAGTGTTAGTTGGTCAACCAACTAAAAAAGATGCTTTATTTCCATCTGCTACCACAGAATGTCAGTTTGATTTAACCATTTATTATTATCCTGTAAAACCAGGTAGTTTGCCTTTTAAAGATATATTTGATCATTGTCCCCTGCCTTCCTACAGATCAGTTTTTGAGATTTATTTTTTCAAATTGGAAATCCTATTGAAAGATATGTAAATAAATCTTCACAAAGTTACTGCCCCTGCCCGCAAAACCTTGTAAATATCATCAAGCGTCAGAGTTTTTGAGATTATGTAACTAAATCTTCACAAAGTTACTGCCCATGCCACCTAAACCTTGTAAATATCAAGTGTCTGAGTTTTTGAGATTTTTAAAAATCCTATCAGAATTTCGTCTCACAATGATTTTGTACAGAGTTGTTCCGAATATGCTTATGAGGGAGTGTATCAACATTCAGAATCATGCATCAATTATTGGCCCGGACCTTAAAAATATGAAAGCCCCCATTTAAAAAAATGTCTATAAACAGTTAAAGAACACATCTGTATGTTTGTCCTTATAAGATTTAATGATGTAATTTTCATAAATTTTTAGAGAAAACACTACAGCATTTCCAGAGTCATTCAGGAATACCAGAAGTTAAAAACATAAGAGCAAGCTCAGATTTGAGAGCTAAAAGTATCAGTGAATCAGCTTTACAAAATGTGAAATTGACTAATGATGCAACAAATTCACAAGAACATATCAAAATACGCTTCAATAATACAGATTCAAACCAGTCATCCAAAATCTTGGTATCTTCTTTAGATGATTCCACAGATTCAAACAGTATTCTTGAAACTCAAAAAACACATTTCAAAGATATTACTCCAAAATTTCATAACGAGGACTTAGAAATCATAAACCACCAAAGTGAAAAAAAGAAAAGCAGAACAAGAAATGTTAAAGTGAAAGGTGAAAAACAATTCGATGAGGAAAATGGGACGGAATATATTAGCAAAAAAACTCAGATAGTGCATTTTGGTAAGGAAAGTGAAACAGAACAATCTTGCAAGAACAAAGATCAGTGTAAAAATAATATAAATGGGACAAGTGAAACCGATCGAATTGCGACTGATGAAATCAGTACAGAATATGAAACTGAAAAGACATTCCAGAATAATGCTAATCGTGCTGTTAATGTTAAAAATGAAGATGATTATACCAGTTCTGTTCAGACACATTCAGCTAATTTAACTGTATTGGAAGATTCTCTATCAGATCATGGACTACCTAGTAGTAGTTTAAGTATGTGTAGTGATGATAACTATGAATTTTTGGAGAAAGTAGTGGAGGGCCAGAAAGATCAGATAGAAGAATTACAGAAAAAAGTCAAAAAATTATCTAAGTAAGATTATGTTTGTTTCATATAAATATAAAAATACATCTGCTATTATAATATCCATGCTATAACATATATGTCATAATCTAGAAATATTTCTATCATGATGGTTTCATTTATTAAGTTATAGACATGAAAGAAGTAAAGTATTTCATTATCTAAAGACTTATATTTAGCTTTCCTTCATACTGTAGATGTGTTCTGAGAGGATATATTTGAACATTTTTATGGCAATTATATGCTATAGAATATTGTAATCAAAAGTATTGTAATCACCGTAGGTATAATTTTGAATGTTTGCTCTTGCCTTCTTTCACTTTAGTGTATTTGAAATGAATACAGTTTAGGGGTTTCTCATTTTTTTTTTTTTTTTTTCAGGCTTGTTGACCAAAGTTCGGTTATTGAAATGACTAAATACCAAACCCCCGAAAAGCCAGGTTGGTTCTGTATACATATATTCTTTTTGTTATTTACATTTATATACATGTAATACTTGTTGTTTTTTTACATTTACTGTTTACATAAACCAGCCGCTGCCAGGCAAGATACACCCACATTTTGCAGCAGATGGATAGAGAACAAGCTAAAAAAAAAAACCTCATGATTTTTCGTACAATCAGAGGCCATAATCAAAGAAGTTATGGTCTGAAATGCATGAATATCGATAGGGACTAATATCCTTGGGATATAAAGATATATTTTGAATTTCCATCAACCTTGACATACCATATTTTTTACACTATTTGCGTACGAGGGGCAGACATTTTGTCTGGCAGTTTTGGTCTGATTTTCACGAAATTTGAAGTCAGCCGTCATTAGGGTGTAACGGTGATATATTCAAACGTTTTTTTTAAATAAGATAATAATTGTGACCTCTAGAGGGACCACAAGTTAAAAAAGTGATTTTTATATGCCCACATTTTCATGTGGACGTATTATGCTGTCACTCCTATCCGTCTGGATGTCTGTCCATCCACAGTTTGTTTGTGGACATTCTGCAGGTCACAATTTTTATCTGATTTTGAGGAAACTTAAAATATAGATCTATCTCCTAAAGATCTTGGTTCCTGTTGATAATGGCATATATCGGACCATAACTTATGGTTTATGGCCCCTGATTGTACGAAAAATCACGTTTTTAGCTTGTGGGCACTCCAAGAGGTCACAATTTTCACCCAATTTTGATGAAGCTTGAAATGCATGTTTATAACCCAAAGATTTTGGTTCCTTTCTACATTCACGCATATCGGATTGTAACTTCCTGAATTATGGCCCCTGATTGTACGAAAAATCGCATTTTTAGAGGTCACAATTATAATCTGATTTAAAAAAACGTTTGAATATATCACCGTTACACTATAATGTTGGTTGAGTTTGAATTTCATGAATATTGGATCAAAACTGACGTGATTTATTTGAACATTTTTTAAATCAGATAATAATTGTGACCTCTAGCTGGACTACAAGCTAAAAACCTGATTTTCGTTCCATCAGGGGACATAATTCAGGAAGTTACGATCCGTTATGCGCGAAGATCGAAAGGAACTAAGATCTTTGGATTTAAACATGCATTTCAAGTTTAATCAAAATCAGATGAAAATTGTGACCTCTAGGGTGTCCACTTGCTAAAAACATGACTTTTGGTACAATCAGGCGCCATAATCCATAAAGGTATGGTCCAATACATGCCAATATTGAAGGAACCAAGATTTTTGGGAGATAGACCTATATTTCAAGTTTCGTTAAAATCGAATAAAAATTGTGGTCTGTAGAGTGTCCTCAAACAAATTGTGGACAGACAGACGGACGGGCGACAGCATAATATGTCCACATGAAAATGTGGGCGTATAAAAATTAGGCAAATTGATTGCATGGATTTCGATAACAAAAAAAAAGGTTGTTGATATTTGATGTTGAGAAATTACAAACGTTTTTGAAAATATGTATTTCAGTTATCTTAAGTATAAAAATAATACATGAAATGTAAGTTATACAAAAGAAATTTGGTTGACTTTGTGATCTTCAACTGTGAAACTGGATTGAGTATGGTTTAAACACTTTAAGAATACAGAATATATTTAGTTAAGGGCCTAAAACATTCTCAAAAATTCAGCACTTTGTGCAAATAATCTGTTGTGTTCTGACCTTTTTATACTTTATTTGCAAAGTAAGATTAACTTTGAATTGCTGAATTTTTCTTTACTGTAACCACTTGGGCAATTGGATGGCCAAATGGTTAGCACCTTCGCACTGTATCATAAGGTCTGTCATTGAGTCAAGTGGCATGGTTTCGATTCCCCGGTTGTATGTGACATGGAGTAGGGTCGTCTATCCAACCTTGTGCGATTTCACCAGTTTCCTCTCACTGCTAAAGACCCCTACGCACAAGTTAATTATTGAAATAAAATTGTACAATATGTTAGTCCCGAAATGACCTAGTTTGTGTCGAGTGGACGTTAAACCCCATTTCTCTCTCTTTGTCTCTGTAACCACTTCATTAATACATTATTATAATTATTGTAGATTCTGTCAAGATAACATGTTTATATGAAAGTGGTACCTCTTTAACAAGGAAGTTTTTATTGGACAATGGTAGATTACAGCTTGCAGAAATAAAGAGAGCTTTTAAGCTAGATTATATTGCACTTTTAATAGGTATGTACATGTAGGAAATGTTGTATCTGCATTCTTTTTATGTCACCCCTGTCCATCCATACACAATTCTTGTACCTGTAAGTTCCCTACAGGTCAGATTTCTGTTGATTATATTTTAAAATGTTCTGGGAATAATCAGCTAGTCCTAAAAGTAATCTATTCAAATTTAAAAGCTGCATAACAGTTGTTTCAGAGTTACTGCCCCTGTCACCAAAACCTTGTAAACACTCAATTGATCAGACTTTCAAACTTGCTAAGCTCGTCCTATGAAAAAACTCAATTGAAATAACTTTATGCATAGTTATTGCTGAAAACTTCAATCCACCCTTCATAATGCTGCTGGTGGGCATATATTTGTTGCTTGTCAATGTTACATTTTAGATTAAATTGTGAAAATTATTTATACATGTATTTCACAATCATTATGAAAATTAGAAGGGAACTGGAAAACTAATAATGCTACCCAATGTGTTGTTTAGATGCCCACAAAAATGTTTTTTTTTTTTTAAAGTTTCGGTTCAAAATACTGAGCCATTTGATCACCAAATCTGTTTCACTGGTTATGTAAGTCATATAGATATTTTGTGGCATAACAAGTAATCTGATATGGCAGGCTAGTCTGTAGATATGGTTATCAACGACACTACTAAATATGTTAGTTTGGAAATATGTGGCCAATTGCATGAAAACTGATTATTTGTATTTCTTCAAAAAACTTCACATAATATAATAACATAACATTTCTAAGATTCTATGTTCACTAAAAATGTCTGGAATATGTCATGTATCAACCAAATGTGTTTCAGATGAGGAGCCAATAGTACTTGGTGCTAATATAGATGGATACATTCCTTTAAAATTCACCCCCGGTGTTACACTCAATATTATTGGAGAAAATAAAACCAGTGATATAGTTTCAGCCAATGAGGATGTTTGTAGCTTGTTACAGAAAGACCCTATTACTGGAGCTACCAAATGTTAATGTTATTGCAGTGATATATTCCTATGAAGCATAATATTGAACCTCATTTGTAGTTTAGTTTATGTAAATGTAGAAATATTTATTGTTTCTTGGTCAGTCCACTGCAATTCCATCAATCTGCTATGTTCCGGACTGATAAGCAAGCACCTACTCTGTGGCAATATTTACAGTAAAGATTCTAGGCTTTAAAAAAATATATTTTTTATTTATGCAATATCCACATGTATTTATAAAATAATCGCTAGTTAATGTTTAAAGGCTTTGAGTAGTCTAAAATACTAACTTTTCAACACCAATCTTATTATGACTTTGCACACTTGTTCCATGAGTAAAAAAAAACAAAAACAGAGGACACATAACAGTCCGACTGTTGTGTAATAATGGAAATACAAGTGGAAAGAAAAAACTATTTATAGCAAACAAGAAGGCTTTTCCGACCTAGATCAGTTCTAGAATAAATTATGATGTATACAGCGTTCAAGTCATCTGCTGTAAACAATCATGGCCGTGTCTAGCAGCAGTTTCACACGGGATCATTGACGTCTATCTAGATATGACGTCAGAAGGAATTCCCTCTAAGACACGATTATCCAGGTCTACCATCTATCGCGACTGGAACGTGGCTGTATAAATGTATAAAATGATTTTTAGAGTGGCTTTTTTGGACATGCAATTAGCATTGTTCATGCGAAGTTTGATAAAAATCCATGCTGGCTAGCTGAGAAAATTTGTCTTTTGTCATCAGCACCCTTTTTTATCATGCCTTTGGGCCAAGTTTGGAACATAGTTGGTAAATAAAATTGGTATTTTTTTGGTGATTAATATGTAGTTTACTACCCAAAATAACAAAAAATGTCATATCTTAACAAAAATTACAGTGCTAGCTTTAAAATGTGCATTTTAGACTGCTCAATGCCCTTAAGAAACACACCAGCCCTGCATTTAACTGGGATTGAGTATGGTGTGTAATGATGATACAATACTTTGATCTGAGATGATAGATACTTGTAGCTATATAGTAATTTCATGTTGGCTTCTGATAAAATATTTTTATATACAATGTGTTCATACTCCATCAGGGGATTTCCGCTAGATACTGCTTGTTAGTAAATTAATACTGTATTTTTTTTTATATTACTAGAATATTGTTAGTGTTTTTATATTTTATGAAAATTTGATATCCCAAAGGGTTGAATATTTAATATGTGTCTTGTTTTGATACTAATGTATATTTTTATTATGTTGGTTGTGCATTTATAATGAATTAATTATTTTACATATATACTATTATTGTTATTTTGTTTACTAATATCTTTTATTGATAAATTAGACAGGATGGGTTTTATTAAAACTTTGAATGGTAATTAATAATCTCAAAAAACTTTTTAGTCACGACTAGCATTTTTAATATCTAGTTAATTAGTACTTTTATCGACATTAATTTTAATGACTTCCATCAGCCATATCCATCCTTTTATGAAACCCCCAGTAAGCTCTGAAAGATCTTATAATAAATTGTTGATCCACAATTTGTGCTTATTATTTCATATATTATATTGACAATTTGCTTGTTCAGTCTTTAAACAGAAAACATTTGTTAAACATTCCAGACTAAAAGTCAAATATAGAGTTTTCAAGACAACAGAGTAGTCAAAAAACATTGGTCCCAATATCATGTTACGACCATTTGATATTAAGTCTCTCCCAACATAGTTAATGTCCATACCCAGGTATTATCAAGTAATGTTATTGCCTCTTTATGCATCCAGTGCTCATACTACTCAATCTTTGTGTAATTGTCATAATATCAAACCTTGTGTGAAAACACAATAATATTGAATAAAATAAAAATTAAACATTGTTCTTTTGTCTTTTATTTATATCTGGCTAAATTTTGCTATTCAAAATCTATCTACATTAATATTTTTGACAAGTTTTACTTCAGTTCCTGAAACTTGTGGGTATGTACTGGTATTTTTGTGTTCATTGAAGGCTTTTTTCAATGGAAATTTGACAGTTCATGTTCTTGCTTCAAAATCTTGATAAAGGTGAAATTTCAGCTGAATATTGATGGTAACATTTAATCCGTCTTTGCTTCCTCGTCCTCCCATTACAGGGTAATATAAATATTTCCCTATCCTGCGATATTAATACTACCCTACCAAATTACCATTATTTTATGAATCTGAGAACAAGCTAGATTGGTTGATTCTGTATGTTCATACAATCTCTGCTTAGATTTCTATCAAGTGTTATTTGATGAAATCAAGACAGAATTTTCCACAAAATTTAAAGAATATGTCGACATAATTGAAATGAAACCATGTGACCTATCAGAAAATTAAACTATTCATTAATGATACTATACATTATCTCTTTAAGTATATTAATTGCAGTGATTTGAAACATGCTTACAAGTCAAAATAGTGCTAAAATTCACTAGATGATGTTATGGGAGCGTGTCGAAACTGTCCATGTCTGTATTTTAGAAAGACTATGGTCATGGTAACACTTCTTGAAAGAAAATGTTTTAGCTTGACTTCTGGAAGGAAGATGTGTTTGTAACTTACTTTTTTTATAAGCTTATCTTATTCAGATATTTGATGTAAAATTTGCCTTCTGCCATGAAGAAACGGTAAAGAAATACATTTGATTGGAAATATGTTATGTCATTGAATATTACATTTTAAAAGATGTTATCCTGCAGGGAACTGCCGTTGCTCAGTGAGTAAGACATTGGCTCGCTAACCTGGAGGTCCTTTGGTTCAATCTTGGTGTTGGCAGTAAAAGTTCATCAAGATTTTCTGGGGTGGTTCCCCCCTGTCAGTGGTGCAGGACGTAGGGCCTGGCAACGGTCAGCGTATAGTCGTTGCACCAAGGTCTTGTGTGCACATTGGCGTGCAGGTAAAAGAACCATTGACAGTTGGAATTCACAATAGAGTAAGCTGTAGTATTGCTGTCTGGCCAAAATTCCCTCATAGCACACTGTAAGGCGTATGTATGTATATCTGTCTGTCTTCATTATCTCAGTCGGTGTTGGACATTAAACCCCATTTGATTTAATTTCACGTTATCCTCCAGCTAATCCTACAATCGGATTAACCATAATCCCAAATTTATTTGATGCTTCAATTGGGCTAATACATGTACATGTAGAATGAAATCATGAAAAGACTAATTGGTAACAAATTATAATTTTATTAAAAGAAAATTCAATGTATACCACCTGTAAAATCAAATCACGTCCTTTTAGAAACCAAAAATTTCGTTTATCAAAACCATCACCAGTTCAGCCAGTTAGTAGTCTCTTCTTGATGCCAATGGAGACAATTTAACAAATTCAGTTTCCCTCCACCCCAAAAGATAGATTGCCAGGCAACAAAACATACACCCACAGCAGCTAAATCATCCGAGCTGTTGTCAAACAGTCAAGTGTTGTCGCATATTTTTTCTTTTGTAGGTAATTGTGGGCATTTACAAGACAATTTCATACAGATCAGGTTATAATTTTTGTAATTTGAGGGTTTACAAGGTTCTACAAACAGAAACATGGGCTGTAACTCTTATAAGAAAATTGATAACCAACATTATTTTTTCACACTGTATCATGATTAGGCTTTAGGACTAACATAATTAGCTATCAGTTCAGTATAAAGAAAAATCCTGGTAGTTATAAATAGAATAATATTATTAAGTCAGCACCACACAAGTTTTCAATAGTCTCAACCATCCAGACTTCATATCATCACAAAAACTGACCTATTTCATGATACTGTATCATATCATGGCAAAGTGTATTGTTTCAGCCTTACTGGAAGTAATTTACAGAAATTGTTGAAATTCAACTGGCTTCTTCGTTTCACTAATTCAAATGATGCATATAAATTTCATACAGATAGGATGATAAATTTTGTCATTTGAGCATTCACAAGATCCAACAAAGTGAAACAAGGGTCATAACTATAGAAGTAATTAAAAGAAATTGTTGAAATTCAATTGGCTGCTTCGTTTCACTAATTTAAATGATGCATATACATTTTATATAGATCAGATGATAACTTTTAGCATTTGAGTGTTCACAGGGTTCTAAAAAGTGAAACAAGGGCCATTCTGAAATTCAATAGGCTTCATCATTTCACTAATGTAAAGAACCAGCGGCTGCCAGGCAGATATGCCCACATTGTGCACGAGATGGATAGAGAACAAGCTAAAAAAAAAAGAAGATTTTTTGTACAATCAAGGGCCATAATTCAGGAAGTTACGATCCGATATACGCAAATATCGACAGGAACCAAGATCCTTGGGTTATAAAGATATTTTTCAAGTTTCATCAAAATCGGATCAAAATTTTGACTTCTAGAGGGTCCACAACCTTGATATATACCATATATTTACACTATTTGCATACGAGGGGTGGCCATTTTGTGTGGCAGTTTTGGTCTTATTTTCACGAAATTCGAACTCAACCGACATTACGGTGCAACAGTGATATAATTGTGACCTCTAGAGGGACCACAAGCTAAAAACGTGATTTTTCTTACAATTAGGGGCCATAATTCAGGAAGTTACGATCCAATATTGAAGGATTCAAGATCCTTGGGTTATAAACATACATTTCAAGTTGTATCAAAATCGGATCAAAATTGTGACCTCTAGAGGCTCCACAACCTTGATATACCAGATGTTTACATTACACTATTTGCGTACGAGGGACGGACATTTTGTCCGGCAGTTTTGGTCCAATTTTCATGAAATTCAAACTCAACCTACATTACGGTGTAACGGTAATATATTCGAACAGTATTTTTAAATCAGATAATAATTGTGACCTCAGATATGCGCAAATATTAAAAGGAACCAAGATCTTTGGGTTATAAACATGCATTTCAAGTTTCATCAAAATCGAGTGAAAATTGTGTCCTCTAGAATGTCCACAAGCTAAAAACGTGACTTTTCGTACAATCAGACGCAATAATCCATGAAGTTATGGTCCGATACATGCCAATATTGAAAGGAACCAAAATCTTTGGGAGATAGACCTATATTTCAAGTTTCATCAAAATTGGATAAAAATTGTGACCTGTAGAGTGTCTGGACAGACAAGGGCAACGGCATAATAGGACCACATGAAAATGTGAGCATATAAAAACGGATAATCAAGACTACGTTTTTTATCGTACTGACTTTAGTAATGATGATCGAGACTGGGCCCAAAATTCAATCTCTAAATTCTCGGTTCAGAGTGGATCAACTTGACTGAAATTTCCAACAAATTCCCTTTAAATTATCTAGTTTTTAACTATTATAGTGAGAACTGCCAGCTCTTTATCTAATCTCCCATAATGTATCTTTAAATAAGTCAGCAATAAAATTTCATTTTCCAATAAATTCTGTAGTTACTAAGTAGATATATTACAGACACATTCAAACTTTCTAAATCTTTGAATAATATAAATTACGGCCAAGATATCTTCTTTATCTTCTTCTTTGGTTCATTAGATTCCTAAAATTAAAGAAATTTCATTGTACATAAATCGTGTATATTAATAATATTTAATATAATAACAATAGTTACACTAATGGCTCTCTAATTTACAGAGTTTACTAGTTTACTAGTTACTTAATTAGTTCTAATGTAATTCATTTTTTTCTCACCTCTTTATTTGTTTCAATTTCCATGGCAACTTCAGAAGATTGTATCACTTGTTTACTACTCTTCACTTTGTCTGTGTCAAAGCTAATGGTGTCAAATGCTTTTTTTGAACTAATTTCTTTTGTTTTATTGGATGAAGGTGATAATTTATCAATGTCACTGGTTAGCTTCTCAATTTTCTCTGCTTCATCCAAGTTTTTGATAGAATTTAATTTGATCACTTTTTTGTCATAATTGATACAAGATGGTGGAGGTTTTAATCTATTGGCTGATGGACTTCCTGAAGGTGTTATAAGTAGAGATTCTGTTGACAGTCTTTTTCTATGAATAGAAACAATAAATATTAGTCAATAATGTGATCATTTTCTTCTTTAACCTGTTAGTTTGTTTCACGTTTCATAAATAAAGTGTCTATTTCAAACATTTAAAGTGTTTCTTCACATAGTGATCTGGACAAACTCTCTTAATGAAAATCCAATTTTATAAACTAAGCTTAAGATAGGTTGCCAGGCAATAAAACATGCAGGTAAGTCTTACAAGCAGTCCACGTATTTTTTCTTTTGTCGGTAATAAAAGCATTTACAAGACACTGTTAAGTAATTATCATTAGTATTTCTTTGGTTTCTAGTTCCACTCAATGCTAATACTTTGATCTCTCGGGCGCCCACAAGGTTTTTCAAAGTTGTCAAGGGCCATAACTCAGACAATAATTATCGTAAATTGTTGGAAATTAGAAAGATTCTTGGTCTCCTGACCTTAAAGGGACTATCCCTTATTTGAACAGAGTCTCAAAAATAAAAGTCTGAGTATGTATGAAATTTAAACGCCAAAATATAGTGGAATGGTGTATTGACCGTATCTCAAAATTTCAGCTCAAAATATTGAGTCGTTAGGACGTGAACGTCAAAACTGCTTATCCAGACATGTAACCCTTTTAAGATTTCAGGTCAATTTTTTCGTTGGGAGACCTGATAATCGATTCCCGTTCATTGAGTGGTCTATAAAGTGAATGACCCAAATGCTGTACTTGATAATGAAAGGTAAATTTCACCTACACATTATTTTTATACAAAAAATGTCTGGTTTTATCTAGACACCGCATAATACAGCTTGGGACACCCGTCTGCATTTCCAGATGAAGACTGACGGGTTTCAGTTATTTGAAAACTTTCCACAAATATTGAGTTAGTTGCTCGGTCCTTAGGTAGAGGATTTTAAGGGATTTTAAAACAAAAATAAACAGTTTTATTCTCCAAAAAATTATCGGGATTAGCCCTTTAAACTATATGTATTAATTGAAAGTCAAGAGCCGTAATTCATGATCTTGAACACTGTGTATAAATTGCAAGTCAATCAGATATTAACTTTTGTCTCCTAGAGCATCCACAAGCAATAGTGGACGCTGGATGGACAGACTGACAGGGGTAACAACAATATACAACCACATTTCAATGTGGGTGTATAAAAATGTTACTGCTTACTACTTTAAATTCTGTTTTTTATTGAGGCTGACCAAATCTTAAAGATGCAATATCTCACCAAAAAGATAAATATAATTAATGTTGAATAATATTCAAGATAGCCTCGGCCAAGACCTCCAAAATACTGCAGGGCTTCCACTTTTGATAATGGCTATTAATACCCAGCAATTTTTTACAAATTAAACTCAAATGTCATGTTATTAGTATTTATAGTTAACATGGTGAAGACCACACAAATAAAAGTTTAATACAAATATTACATATTGATAAATATCCATTTTAACTCTTAATAGGTAGCTTTTGGCAGCATAATGACACAACAGAACTTAGAAACTGTCATAAAATAAATGACATAATCAGATAATTAATATACAACCTCATCTACATTTTTGAGGTTTCATACAATCAAGAAAGATCTTGCTAATCACTTATTAGTGCTTGAATACCAAAAAGCTTAAAATTATATTTGTAAAGATATATAAATAAAGTCCACAAAATATTACTTTTTTGGTGGGTCTCCATCAGTGGTACTGGTATTGACAAATCTTCTTTTTTTTGCCTTCAGAATTTGCTTTTTCGTCATTTCTCGTCCACGTCGGTTTAATTTATATTTACGTTGTGGAAGAGGTAGAATATATTGATAATATAAATTCAGTAATTCTTCTTTATCTAAAGACTGTATGTTTGTTTTTTGGATGTATCGCTTTAATAGAAAATCATAAATAAAAACTTTATAATTTCAATTGCAATTAGTAAAGGTGATAAAAAAAAGGCTGCCAGGCAATACAACATCATACCCCTCGCAGTGTTTTGTTTGATTATACCTAATCCCACTAAACGCTGCTTTAACGAAAGCAAATTTCTGTTCCAAATTATGACTGGTCAATGGTCCGATTAACAACCAATAAATAACTGCGTTACAAAATCATTACACTTAAAACAACTCCAAATTGGACCACATATGTTTACAGAATGTTACGTCATGACTCACGATTTTATTATGCCCAATTAACCAGTGCATAGCAGAATATTGCAGAAAAACTAACTGCGTGACAAACAAGGCTATCAAATCGAAAACAATGTAAACAATTCTCTTTGGAGACGAACATACTTTCACCGTTTTTATTACCTTAAATCACTGTCCAAAGTTTTAGCAAAGACCCAGATTAAACGAAGGGCTGTCATGTTGCTGTACTTGGGATAGATTTGATTGAACGGGAAGAATAGACAAACTCCCTCAAAAGCTCAAGTATCAGAAGCCAATCCAGCAATGGCCAGAGAGGGATTTCTTGGGCCATTGCTTCAGGAATATGATACAACATAATATGCCCATAAACAACTTTGTAGTCCAGAGAATACAGAGAAATTGTCAAATGTTAAAGATGCATTATTGTCTAGCCGCTGGATTTGATCAAACCACATAATTATGAGGTAAAGCATCATCTCTATATCAATGGAAATTGGTTTATTATACAAGCTTGTGCCAACCAAAGAAAGGATGCAACTTGTTTTTCTTAATTCGCTGTCACAAATATGGCGAAATTTTTTCGTGAAAAGTAGGTCTTGTGTTATGACCATGTGTCTCTTTTTGATATTTTATAATTATTCAGAGAAAACTTAAAATCATTGTAAAGGATATAAAAAGAAATGCTATTTTATAATCATTCAAAGAAAACTTAAAATTTTGGTTTGAATTTACCATTTCAACATCAGAAAGAAAAGCAATTTCTACGATCTAATTTAAATGTCTTTTTTGGTTATTGTGATATTGTTACTTTTTTCCACTCCAGTCAGAAATAAGACTGATTTCCTTTAATTTTATCCCTACTAAAAATTATAAAAATATTTTTTTTGTTGATTTTAACTTAGTAAATATGTATCAGTAAACATACATGTATACAATTTATCAACCGGTAGGCCTACCAAATGTAACAGGTTTTTTGTTTGTTACAATTCATTTTCTTTTATTAAAGATACCTTCCTGTGTACAAACTGGGTGATTTGATGATGTATTTGGACTAAAAACATATTCAAACTTATTAATCCATCAAAATTTTGCTTCAATTCATTCTCAAAACATTGTTTACGCGAGTGAATACCCCTGCTATAAAAAAAATCTACTAAACAAGGCCATGTTTGTGTCATGTGACTTAGCTGACGAACTACCTAGCAACGGGTGCGAAGTCGGAGGAGAATTCATTGCATACACAATGCATAAATATCAAAGCCTAATTAAATTCTCGGATTATCCACTGCCCACGTCTTTTCCCGTGATTTTTATCTCAGCAAGTGTTGTACATCTAACTCTTCATAAAGTTAATCAACATGTACATCAAGCGCTCAATCTCCGCATGCAACCTTTGACGTCACGTGAGCAGACATTCCTAATCGTCGGGCTGTCGATTAGGGAAACCCTTACATTTTTGTCCTGTATACACTCCACAAGTGTTTTTCAGAGATATTTCTACTTTCCATATATACCAAAATTGGAAATAACCACCCGATAAATACTTTTCTGGGAACGTAACTTTAAGTTTCATATTTTATTCAATTTCTTAATAGAGATAACTCACATGACGTCACACACATTGGCAACCGCCATCTTGGTGGACAACCAGACTACACGTGGTCCGATAGTTACAAGGTGATATTTATGTTGAATAAAGATTTTGTCTATGTATTTTAAATTTTACATTTAATTTCTATTAAAATCCGAATTCGACCGTGACATAACATGTTTATAGCGACAAAACAGTGTTTGTTTATAGGCTATATAAAATAGTTTCTATTTAAATCCAAATTCAACCGTTGCATATAACGCGTATATAGCGACAGAACGGTGTTTGTTTATGTAAAATAATATGAAATTCTGTTTCTACGGGGTTAAGTTTTAAAAAAAAAATTAGCATTATATTTATTTATATAAGCGAACTAGCTGCATCGTGTTTGTGTACCTACATGGATAATGTCTGACGTGGAAAATTATAAGTTATATAGGTTAGTTGCTGAAGCAACATTTCGAGATATTTGGTGCCAAAAATAAAATTTTCATTGGACGATATTCGAGGATTCGTTTACATGGGCTTTATTTGCAGTCTGGCGGTTGTTGTTTTTTTTTTGACAAATTTGTAAGAAATGACGAGAGCAATTTTATCCATGGTAGAGCAATGAAAAACTTGTCTAATATGACGTTTGCGGGAGCCAAGAAGAGCGACAGCGATCGCTCGCCTCAAACATGAAGCACTGATAAACATTGCTCGATTTGATATAGATCAAATACGAAATTACATATGTCATATGTTACCTATCACTGAAAAGCATGTTTATTGCCCCTTTCAAATGTAAATAATTTTTTCAGGACGGTCATATTTACATGCCTTGAAAAGCGATGAAAGTTCATTGTGGTACAAAACTTGTATTATTTGACGGGGATAGGGGTATTTAAATTAAAAATACGGGTCTTAATATAAAATTCCAGATATCATATAACGTATCACTGAAAAGCACTTTCATTGCTCTTTTCAAATATCTAAATTATTTTCTGGCGCATTTATATTTATTTACTCTGAAAAACAATCAATGTTGGATGGTACTGAAATCTATTACCATGATTACGAAGAGGTGGCGTGTTGTTGTCCACCAACATGGCAGCGACCTGTATATAGGTCATGTATCGGGCACGATCTATTCGCCAAAGAAAACATACTTTCCAGTTCGATTTTATTATTCCATCACCAGAATTTTTTTTGAAAATCTAATGATTTGGTTTTTTTTTATGATTTTGTTTTATATTGTCATTTTTATTACATGTAGTTTTCTGTATGAAATATGGCTGATTTCCATTAAATTTTGTCCAAATAAAAGTTAAAAACAATTGTGGTTTCACAGAATTTTACAAAACGCTGCTTAAAACAATCTATAATCTAAACCAATAAATGATTCTCAGGATTTTTTCTAACTGTGTGCAAGGTTTCATGTCTCTAACTCAAAAATTGAATTTTGGTTGGCACATGCTTATGCTAATAGTAATTATATTGTTACAGAATGAGAATACAGGTCAGTGTCGGTAACATTTTTTGTAATCAAAACTTGCACAAAGGAAGTCCTTAGTTAGAACCATCCACTACTGTGGCTGGAGGCAGGATGGAAGACATCAGTACTGAACCATTTCTACAGTCAACCATGATCGTTACAGGCACTAGGCCTCCCTCGTGGCACATTAAACCATGCTTATGCCAGTCATGGATCTTGGCTTCATTAAATCATTCATGATTCATACTGACAATCACCAATAATTACACAAATGCAGTTCTCTTCCGTTCATTACAAATCACTCTTTTGTTTCAAATGTCTTTTTGCGATTTGATTTACCTGATGCAAAACCTTAATTAATACATCTCTTGATAATAATTCTGGATACAATAAATCATAATCAGAGCTGTTGTGGTCCGTGGGCGCAGCCATTTTGTTGATGATTTTTAACGGTAGAGGGCAGCAAAGTTCAGGTATACACTTTATTATAGCGTTCATGAGCAACACCGCAGAGCTAGGCCTAGTATCAATTGCCATTATCTACTATCATAGACACCTATTATTTGTTCTAAACAGATTGTGCATATTTGAATGATAATACACAGCTGTAATAAAGTCAGTTTAAATAGAATTGCTTTACATAGAATTATTCTAATTTTTAATTTATGGTTCTGTGCTATTATTTGCCCCAACGCGTATTTTAATCAAGTAGAACCAATTGCAATGAACTTGATTAACCAGACCACAATAACAACTTTGACTCATGTGATATAATTAGCTTACCACTAATAACACAGACACTAATTTTGTTTTTGTCAGCAAAATACTGCGATTAAGAAATTAACTGAACAGTACATCTGAAGCTAGGCCTAAACATTTACAAAAACAGACCGAAATCGGAACTTGACAGGGATTCATCATTAATTCAACGAATTCAAGAATCTCAACAACTTATTAAGGAACTCTTCTGCTCTGCTCTCTATATATATTTTTAAAGAGTAAGTTGTTCTTCTATTTTTGATTTCAATAGTCTATGTACAAGCTACATTGATGATTTAATTTAATCCCTGTGCGCCCCTCATTTTAAGTTAATCACATCGCGCCTTAGTAAGCAAAATTGACAATATTTTTCATCAGAAATGACGACTGATTATTGTTATTTATAATATACTGCCTCATCCAACTACAATTAAGCATATAATCCTACCTGAAACAGGTATAAATCATCATATTTAAAATCAAGGCGTTAAGCTGTTACTAGGAACGCCATTTTTAAACGGGAGATGTATGATGGTGTGTGTCAGATAAAAACAACGCTTCATTAATTTAAACGCAAATATTTGGAGTTAGGCGATAGTTATGCCAAAATATTGGCCTCTGTAAGTTTAATTAGTCATAATAATGTAAAATTATCTTTTTTTTAAGATGTTACATGCATTAATAAAGCACATCAATATATCTCCACGTTTATAGCTACGTTCTCGTAGCTAGATTCGACTCTATAGTGTATCTCAACATATAAGGAATGATATGTTTTATGAGATATCGATTATGGATAATCGATTCACAAATCACATTTACAGCAAAAATTAGCCAAAGCAGTTTTACTTAAACATACATTATGCAAGAGCTAAACCTGTCTATTGCAGTTCTTTCTTTAGGCCTGAAATGTTATCTAAATTATTAATTAGACATTAATTAACTTATCCAGACCATAATCAACTCTAGATGGCATTGCTAGCCTGCAATCTTAAGTGGATCGTGAGCCGATTTACTGCATAACTTTCCTTCTCGATTAAACGATTAAATGGATAATCGAGACTATGTTGTTTATCGTACTGACTTTAGTAATGATGACCGAGGCTAGGCAGAAATTTCATTCGCTTAGTTCTCGGTTCATAGTGGATCAATTTGAATGAAATTTTCAGCAAATTGCCTTTACGTTATCTAGTTTTTAATTATTATAGTGAGAACTGCTAACTCGTTATCGAATCTCCCATAATGTATCTTTAATTATTGTATTTAACACATGAAGATTTATCAAATTGATTATGCAGATCTTCTGACAATTCGAATTCCAAAATGACCCGAAATGCATGAGGTTATTTAATTTTTTTTTAAATTTCACGTTAATACATGTATAATCATTATGAATATGGACATTTCTAATAGGGAATTGCAGTCTACAGCACATTTAGGACTGGCAACTGATACATGTACAACTTGTTTTTATTTCATATATGACCTAAAAGTACAAAATTTGGTATAGTCACTGAGTTTTAAGTTTTTAGCCTGAACCCTTTGTTTCGTGTACTACCTGCTTTCATTTCTAATAGGGAATTCCAGTCTACAGCACATTTAGGACTGGCAACTGATACATGTACAACTTGTTTTTATTTCATATATGACCTAAAAGTACTTAAATAAATGACACAAAATTTGGTATAGTCACTGAGTTTTAAGTTTTTAGCCTGAACCCTTTGTTTCGTGTACTACCTGCTTTCATTTGCGTTGAAGACGGTTGTACCGCTTGGAATCCCAATATTAAATTGTTATGACAATTTTTGGGGCCGTGACTTCAGGATAAAGAAAACTTTTTTTTATGTTTTTCTTTCGAGAACCGATTTGAATACTGTCTCAAGACCCACGTGATAATCAAAATGGATTAAGTGACTGAAACCGATTTATTTTTTGTAAAAAAGCCTATAATATAGTTCTATCTTCTATAGCAGCCGTAAACAAAAACTATCATATTTTTATTCATAATACAGTGATTGATTATTGTTATTTATTCAATTTCCCGCTACACCCAACTACAATTAATGTAGCAATATTGTTATTAACTTATAAAAGCCAACCACGTCCAGCCTTTGAACAGAGTTAAAACATGATTATAGTCATCTGCAAATTACTGGATCTTACTAACCTACACATTTTTCAAGTACAACATTTGAAAACTCTAATTTTTTAATTGCTAGACGACCAAAATAAACTTTTTAACTATGATATTATGAATGCCAGTTTCCGGCTATTTCATGATCTTGACGCTGTGGGAAGTGGAGGGCTAAAAGGCAAGAGACCTTTCTTGAACTTACTTTCAAAATTAGATTTTTTAAAGATAGTTTGTTTGGTTTGTCATAACGTTAAGGCACAAACCCCCACTTATATCCATTCCAATAATAGTATAATATAGGCTTTATATTATGTTGCACATGTATGTACATGTAGAGAAGTTACTTCCTTTATTAGAACTATTGGTCACTTGTAACAAATAATTCATACATATTCATATTTAAATCAAGCTACATGCCGTGTTTTTTACATACCAAAATTTACATTATGCCTGTTTTTACAGATTAGCAAGTCAGATTTTCTAACAAGTAAATTTTAGTTTTACATGTATAGTCATTAATTTATCAATGGACTCGATATACATTCTTATAAATGATTATTTATAGATAAAGGATAGATTTCAAAAGTAAATCAGAATATTTTTTTAATCATAATTTCATCATTTAATATAATGATTTATTATAATATTTTATTAAACTTAGTGCCAGAACCCGGTAGGAATATCTGCTCTATGGTGCTTTTACAATGATGCAATATGAGAATGGAAATAGATTTAAGAACAAAAATCCAAAGTAAAAAAAAAAAAAATAACATATATTAAAAGACATGTAAAAGTATTTAGAGAAATTGAAAAAAGGCTTAAAAATGTTAAGAGCAAAGCAAAATGATAATCAATTAAAAAAGCTTTAATAGATAACACTGTTTTAAGATCCTTTTTAAAAATGCTGAATCTTGGACAAGTTTTTGTGGTGAGTGATAATTCATTCCAAAGTTTAGGAGCTTCCACTGTTCACCAAATAGAAATCTGGATTTTGGAATGTTAATTAAGTGTTGATTTATGGAACGTAGTTGACATGAAGGTTCTTACTTTGTTAAAAGATCAGGTAGATAGACTGGTAATACTGGACAATGTAAGGATGAATATACCGGCCTAATGGGTATGTCAGACAGAGAACCTAAAGTCAATTCATTAAGGAATTCTATAGAGCCAGAGAAGCTGCTTTACAGCTTTTTGATAAAATTCCGTTTGTTTTGGATTTAAATTTTGGATTCTGTTTATAATATATATAGTAGTCATTGATTTAGTTCCATTTCCTTAGGTTATTTTCGGGGGGGGAGGGGGGTGTTGGATGGCCTAATGGTTAGCACATGCGCGCTGCACTGTATCATACGGTCTGTCATTGAGTCAACTGGCAGGGTTTCGATTCCCTGGTTGTACATGACAAGGAGTAGGGTCGCCTGTCCAACCTCGTGGGTTTTCTCCGGGTCCTCCAGCATCCTCCCACTGCTAAAGACCCCTACATGCAAGCGAATTATTGAAATAGAATTAAACCATGTGTTAGTCCCAAAATTACCTAGTTTGTGTTGAGTGGAGGTTAAACCCTCTCTCTCTCTCTCTCTCTCTCTCTCTCTCTCTCTCTCATATGTTATTTTCAATTATCTATTAAGATCTTTATAAAGAAATTTTTTTATTTTTACAGATTTAATCCTCCCTCAAAAATCTGAACAAGATTTATAATGCCAATATTTGATGGAATTCAGATTGCTTTGGATTTGAATTTTAATGTGGGATTCAAAAAGAAAACAGAAATAAAAAAGGCAGTGACTAACCATGGTGGAATTATTTCTTATATTGTTACGAGGAAGTGCAACTATGTAGTGGTTAGTGATACTGAAAAAATTGACATTTCCTCAAAGTGTAGAAATGCTTTAAAGTATGGTATCCCCGTTGTTTCATTGGAATTTATCTGGGAATCAATTGAAGCGGGTAAAGTACTCAACCCAGAAAAGTTTATTGTTGGTAGAAAAAGCAAGGATGCAGACTTTAAGTGTGGAAAGATTTCTTGTAAGTCTTGTATTACTATTTGTAATTTATTTAACACTTCTACTAAATGTACTATTATAAATGGCTATTATAAATATATAGTTTGATAAGAGCAGACATGCATTCACACGCCATATCTTGGTCAGGAGCAGCTATTGTTGTGGAGTTACTGCACTTGACTACTAAATGGGCAGGTAACCACGTTGGCGCATTGAGCTATTCGCAGGCTCGCTAACTAGGAGGTCTTGGGCTCACTCCCTGTGTTGACCTATAAAGTTTCTTGAGATTTTCCGTCACAGTTTACTCTTGTCTGTGGTGCAGGAGGGAGGGCCTGGCAAAGTCATGGTATGAAAAACTGAGGTCCTATGTACACATTCTTTTGCATGTAAAAGAACCCTTGACAATTGGAATTTGAGCAATATTTCCCTCATAGCAGTCAGTATGGCATATGCCCTTCTTCATTACCTCAGTCGGTTCACTAAATGGTTGGGGTTTTAGTGATGAAAGAAATAAGATGGTAAACCAAGGTCTTGCGTAGGCTTACACATAACAAGCATCCCTGGAGAGTTGAAATTTCAAGTCACATATGTGATAAACCATACAAGATAAAGAAATTACAATGTCTTATTGTCAAAATAACTGGTGCATTGTATATTGATGGACTATTTAAACACTATATATATTTCATTCCTTTCCTTATTGATTGTAGCATGACAGATGGATTAATATTTCTTCTTTTAAAATAGGTAGATCTATTGTCTATCAGAATCTGTCTTGATTGTGCAGTATTTGTAAAATTTTAATTTCAATGGGTTTGTTTTCTAGCTGCATCTACAAGTCTAAAAAAGGAGAAAAAGAAAAGAAAGATATTCAATATTTCTATTGGTAAAGTCTGGAAATATAATGATGTTGATTCTCCCACTTTTGATGAGGATTCATATGAAGTTGCCAAATACTCAGTATTTTTGGTAAGAATTTATTATTTCTCAAACAAAGATACAGAGCTGGAAAAAGTATTTGAACCTGGAAATATAGTTCCCAGTTCTCGGTCCATATCTTGCAAAATGTGAGCATGACAACCGCTTCTTTTCTTGAGAGATGGGTGTGGCACATGTAGACTTTTGATGTCATTTCTTGGATTCTTGGAATAAATATTATTACATGTCCAAATGCTGTGTGTTGTTCAGAATAAATTTTTACAAGATAGCTCTCCTAAAGAGGACATATCTATAAGTTGAGTTCAGTAAAGTGGTTTTAAATAACTTGTTGCAGTTCGAGACAATCTACCTGTCAAATTATAATTGACTTACTTAATTCTTAGTACTGGTACATTTCTAATTAGCAAATCGTCATTACACATATGTTTATCAACAGATAAATATATACCGGCACTTCTACATATATATAATGTACGACTTTGAATCAATTTCTTTTAGCTTACAGACTCAAAGACACAATCACAGAACTTTTCTGTTGTTGAACTTCATGTACAGACAGCTAATAAAGATGATGTATGCCAATACAGAATATTTACCCATGCTGGCAAACTCCAGGGCAAAGAGGTATTCAACATATCTTTGTTAATGCTGAATGACATTTATCCGTTTTTGGACTGATATTCCTTTTAAAAGATTCAACTTTCACAATAATGTAGTTTTCAAGGGATTGAATATCTCTCAAATGATGCTCAGAGGCTTAAATTGATGCATAGTTGTGTTTTGATGTTTTCACCTATGTTTCTCATTTAGATTTAGTCAGAGTCTGTCACATTAAATTCCTGATGCGCCATTTGTATTTTCGCTAAAATATCAAATTGTTCATGGCTTATACACACTGAATATGTACTCAGATTGATTATTTGACATTTAGTTAAGAAAACAAAATAAAAATATCAATGCTAGATCATCTCTCGGCTCGGATTCAATCAGATTTAAACTAGGCCCATCAGGTTTCTCTGCAACCAATAAAAGATCATGCCGTCTTGTTACGCTCGAGCAGTGTAGATTGATGAAATTTCGATTCCACATATCTTTGTAAATACTGAACAGACGTGAACCATTTCTGTTAGAGATTCATCTTTCTCAAGGGATTCATATTGCTTAAAATTAGAAATTTGAAAAAATTAGTACAAATTTGAAAAATTAGTACAAATTTGAAAAAAATTAGTACAAATTTGAAAAAAATTAGTACAAATTTGAAAAAAATTAGTACAAATTTGAAAAAAATTAGTACAAATTTGAAAAAGTTAGTACAAATTTGAAAAAATTAGAAAACTTTCATATTCAATTTCGAATCTATTATTATTCATGATATTTCGGGCTATACATGTATATATTTTTGTTTAAAATCCTTTGACATAATATTATTATCTTTCTGTTTATAGGAAAAGGAATGTCGGTTTTGCAAGACCTGTGATGAAGCTCTTCAACTTTATCAATATCTTTATGATGGCTTAATAAACAAGAAATACATTCACAAACAGGATGATATACCAAGGGATATTGGTTCACCAAAAGTACAGAAGGTAAATGTAGAAACTGTTACCTTTTCATGTATGGTAATAATCGTGCTCAACACTGACAAACTATCTTGGTTAATAGTAAATGAATATCAGTTCGAAATCCATGGAGCTATTTTATGTCATTTCTAGTGCTGTTATCATTGACTAACTGTGTATCAATACGAAAAACAACGAATAGATTAATATTACAGTGGACTCTGTCAATTCCAACATCGTACGTGATTGATACAATATGCCGGATTAAACAGCATGTCGGAATACTCAATTGCCTCAATACCTGAAGTATTATTGTACCTTCGAATACCAGAAGTATTATTATAATGTACCCTCGAATATCCAGAACTTAAAGTATGGTAACACTTTCTGTACATTCAAAAGTTTATTACATTATATCAAACAATTGCATAACAAGTCACAATAACATAACAATACATGTACATAACAATTTACTTTCAATACATATAATCATCTAATGTTGATTGTTTTTGGTTCTAATGATCGAATGCTATCAATCAACCTAGTTTTGCAAGTGGTATATCGTCTTCTTCCTCGTCATAAGATACACTAACCTGAATAAATAGCACTTGACTGACAGGTTGTTTTTGTCCATGGCCTTAAACCACTCGTCCGTCATTCTGTTGATGTCTTCAAACTTAGTGTTCGAATAAAATCCTTTCTTACTGCTGTTAAAGTTATCAGCAAACTTCTGTTTGAATGTTGGATACTGTAGTATGGCCAATTGAATACTTAACGGATAATTCCTATGTGGAACTTTTTCAAAATCTACTAAAATTTGCTGCTTGACATCCAATGTCAAATCCGTACGTGTACGCTTTGCAGAACACAATATTATAATGATAGTGATTATAAGAGATTATAAAATTATCATGGTAATCAACAAAGACTGACACATGTTTTATGCTCACAGATAATTGATTGGGGATTACTTGTCGGTAACACCCACTGATTGAAGGCCGGATTATCCAATATTAATGGAACGCAAATCGTGTGACGGGACCGCTGATTGATGTCGTAATTCGGAATATTCAGAATCCAGACTACTCAAAACGTTTTTGGTTGAAGTAATAAGGAAATAAATCAGGACATGAAAAGGATGACGGATTTCACAGAATGCCACTATAGTTTATGTTATCCATAAAAATACAAAGTTTTCTGGCATAATGATTAACTTATAGTTGTTTTTCTTGGCTCATGTGAGAGAAACAAAAACTTTGCTGTGGAGTGTGGACACTATGAAAGCTATCATAAATATTGTTATTTTAGATTATAGCCTACAGAAAGACACAGTCGGAACATGTTGGTTTTGAGGTAGAACAACTTGTGAACCATGTATGGCAAGAAGCTACAGGACATATAGAAGATGTACTATCATCCAGTATAGCAGATCTTCAACTATCACAAGTAAATATTTATTTTTAAAGGTTTTTTTTCTTGTGTTTTAATTATTTCTGGTGAAGTATAATCTGGTGGTCACCTGCAGAGCTAGTAAGAAAAGTGTGTTTAGATGATATGGTATGAAATACGTAGTTCATTGTACAAATTGGTAGTGCACATAAAGAGGAGATTAGACTGAGAAGCCAATGTCTGCAAAAAATTAGAAATAACCAAAATTGTCTTAGCCTCAGTGAGATAACCCCATTCTACTCCAAAGTGTCTCACCAATGGTTTTTACTTCTAATATGTATAGAATTAGAATCAATCATTGCTTTTCTTCAGATTGACAAAGCAGATGCCATTTTAGTAGAAATAAAAGATGAATTGAATAAGACAGCAGATACCAATAAACTACAGACTTTACTTCAAGATTTTTATTCTGCTCTACCTCACCTGATGGAAGGAAAGGACACTAAACCTGATAGAAGATGGTTGTCTAATAAACAAGATCTATGTCAGGTAATCTCATACTCTTTTAACTAACTAAAATATATTTCATTCCATTTATTTACTAGTAGTTAAAAATTGTTCAATGGTTTCTAAACCAGAAACTCTTTTTACATTATTGCTCTGAAAAACTCCAATTGAAGTATAGACTGGTGTATATATATGTTGTTAATAAATTGTGTTTTATGGATATTCCCTAAAATATTAAAGAAATTTGATTGAAAATATATAGTTTTGATTATTTATTTGTTTGTATTATATTTCTGTTGTTATATACATGTATTATTTTACTGTAGTTGTTGCGTGATATGTTATCTGTCAACGAAGCCACTAACTGGAGTACAAACAGTTCTCCTGAAGCCAAATATAAAGCTTTACGATGCTATATACAACATATTGATCCAGGAAAAAACTATGTACAGTTTCAAGACATTAGAAAGAAAGTTTTAACCTCCTTGGATAGGTAAGTTTATATATATATATACAGTAGATATATCCAGCAATGTTAGCCTGATGTATGTAATAACTAATGTCGTTGCTTGGGGAATATTATATATCATTCATTATGCTTTCTTTTGGTCCCCAACCGTATCACTGAGATCTGATCTTGCTAGCACTGTAAAGGGATTCTTCCACTTATCACCTGTACTTTCAAGTAAGGAGTTAATTCGTCACAGTCTTTTGATTATATTTAAACTAATTTATAAAGTAATTGTACCCCACCTGTCGAAGAAAGCGGGGGACTATTCAAATGGGTTGGTTTGTCTGTCCGTCCGCCCGTCACACTTTTTGGGTCACAATAAATCTCCTGCTAATTGAACTAGAATGTTCAAACTTGGTGTAGGCGTTTATTAGGTCGATGCCTTGATGCAGTTCGATATAGATATATCCAGCAATGTTAGCCTGATGTATGTAATAACTAATGTCGTTGCTTGGGGAATATTATATATCATTCATTATGCTTTCTTTTGGTCCCCAACCGTATCACTGAGATTTGATCTTGCTAGCACTGTAAAGGGATTCTTCCACTTATCACCTGTACTTTCAAGTAAGGAGTTAATTCGTCACAGTCTTTTGATTATATTTAAACTAATTTATAAAGTAATTGTACCCCACCTGTCGAAGAAAGCGGGGGACTATTCAAATGGGTTGGTTTGTCTGTCCATCTGTCCGTCCGCCCGTCACACTTTTTGGGTCACAATAAATCTCCTGCTAATTGAACTAAAATGTTCAAACTTGGTGTAGGCGTTTATTAGGTCGATGCCTTGATGCAGTTCGAAGATGAGCTTTTTCTGCTTAGGGTAAACAGAGATAATCAATTTGATTGGTTGATGCTTTGGGACATGATAACTTTAGTTCTGATTAAGTGAGAGTGATCAAACTTGGTGTATAGTTTCATTACATCAATACCTTGACTAAGTTCGATAATGAACATTTTCTGCTCAGGGTAAACAGAGTGATAAGCTATTTGATTTGTCGAGACTTTGGAACACTATAACTCTCTTTCTAATTGAGCAACAATGTTCACACTTGGTGTAGGTGTTTATTAGGTGAATGCCTTGTTGGAATTCGAAGATGAGAATTTTCTGCTAAGGGTAAGCAGAGATAAGCAATTTGATTGGTTGAGACTTTGGAAGACAATAACTTTAGTTCTAATTAAGTGAGAGTGATGAAACTTGATGTATAGTTTGATAATGAGCATTTTCTGTTTAATGTAAGCAAAGCAATAAGCAATTTGATTGGTTGAGACTTTGAAACACAATAACACTCCTTCTAATAGAGGTAGAATGTTCAAACTCAATCTGATTAAAACACAGATCCTATTTCGTTTTGCTTTTATAGTTTAAAATTTTGTTTTACTTGTTTTTACTACACTAGGATCTGGAAGAGTTGTTCTCATTGATGTGTTCTGAATGATAGGAGCTATTAGCCAATGAAACGGTCTGTTTCGGCGAGCTTTAGGCGTGTTTTGCACAGAACTGTGGGTAATCCACTAGTAACATCAATGCTGATTGGTTAATCAAATGTCTGACATCATAGGGTCAAAAGCCGCTCATATGACCTCTAACGCGACCTATCACTACTACCGGTCAGATCTTCATGTAGTGTAGGCCATCAAAAGTATAAAAAAATGAAACAAAATGTAGATCTGTGTTTTAATCAGATTGGTTCAAACTTGGTGTAGGTGTACATTAGGTGAATACCTTGATGGAGTTCGATGATGAACATTGTCTGCTTACGGTAAGCAGAGATAAGCAATCTGATTGGTTGGTGCTTTGGGACAAGATAACTTTGGTTATAATGACGTGAGAGTGATGAAACTCCAAGTATATTCATTATATTTTCTACTTAGGCTAAGGAGCGATAAGCAATTTAATTGGTTAAGACTTTGGAAAATAACAAGTCTGCTTTTAATTGAGTTAAAATGATTAAACTTGATGTTGATGTTCATTAGGTGAATGTCTTGACTGAGTTCAATGATTAACATTTCCCGCTGAAGCTAAGCCGAGCTAAGCAATTTCTTTTACTTTGATTCTATCTGATAGAGAGTGATGAAACTTAGTGTATAGTTGATAATCAGTTTGATTGCTTGATACTTTTGAAAAAGATAAACGTGCAGTTAATTAATATGTGTCATCTATTTATTTCGGGATTTCAGCGGGGAACATCAGCCTCACTGTTAACTTGTTTACATCAAGCCTGCCTCACATATTGTGATTTTACTTATGATACGGCAGCCTTACTAATCAACTTCTTCTGTGCATCAGTTTCAAACTCCCCCAGTGATAGTCCACATGTTGCAATGAAACATCATACACTACAATTGTTTATGATCAGCTATGAAACAATTGAAAATAATTGAAAATCTTTAAAAAGCTGCAACAAACTGCAATTGTCTATGATACGCTAAAATATTGTATTTTGGCCAAAATCATATCACAGACAGCCTTTTTCTTGGGCTATCACAGGTTATCATTGTGTATCATAATGAAAATCGCAGTGTGTGAGGCTGGCTTACACACTAGTAGCTTTTCAGCTATAACACGTAAGCAGTAGAAAACATCAAGGGCTACTGTTCCATTGTTTTGAAATATTTCAGTGACACTAAAGTAGAAGTTAAGAAGATCTATACCATTCAGCGCCCAATAGAAGAGAGTAATTTTACTCATGATTTGTGTCCTAAAAAACTTCTCTTTCACTCATCTAGGGTAGAGAACTTTGTAGGTCTATTATCAAGGTAATTATCAGTTATAATTTATTGTAAAAAAGACTTCATAAAACTAAAGGCAATATTTAGAATACTTAACTGGGTTTTTTTTATAATATCAAAATTTTATGTTTTTCTTTTGAAAAATTCTACTTCTGTTCAGTTAAACGAAAAGGGGCATATATTTCAATATGCTAATAACAGATAGATAATAATGAGAGCACCTTGAATCAAATTTTGAAAACTTTATGGATATCTCCATTCAAACCTTTATTAAATTAATGATTTGTGTGCATGACCTCTCAGAACTACTAATTGTTATTTGGAAAGGTAAGAATAAGACAAACATCTTTTTACCCATTTCTGTATAAATTTTTTATTTTCAGAGGTCTGTTACTACCAAAAGTTGTTGTTGACGATTATGGTGGAAAAAGAACAGATGCTGGATTATTAGGAAGTGGAATCTATTTCGCCAGTTCAGCTAGGTTAGAAATATTTTATTACATTTGTTCAAATTACAAAGGAAGAAAAATAGAAACAAATGACATGGAGATTAAATCACATAGATAATAAAACAGTTACATAACATCCATCTGATAATTTAAATACCTTTCTGAAGCTACCAAATATATACAAGCAATTCCCTTATGTAAAAGGATTTTTATAATTGTTTAGACTTTTTTCTAAATCTTAAAAATCGACATTTCAATATTTGCTTTTTATTAAATGACGATCAATGTCTTATAAATATTGTCAATGCAAGGAAATATTTATTAGTTAACAGTATATGTGTGAGCTGCTCATACAATTACGTTATTTTATAGATGGTCATCATTAGGGGATCCACCATATATTTGCTACAATTTATTAAAGTGAGCCAAAGGCTTCCAAGTAGTGTATTTAGTTCTGTGTATAAGTATTTGTCTTTTTAATATATCTTAATACAATGTGTATAATGTATTTATTTTCCAGTAAAAGTGCTAGATATTCTACTGCTAGTAAAAGTGTGGGATCAAGACTTATGTTGATATGTGAAGTAATATATCTTAATACAATGTGTATAATGTATTTATTTTCCAGTAAAAGTGCTAGATATTCTACTGCTAGTAAAAGTGTGGGATCAAGACTTATGTTGATATGTGAAGTAGCTTTAGGTAGAACATGTCCATTTTATAAATCTGATCCCGACTTAAAACAGCCACCTGATGGTTATGGCAGTGTTCATGGTGAAAAAAGAAATGTGGATAATGGTTCACAATTTATGGTAAAGGATCGTTTCCATTTGTATTTGAAATGATGATGTGATTTAATGATAGTATACCGCCATGTCTTTGACATATATGTATGGAAAACAAGTATTGTTTACAGCTGAATTCCATAAAGTTTTGACATACAAATATCATCAAATATCAGATGCACAAATGTCAAAAGAAACAAGCTTTTAATTCAGACAGATGGAGCATATATCACAAATTTAGTCTTGTGCTTTTTAATTACACAAAATATTTCTGATATTCTACTAGCATAGAACTTGTTAAAACATCCCGAAGTAGACATGATTTTTAACTTTTTACTAGAAGTTACCATTTAATGTGATTAACACATATGGTCAATATTTGTTTTTATATATTGTTTTATTTATACAGGATGATGAATATGTTATATATAATATAAAACAACAACGTATAAAGTATCTGGTAGAATTTCAACTGCCAGGTGATACTCCTAATTACAACTCTTTAATGAACGCCGAAGACAATCTAGAGGAAGAAATAAAGGAGACAATAACGAAGATTGATGATATAGGTACAGTCTATTTATAGTTTTTGATCACCATTTTAGGGATTTTGAATCCCTTGCACACTCAGATATTATGATGGTTGAATCTCTAAATGGAACATCCGTCCAAAAATGGTTCAGTTCTTTTAAGTATTTACCAAAACATTATGAATGAATTGAAAATTTGGCAATGTCCAACAGGAATTAAATGGGCAGCAAAAATCCATGTCGCATTAAAAAAAACCCATGATGTTTTCATAATCTTCTTCACAGTGATTGAAAGCATCTTCATGGTTTTTATAATTCTGTTTTGTTTTTTGTTTTTAGAGTTATCCGATATACAAGATATAAAAAATCCTTTAGATAAGGTTAAAGCTGGATTGATATCTACTACAGATCAACCAGTGGATTTAAAATCAGTTCATATCAGAGCTAAATTACTAGATTTAGCTGTCCAGGTAATTATGTAGCCTGCTGAAAAGCAAAAATAACGATTGCAGAGTTTCATTATTGTAAATGACCTAAAGGAACAAATATTTGTCAAAAAATAAATGCAGCAACAATGTTGTTGAAACAAAAATATGACATGAAATAAAAACATAGTAATTAGCACAGCGAATGACAAAATGTAATGAAATGAGGTTTAACATCCTACTGTTCTGCTCCGACTCGCTAATGAAGACAGAGTTATGCCATGCAGTGTGCTATGAGTGAAATTTTGCTCGGACAACGGCACTATTGCCAAGGGATCTTTTACGTACACGGGAAATTGGTTTTTTGTCCCATCTGAATGACTAGACAGCTGTCCTTGTCAGGACCTCCGTCCTGCACCACTGACAAGGGGAAACCACGACGGAAAATCCTGATGAACTTTCTCAGCCAACACCGAGATCGAACCTACAACCCCTAGACTAGCAAGCCAGCATCTTACTCACTTAGCCACCATGGCTCCCGCAGCGAACAACAATCCTCGGGCAGCACATTCTTAGTGACTGCTTTTGGTCTACTACTTTGAACAAAATTCTGTTTTCTATCAAGAAAGTAGAAGAATACAAGATGCCTGACATACACTGCTTTTTGTTTCACAGTTTAAGTATATTTGATGTGTATTGTGCTGTTATTTTTTTGTGGGCATCGATCAATCAAAATGAGTTAGAAGAATTTGCAGTCTTAGTAAATTCTTAGACTATCATGATAGAGATCTTCATTAAATGACAGCTGTACAGTGGACTCTGTCACATCCGACATCGTACGGGATCGTTACAATAATTCGGATCACACAGCGTTTCGGAATACCGAGCTCTATCCAAAACCGGAAATAGTGTAACTTCGAAAACCGGAAGTATTTTTATATTGTAGCTTCGAATCACCAGAATGCTATTCCCTTTATAAATGATAAACTTTTCTGTACTTTCAAAATTTTATTACATTAAATAATTAACAATAACAATGCACGCGTACAATATATTCATAAAATCATTTACATGTAATATCAATGGATGCGTACAATATATTTATAAATATCAATGCATGTAATCGTTTAAAGTAGTTTGCTTAAGATTACCGGAAGCATATCGTAAGGCGAAGTCCTGGACAACATCTTCTAACAAATGAATTGTTGCGATCATCTTTTTGTCCTTAATATGTGCGAAGTGTTTAATGTCGTTGAGCATGCGTAGGCATTTTGAATAGGTCAAGTCTGTCGTTAATGTATATTCTTCTTCGTCCCCGTCTTCAGTCAATTGTCCACTTGTCTACTCTGTTACGTGTTCATTTATAATCTGTCGTTCTATGTCCAGTTTTTCAAGCCAATCAGAGTAAATGGCACCTGTTATCCACGCTTTGCAATTGGCCGACCAATTGACTGGCAGGTTGATCTTGTCCACTCCCTTAAAACATCTCGGGTTCATTGCTTTACCAATCAAAGTAATCAACACAGACCGCCGCTTGCGAGTTTTAATCTCACCGATAATTGATTGGTGATTGCTTGTTAATCTTTTATGGCTTCACACCCATTGAGTTTTAATCTCACCGATAATTGGATGCTTCACACCCACCGTTTGAAATACAGATTATATGGTGTCGATTCAATGGAAATTATGTGACGGGACGGCTGATTGATTTCGGAATCCGGAACAGGCAGAATTCGGATTTACCAGCGATTTTTTGGCTGAAGTAATAAGGAAATAAATAGGGACATGAAAATCATGTCGGATGTCACAGCAAACCGGAGTGATCAGAGATCGGATGTCACAGAGTCTACTGTATTTAGTGAAAAATTGAAAGTAGCATAATGTTGATTATTACTAGATATATTTGAGAGATTTACATATTAGCTTGGAATGTATTGGTCAATTTGGTACTGTGTAATCCTATTAAAAACAGTCCCATACTTCATAATTTAATACATTAGTGTTAAAATAAATGCCAAACAGGGCCGTATGTAGGATTTTAAAAGTGGGGGTGCAGCAGAGTGGTGGGGCGCCATAGCCTCCACGTATGTGATATAAGAAAGTTTCGATCAGGGCAAACGAACCCATTGGCGTGTGGGTGCCCTTAAAACCGATCGACTGATCAGTGCCTTAAGAACATCACTGTGTGATCATAATCAAGTGTATTATTTTATAATTGAAAGATTGTCAAATAATTTAGTGCACCCCCACTAAATACAGCCCTGATGCCAAAATGTAAAGAAAAAACCTGTTTACATTGAAAGTTTCAGCACTAAATAGTTAGTCATTTGGAATTCATCACCAAAATTGTTGACTGTTTTAATGGTTGATTTCTAGGTGACAGTTTTACAAGAATATTACAATAGTAGTACAGATAGCTCTCTAGAAGCAAAATATGTATTTCCATTAGATGATATGGCTGCTGTTTGTGGTTTTGAAGCTTTTATTAATGGTAAACATATTATTGGGGAAGTAAAAGAGAAGGAAACGGCTAGGAAAGAATATAAACAAGCTATAAGTGAAGGTCACGGAGCTTATTTAATGGACAGGGATGAAGAAACCCCAGTAAGAATTTATTTTCTTTTACAACCCAGGTGTAATTGTTAAACTTACATAGCTATGTAGTATGACTGTTAAAGATAAACAACCTCTCTAGTGTATGGTCTGTCTCTCAGATTGATGCAATGATATTTAAACCACAGAACAATCCCCACGTCATATAATAAAAGACTGAAAGATTACATTACTTTTTACAGATAAAGTTTTGTGATTTGTTTTCAGGATGTTTTTACTGTTAGTGTGGGTAATTTACCACCTGGAGCTTGTGTTCTTATTAAGATTATTTATGTTGCTGAACTACAAGTAGAAGGTGGAAAGATCAGTTTTAGATTACCAGGAAGTGTGGCACCATGGAAACATGATTCTGCCATTAAAGATCAGACACAGGTATTTGAAATGTAATCTGTGTTAACAATATTTTTATGTGGGTAAGTGTTTGCTGAAATGGGTTTTGGGATTGTAAAGTTGTTGTTCACTCTTAATGTTCGATAACATGATTAAGAATAGCATGATTTACATGTTATACTGACAGATGATGCGAAAAGTAGTGAAATTGGTTTTGATTTTTTTTTTAACTGCTGATTGGTTATGTTTGGTATATTTGATAGGATGAACTAGATACAGTAGCTGTAAAAGAAGAAGAAACGACAATACAGATTGCTGTTGAAATGCCATTTGATATTGTAACAATAAACAGTCCTTCTAATAGAGTCAGAATAAAGGTAGGATTATGGTTATACTTCAATTAGAATTATTAATATAAAGCCATAATAGATTAACACATTATCACCTTTAAACAGTTTTCAAGTTATCCCAAAAATAATTCTATTTTTTTTACAGATGTTTGAATATTTAATAATGAAAATTTGAAGGTGTTTTACTCTGAAGCGTATTGATGAATATTTATTTCTTGTATTTAGAAAACAGCAAGTAAGGCAGTTGTTGAAATGTGTAAAGGAGAAAATATTAGTCAAGGTTTTCAACTGTTGATTGGATTGGCAGAAATACATGTACCTAGAATGTGGGTGGAGCAAATGCCAACTGATTCAGACAATCGGGTACGCTATTTTTGAACCATTTATAGCTTATTTTAATTTTTTCTCAAACTACAGTATTCCTAATTCAACTAGCGACCATGAAAACAACAACAGAAAACAAACGACCTAAAAATATACATTTTCTCAAAATTTATATCTTTTCAGGCGTGTATGTTGACAATTTTTCCGGAGTTTGAAGCTAATGAGGAAGAAGAAACTGAAATAGTATTTATATTAGATGTATCCAACTCTATGTCTATTGAAGGCCTACAAGATGCTAAGAAGATTCTGTATCTAACATTACATCATTTATCTTATAAAACCTATTTTAACATCATAGCTTTTGGTACAGGTATGTATCAACAAAGGCCTGATCATATTTACCAGTCATATCTCTTACTGGCATTGAAAAGGTATCGTAGTATAACTACTTAATCATTAGAATAGCCTCCTAAAAGTATGGAAAAACAATCACTGGTTTGTACACATATAGCTCGCAGTTTCATCAAGTATCCTCTTGTCGTTTCCAAGCACAAATGATAATTAGTAAACTAAAAGGTAATATTTAAATGTTAAAAAGAGACCTTTGGTGTTACAGTACAAGATGATTGATTCAATTGGTAACTTAAAGTTGCCATTTCATATTTTTAAGTTATATTTTTAAAATTTATTAAAATAAAGCCTTAAAATAGATGGTATCTATAAACAGTCCTACCTTGTTAAGAATAATCCTATAATTCACTATTGCCAGTTCAGAAATTGACAAAAATATCATTTTCAACTTGAAATTCAAACGTTTGAAGATAGCTATTCCATGGGGTGAATAGAAAAACAGGGGAGGTAATTGTGTTATTATTTCCGGGGTCAAAGGATTTTTAAGTGGGAGAATAATACCTATGGTCGTATAATAGTGAGTTGACAACCTATTGAGCAAAAGACATAGAAATAATTATGTTTTGACTTTCTTATAAAATATGTTAACACATATAAAACTAATAAGGTAATCTAATGGGGGTTAACCAAAGCACAAAGAAGGACATATTATCCATTCAAAATTTAACTTTAACTCTATATTCTTCTATTGTTTATGGAGAGAAATTAAATTGAGTGAAATTCCACATCTGTTAATATTTTTTAATTATCTTGTATTCACATAATTTCATTTATATTCATTATTGAAGAATTTTATAAATGGTTATATTCAACAGATTATGAAGAATTATTTCCCTGTAGCCAGAGAAAAACACAAACAGTGATGGAATCTGCTTATAGATTTATTAAGGTAATATGAATGATATTGTTACTCTGTGTTTTAATTATTTTAGTACAATACCATACTAAGTAATATTGACTAAAATCTGAGCATCCTAGAATTCACTTTTTAATCTGCTTTTAAGCATAAAGAGGCATTATCACTTTCACCTAGAAGGTCCAAGTAATATATATATATATACAGTGGACTCTGTCAAATCCGACATCGTACGGGATTGTTACGCAGTGTCGGAATACTCAGTTTTCTCCAAATCGGAAGTATTATTGTAACTTCGAAAACTGAAAGTATTATTGTAACTTCGAAAACCGGAGGTATTATTGTAACTTCGAAAACCGGAAGTATTATTATAATGTAGTTTCGAATCCCCAGAACGTTATTCCCTTTAAAAATGATAAACCTTTCTGTACATTCAAAATTTTATTACATTAATTTTTATTTGATTTAACATGCGTAGGCATTTTGAATAGGTCAAGTCTGTCGTTATTTTATCTTCTTCATCGTCTTCAGTTAATTTATCTCCTTCATCGTCTTCAGTTGATCGCACACTTGTCTTTGGTGTCACGTGTTCATTGATAAACTGTTGTTCTTCGTCACACAATTCTGATAGATCCGTAGGATGAACAAACTTAGGTATTCAGGTTCAATCAGCATGCGCAATGAATGTTTCCAACAGGTGCTAGGAATATTTTTACGACTGTGAATAATTCGTGGGTATTCTAGAGTATTTGTCACAACTGTCTTACAAGAGATTATAATATTATCAAAGTAATCATCAAAGACCTACGCGAGCGAGTTTTAATCTCACTGATAATTGATTGGTGATTGCTTGTTAATCTTTTGTGGCTTCACACCCACCGATTGAAGGCCGGATTATACAGTGTTGATTCAATGGAAATTTTGTGACGGGACGGCTGATTGATGTCGTAATTTAGAATATTCAGAGTATGGATTACTCAAAGATTTTTTGGCTGAAATAATAAGGAAATAAATCGGGACATGAAAATGATTTTTGATTTCACAGAGTGCCCGAGTATTTAGAGGTCAGATGTGACAGAGTCCACTGTATAGTATTGTATCATAATTATGGACTGGGGTATTTATTGAAAATCTGAGCTTTGATGACCTACTTAGGTGATGCATTTTGTGTGAATGTACTTTAACCTCCTGAAAATCCTCCAATCAAAAGTTCTGTATAATCCGTAAATTGACAATTGAAGTGTCTATATCTCAATGATGGTTTGACTGATTAACCCTTTCATTACTAGTGAGTTTTATAATGTATGACGCCAAATCCTGACAATATTCAGAAAAAACGTCGAAAAAATATGCGAAATGTTCATGTGATTATAGCTCAAAACCTATCAACTTTCAAAGAAGACAAGTTATGATTTTCTGAAAGGAAATTGAATTCTCTTTCCAATGGAGTCAACTAGAAATATGCATCTCTCATCACTACTTATGTATCATAAGATGTATCTGAAAAAAAATTTGAAATTTTTTTCAAGATAACCTTTGGAGAAAAACTTAATGCTACAAAGTTCAAAATTAATCTGACAAGTTAATTTCATTTTAAGGAGAATTTAATTTCCTTCACAATGGTACAATATTTTTGAAAATCTGATGGTAAATAAAAAAATGGCAACCATTTTAGTAAAAGAGTAACAAAGTCGTCAACCGTACTGTGATTGTTGCGATCGTCCCTATTTAATATGTCCTCAAAGTCATCATTTTCGCTGCTAGACTCTCCAGACGAATCGTATTCCAGTCCTTGTTCAATTTCAATGTCACTTTCATCGTCAAAATTATCATCCAATTCACGGTCATTTATTACCTCTTTTTGCTTCAATTCGGCACATTCAACGTCATAAGAATCGAATCCATTAAAATCGCCGTCTGAATCCGATGACGCCATTCAAAAATTCAACGAAAAACCTTCATTTTTACACAAAACTCTTCAATATAAAAAATTTCACGGAGGCCGCCATTTTGAATACTGCTATGTTTACAGTACACTCCAGTTGTCGTTAGTCACGTGAGAGTTTTGTTCCGAGTGGAAAATTACCGAGTTTTACCGACCGTCATTTCGGGCGACATCGGGCGATCCCGTACAGGACGTTACGGGCGGTTTCGGGCGCTTACGTGACGAGAGGGTTAATTGATCTCATGTTTTCTGATTTGAACATGCTTCAAGTGTCTGTAATATTCAAATTAAATTACCAGTACATGTTTTTTACCAATCAGTAAAAACTCAAAAAGCACAGATGCCTCTTTAAATACATTTCTTTATATTAGCTTACCGCATTTCATGGATTTCTGGGACTTTAATCAATCTTTATTTGTTTCTGTTTACATGTAGTATTATATTTATCTCTTCATGTTTTATTGTATCATTTGTTTAATTATAGAAATGTGTTGCTAATAAAGGAAATACAGAATTATATGAGCCATTACACACTTTACATCTATTACAATCTACAAGTGGTGTTAGAAATGTTTTCATTTTGTCAGATGGCCATATTAATAATGATGATGCAGTGTTAAATTCGGCTCTGCTCAATTCTAAGCATACCCGTATATTTACCTTTGGAGTCAGGTTGGTTTATCTTTTCATTTCCCCCATTTCTTTGGAGTCAGCTGTCAAAACTAAGATTCTTGCATCATTTACTTTTTTAAACATGACTATTTAATCATCAGTAATCATTCCTTCAAAAAATTTGGAAAGTCATTTATTTTAAATTTTTGGAATGTCGAAATTTAATTTTAGTTCTTATGTGAAAATAATTAAGTAACATTTTTTATTTCATTTCATTTGTGATATTACCCCCGTATATTAATTTCAGTTCAACAGCGAATTTTCATTTGTTGCGTGGTCTAGCTAGAGTTGGTGGTGGAGCCTATGAATATTTTGATAGAAAATCTAAATCTAAGTGGGAAGATAAGGTATATATATGATTTATGTGTCCACTCTAACATACAACCATATCTGCTGTTGATTATGTGAACAAAAGAGCTGTGTCAGTTAGCATTAGTAGTAAATTGTTTTTGTGAAAAAATTACTTTCCTACCCACAGTTTCATCAGTAACCAGTTTGGCTAATACATCATTTGTATAGTTTCAAAAGAGGGAGGGTAAATTGTAGACATACATAATATACAATATGATCAACAATAAATGCAAAAATTGTAAATAAAGTTTTTATTGAGTATTCTTTACATTTCTTTTTGTTATTGAAATCAAATTCTTTTGGGGTAAATATAAGTCTTTTTTCATTTTGCTGCAGATAAAACATCAACTAGAAAAATCGGTTCAACCAAGTTTGACATCTGTGTCTGTGGAATGGCAGCAGTTTGATGATAATTTACCAGAACCTGTTCAAGCTCCAAGAAAAATCACTGCCTTATTTAATGGATCAAGACAAGTGGTTTATGGTTTTGTTCCTAATTGTACCCTGGTAAATACTTTGATTTTAATGCAGATAGTAATAGATGTTCAGATATTCTTACGTGACCAAGTGAATAAATGCATACATGGCATTGTTTAATTTGGCCCGATATTGGATAGATCAACAGTATAGAATTTAATACAATTTAAAAAGAAACTGCTGATCTATGCACCCCCCCCCTCCACTGAAGATTTTATTAGCCATTTTTCGTTCGATTTATTTAGTGACAGGAACTCAAATATATGAAATTAACTATTATTTTCACCAAGTTGTAAATGAGAGAAAAACAAAGCAACCAGACCCCCCCCCCCCCCTCTACTTAAGATTCTATTAGCAATTTTACGTTTGATTTTTTTAGTAACAGGAACTAAAATCAGAATGAATATATGAAATTAACTATTATTTTCACCAAGTTGTATATGAGAGAAAAACAAAGCAACCAGACTAATAATTTGTGTTTTATATATTGTAGGCCACTTTAAAGGCTGTAATTGATGGACAAGAAGTATCAACTGTTGTATCTACACCTGAACTAAATATAACAAGAGGCCAGGTAAGGAATTTTAACATTTAGAAAAGGAATTTTAACATTTAAAAAAGGAATTTTAACATTTAAAAAAGGAATTTTAACATTTAAAAAAGGAATTTTAACATTTAAAAAGGAATTTTAATATTTAATTTGAAAAAGGAATTTAACATTTTAAAAAAAAGGAATTTAACATTTAAAAAAAGGAATTTAACATTTAAAAAAAGGAATTCTGATGTTTAAAAAAGAAATTGTAACATTTAAAAAAGGAATTTTAACTTTTAAGAAATAAATTTTAACATTTAAAAAAGGATTTTAACATAAAAAAGGAGTTTTAACTTTTAAAAAATAAATTTTAACATTTAAAAAAGGATTTTAACATAAAAAAGGAATTTTAATCTTTAAAAAAAGACATTTAATGTTATCACTTAGTCCCTCACTGGTATATTTCCATTAAAACCATATTTATCCCAATTAAACATGTATGATGGTACATACATTTATTATCAGGCACTGTGTAGGGCTTATTTAATCTTGTTTCTCGGTATTTTACAATCTCATTTTCTATTTTAAGAATATATTTTGTAATACCATAGCAATTTGAATTAAATTTACCGATACTAATATTAGAAAAAAAAAGAAGAAATTTTAACTTAAAAAAAAAGAGGGAGTTTCAACATTTAAAAAAAAGGAATTTTAACATTTAAACAAAAAAAAAGGAATTTTAACATAAAAAAAGGAATTTTAACATAAAAAAGGAATTTTAACATACAAAACGAATATTAACAAGAATTTTAATCTTTTAAAAAAGACATTTAATGTTATCATTTAGTCCCTCACTGGTGTATTTTCCATTAAAACCATTAATTATCCCAAGTAAACATATATGTACATACAATTATTATCAGGCACTATGTAGGGTTTAGTTAATCTTGTTTCTCGACATTTTACAATGACATTTTCTTTTTTAAGAATACATTTCTTAATACCATAGCAATTTGAATTAAATTTACAGATACTGCATAGATTAACAGCTAGAAGTATTATTCGTGATTGGGAAGATGGCATGTTATCATCAGATAAAACAGATCATGAGGTTGGATTTTATTGAAATTTATTGTGTAAGGTTTGGTAACCAGAAAAATGCTACTTCTGTCTCTATAGCTTTGTGAACATGAGGCTGGCTGAGAAACAAGGCCCAGGATTTGATCCTGGTGTTTTTTGAGAAATGAATTTTCAGACTGGGACCCTCTTGTCAGTGGTGAAGGTCAAAGTTCCCTTGTATACCATTGGCAGTACGTTAATGATGTTATCACAATTCAAAATCAAAATAAGAGTAACCCTTGGCGCTGATGTCCGAGCAAAATTTGCCTCATGACACACTACATGATGTATGCCTGTCTTTATTAGTTCGGTTGAAAAAGACATTAATAAAGCAGTAAGACATTAAACCCCATGTCATTTCAGACTTTGTTCTTTGAAATCCATTTCAGGTTATTAAAAGAAACTTAAAACCATATATTATTGAACTAAGTAAAGATTATTCAATTGTTACACAATTTACAAGTTTTATAGCCGTAGAGAAAAGAGATGAGGTAATATTTTATTTTTCATTTAATAAACTTTGTGGCTCAATGGTTGACACTCTTTAGTTTGTTGTGGGCTTATTGGGCATTTTTTGAGTCAATAATTTGATTTTTGCTGGACATTACAAGCATCATACATTCAGATGAAATAAGGATTAGATACTTGAACATATGCTGGGGAACATCTTAGGGAACATATCTTTATCAGAAAATGATTTATCAATCATACAAATGATGACTAGCAACATCAGTTATATTTATACTGAATGATTTATCTCATATTTTTAGGATGAGAAAGATTTAGGACAAGGACGTGGTCCGGCTATATGTAAACTGGTTAATGATGAAGATGTTGATATATTACACCAGATATCCTTTCCTGATGAAGAGCAAATCTTAGTTCAAGTTGATGTAAGTTTTAATATTTATAGATCACAAAGTTGGTGAACAAGTATAGATGGTTTATTATCCATGTAAAATATACACTTTGATACCATTAAGAATGACAACTAGAACCACATGTATAAAGCAAAAAATTAAGACAAGCAAAAAATTAACATGTTTAATTGAACATATCACTAGTTGCATTAATTCTGATCCACATTTCTATTAGGGATGTTGAGTAGTCTTGATCTTATTAAGACTTTGCATACTTCTTCCATGTGTAAAATGATACTGGAATTGAATTTCTATGAAATTTAAAAGGGTTATTATCAATCAAAATGTTGCTTATAACCTCTACTTTAATTGATCAATCTTTTTTTAGAATGTACTAATAGAATGTCCAAGAAAACTCATCATTTTTTGGCATTTCCATAGATACCAGACAAACCACAGCCTATAGCTAAAAAATGTCCCTTGGGTTTCTTGGACTTGTAATTACTATTGTCTATGCTAAATTTGATGGAAATGAGAAAATTAGACTTCTGTTGTCATCAGCACTCTTAATTATCATGCTTTTGGGCCAAATTTCGAACATAGATGGTAAATGAAATTGGTTTATCACCCCAAATAACAAAAAATGTCATATGTTATGAACAAAACTTACAGAGTTAGCTTTAAAATGTGCATTTTAGACTGCTCAACACCTCTAACACAACAAAGTGCATTAGTGTTATTATGGTAGTTCCACAAGTAAATCAGCATGTTGTCAAATATAACACCCCTGACACTCAAAACTATAAGTTTATCAATGATGAATGATAATGTGAAATGTTGATCAATGATAGTGATAAGTCCAATGGTGTAATCATCTTATATTTAAACTGGTGTCCCCTGAAGAAATTGTTTCAAATTTTCAAATGTGCCAGAGAAAATATGTAGTCAATTTTGTTTCCATTGGTTAATTACTGGTCTTAACCGGATTATCTTAAGTATGATCACAGCTTCTGGTCCTAGTCTTGTTAATCTCAGAAATGGCGCCTCTAGTAATTTAACCTTAAATTTCCCAAAATTTCAATCATAAATTCTGGAATTGATGTTCATATTTATGAAATTATGTGATAACAGTACAGGACAGAGTTCATAATGAAATATATAAATATATTGTGTATTAGGTCACAAAGAAAAAACCTATCAATTTTCAGAGTTATCTTTCCATCCACATTTTATTTGTATAGCTTGTGTGAAATCAATGGAATTTTGTTGTCTTTATGGGATTGTTGACGGGGCATGGGAATATTTAAATTGAAAATGAAAGTGTTATCCCTCCATATTTTTAGAACACTTTTAGCAGAGTTTGCTTTCCATTTCTATTTTTTCTTTGTAAGCGCTTGTAAGCACAATACAGGACAGAGTTCTGTATTTAAATTTGAAAACTTGTTTGGGATTTTTTAAAATCTTACTTGGCCGGATTTTATATAGTAAGTGCATAAGGACCAAACTACATGCCAACAAAATCGATAAGATATACAGGCACTGCAAGCAATGAAGAGAGAGAGAAATGGGGTTTAACGTTCACTTCACACAATTTCGGGACTAATATATGGTTCAGTTTTATTTCAATAATTCGCTTGCGCATAGGGGTCTTTAGCAGTGGGAGGAAACTGGAGGACCCAGACAAAACCCATGAGGTTTGACAGGCGACCCTACTCCTTGTCATGTTCAAGCGAGGAATTGAAACCACGCCACTTGACTCAATGGCAGACCTTGTGATTTCCTGCGCACGCGTTTAACCACTAAACCATCTCCCCCCTCTCCCTCTCCCCACCCTGCAGGCAATAATCAACAAATATCCAATCAAGTGAATGGATCTGGTTGCCAGCATTGACTTTTGAGCCAACACAATTGATTGGGTTCTGGTTGCTGGTATCTATAGTTGATGATTTATACATATGTCCAACCACATTCTACATGAGTGTTTTCTGGGCATTATCAGTGTGTCACTGTATGGACATAACACATTTTTATACGCCCACATTTTCATGTGGACGTATTATGCCGTCGCCCCCGTCCGTCCGTCCACAATTGTTTGTGGACACTCTACAGGTCACAATTCTTATCCGATTTTGACGAAACTTGAAATATAGGTTTATCTCCAAAAGATCTCGGCTGCTTTCGATATTGGCATGTATCGGATCGAAACTTCATGGATTATGGCCCCTGTTTGTACGAAAAATCACGTTTTTAGCTTGTGGACACTATAGAGGTCACAATTTTTATCCGATTTTGTTGAAACTTAAAATGTAAGTTGATAACCCAAAGATCTCGGTTCCTTTCGATATTCACGCATATCGGACCATAACTTCCTGAATTATGGCCCCTGATTGTACGAAAAATCACGTTTTTAGCTTGTGGACCCTATAGAGGTCATAATTTTTATCCGATTTAAAAAACCGTATTAATATATCACCGTTACACCCTAAGGATGGCTGAGTTCGAATTTCGTGAAAATCGGCCTAAAATTGACAGACAAAATGGCCGCCGTTCGTTCTCAAATAGCGTAAAAATATGGTATATCAATTTTGTGGACCCTATAGAGGTCACAATTTTTATCCGATTTTGTTGAAACTTGAAATGTAAGTTTATAACCCAAAGATCTTGGTTCCTTTCGATATTCACCCATATCGGACCGTAACTTCCTGAATTATGGCCACTGATTGTACGAAAAATCGTGTTTTTAGCTTGTGGACCCATTAGAGGTCATAATTTTTATCCGATTTAAAAAAACTGTATTATTATATTACCGTTCCACCCTAAGGACAGTTGAGTTCAAATTTTGTGAAAATCGCCCCAAAATTGACAGACAAAATGGCCGCCGTTCGTTCTCAGTTAGCGTAAAAATATGGTATATTAAGGTTGTGGACCCTATAGAGGTCACAATTTTTATCCGATTTTGTTGAAACTTGAATTGTAAGTTTATAATCCAAAGATCTCGGTTCCTTTCGATATTCGTGCATATCGGACGGAACTTCCTGAATTATGGCCCCTGATTGTACGAAAAATCGCTTTCTTTTTAGCTTGTTCTCTATCCACCTCTCGAAAATGTGGGCGTATCCTGCCTGGCAGCCGCTGGTTTCTTTTAAATTTACTTATATAATTATGATTGTCAGCGGAATATGTGGACAATTTTATGATAATAATCTGAAACAGTATTGAGCATATATTATATTTACAGGAACAAAAAGAGGATGTGGATGAATTATTGTTAGATACAAAAATGTCATTATCAGAGGACAGGTCAATATCAAGGGACAGGTCAATATCAAGGGACAGGTCAAGGGACAGGTCAATATCAAGGGACAGGTCAATATCAAGGGACAGGTCAGTATCAGAGGACATGTCAGTATCAGAGGAATCTTCGGATATAGAAAACTGGTCAACAAATAGTTTACAGAGTTGGGGAAAGGAGGAGACTTGTGATGCCGGTATGTTCTCTAAGTTAACCAGTCTCTATAGTTACTTTTTAGGATCAAATGTATTAGAATTATTTGAGATAGCCACCCACAGTGGCTCTGTAAGTATGTCACTGACTCACAAACCAGGAAGACACAGGTTCGATCCCAGTGTTGGCCAAGAAAGTTCCTCAGATTTTTCCGGCCTTGTTTCCCCATCTTAGTTGTGCCAGATGGAGGGGGGCCAACTATAAAAGAAAGCCAACTAGTCATTCTGAAAAGACACAAAACCAATCCTTTGCAATTAGAATCCAAAGATAGTAAGAAGAAATACAGCTGTCTGGGCAAAGTTTCCATCATACCATTGTTTTGTTTTACCTGTTTCTATTTAATGGAAGTTTCTCACATATCGTTTGGTCATATATAGTCGTCAACTTTTCAGTCCGTCCGTCCATTTGTTAACAATTGGCTTGTGAGGCTACAGTTTTTGGCAGATCTTTTTCAAATTTGGTCTGAAGCATTGTAGTCATAAGATTCTTTTCAAATTTAGTTTGAATCAGTGTTGCTTTTTCAAAAAACATTTTGTCAGACATTTTTACCGAAAATAAAAGGCGTAACTCTTATCATTATTTAAGCAGGCAGATTCAGACCACAATTAAAAAAAGGCGCACCTTTTTATTTTTCAAATTTAACTCCCAAACGGTATTTAAATTCATATCAGTAATATTCCTAAAAAAAAGTATATGTTGTCTTAATATGATGTAGTAATTGTAATGTAGTAATAGTACTTGTTTCAAATTATAATTCACGGCAGTAATATTCCTACAAAAGTACCATATTTTTCGGGGTATAAGTCGATACTTTTTTCAGCAGAAGTCTGACCTTCGTCTTATATTTCGCATGAACTTAAAAGTGTCCTCTTGGTTATTTTACACATGGAACAAGTGTGCAAAGTAAGCAATCCAATAAAATTGAATCATAGTGGTGTTGAGCATATTAGAGGGCTGACATGTACACATAGATAATCATCATTTATTTTTGTCTTCCATCATATTGTATTACGTTTTTTGGAAATCATTCTTTCATTGTTTCGCAACATTTTAGAAGATGCAAACCGACCACTGATACCACCATCTATCAGACACCGGCTATCTAACCAATGCGATAGATCAAGATGCAGTAAGGTCAAAACTGTATACAAATTTCTCATTCATATTATCAGGTGCTTTGACATCTGTCTACAAAATATACATGTAAACTATATTGGCAGAGAGAGAATCAACCATTTGTCCGCCAAGATTTGTAATTATATAAATCAGCAAGATGTAATCTAAAAAGAAAACTGAAATTCCATCGTCAAAATCAGTGCATTGTTTTTTCACTACAAAGCTTTCAGTTGCTTTTAATAAAACTTAGTATGTGCCCTAGTCCCTAAGGATCATATTTGTGAATAATTTGCACTAGCTTGTGAATGATCAGATATTTATTGCTGTCCTTATGTATTCCACTAGTTGCTTCTTTTATCACACACAAAACTAATCCTTGTCAAATAGAGAGACTCCCATCTATTCTATTACTTTTGGAATTGTTGCTCATGTATCTAAAACTTGTTAAGAAAGACAATAATCTTTTTAGATTCTTTTTTTCAAATTTGCCAGAATTTGTAGAAAAACTGTAACCTTTATTAACATATTGGATGGCTAAAGATGTTGGTGGGCATAAATTTTGTTGCCTGGCAACCAATCTTAAGCAATTTGATAAAATTATATCCTGTTCTGTTTTTTTTTCTTTATGGTATTGAATTTTTACCATGCTTAAGATTTAACCTTTAGTCCTAGCAGCTGTTGTATGGATGGCCGATGTCTGCTGCATCACAAGACTATTGATTTCATTAATACTAATAATAGATCAGTCTGAGAAAGTTGATTTGAAAAAGATGTGATTTTAATCAGATGGTGACTTTAGATATTTTCTTACTTATTGCAGTTGATCAGTGTGTGAACTTTGACGACAGTGATGATGAAATGGGATTTGGTTTATTTGGTCAGTATTTGTTATAAAAGTATGAAAAATGTTGCTAAACATATTTTGGTCTATTTCATTGAGATGCCTTTTTATAAGCCAATTTGTTAATTTTTTAAGTTATTTACCAATTTTCATCAACCAGGGTGGCTCAGTGACTAAGACGCTGACTCATTAACTAGATAATCTGGAGGTTCGATTGAGGTGATGGTGTTGGCCAAGAAAGTTCCACAGGATTTTCCATCTTGGTAACCTCTTGTCAGTGGTGAAGGACGGAGGGTCAGGCAAGGAATAAAGTCTAGTCCTTCTGCATGCAAATGAAAGAACATTTGACAGTTGGAATTTGAAATAAGAGTAGACAGAAATATAGCTATGCATGCAAAGTTTACCTTGTAACAAACTGCATGGCAACATGGCTATCCTTATAAACCCGGTTGCTGCGTAACAGTAGGATATGAAATCTTATTTCATTTGAAACTTATTTGAATTTGATCATTCCATTTGTAATGACAAATCTCCCCTCCCCATCATAGTATTACTCAGTAGTAATTGTTATCCATAAATAGGGTTTTATTTGATTACTAAATGAAATTCAAAGAATAAACTCTATTTCTGCAGAATTTCATCTCCTTTTAAACTTATTTGATCATTCTATTTGCATTTCCATATGAAAAATTTAAGATGTTCACAGATTGATCACCATCACACTGATGCATGGGCGTCACACATGGGGGGGGGGGGGGTCTGAATATACTTGGCCCCCCCAAAATTTACATTGTAGGCCCTAACTCCTATTTATTTACAACAATTATTAGGATTAGTTAGGATTCTATCTGTGTAAAACAATGTACAAATTAAAACACAAACACTTATGTTTACTTTTTGAAATCCATTTATAATACACAAAATGTACAAAATACTTTAAATATCTATACAACTTTCTTGTAAATGTCAATGTGTATATGTATATAGTATTGTAGTTAACAAGGTGATTGTCAAATATGCATCCTCATAAACTAAAGTGATGTGATCAAGTTTTATTTCATTTGGATTCTCCTTATAAAAATTCCACTACTAAACCCTCTTTGTCGTGTTGTTCATAACTCAAGCGTAACATTCAATATGTAAAAGTCATGAAAAAAATATGAATACTTCAACATGATAAACATTGTATTGGTGTGATGTTTTAGTTTAACCCCGTAAAATATGCCAAAACAGTGTTTACAGAAGACTGAAACTGAAAATTTTAATCGGCTGCTGCGTCACAGATTGTCAACATTTATATAATTTCATTTGCGGACCCCCCCCCCCCCCCCTAATATATATTTCACGGCTACGCCTCTGCACTGATGACAATGAGTTAACCATTTGTGTTTCTAATTCTTCTGGGGCTTTTCTTTTTTTTACTTATTTCTCTCTTTTAATTCATTTTTGAGGTAGCCTAATATAAAACTGTCAGTCTCTTAGTTTACACCATGGAAATTTATTTCAGATGATGATATGGATATTACACAAATTGCAGACTTACACCATGGTAAAATGTTATTTAATTAAAATCTATTATTGTGCATTTTTTTTTTTTTTTTTGGAACAAATACTTAATTTTCAAATTGTTTAAGCAGCATTTAGTAACTGAATGCAAATAACTCATGAGACAATTATATAGAATACAATTTACTGTAAAGATTTATTTCTGTGAATGTTTGGACAGAGTTTTCTTGCCTTTATCAAGCCAAGAACCCTCATTGAAATGTTTCCAGAAATAAATCTTTTAAATAGCTTGTATTCCATATAATTGTATCGTGTCATACTTCAAGAAGAGTTTGGATTTATATTTGCATATTGTTGTTCACACTTCCTTCTGTCTGCTCATCTATACAATTCATCCAGTAGAGTTACCTCTTCATGCTTTTGCATGATTGATTCAGGACTTTTAATTTCAATAGTCTTCATCAGCTTTATCTTTATTACTCGTCAAACAATCCCAGATAGGTTTTATTTTAATAAATCTAAAAACTCTGGCCAGTAGATAAAACTGTGCCAAAACTTAAAATGTACCTTTGAGTTTCAAATATGTTCATGTTTATTACTTGGCAGACATTCCCAGCATGTTTGAAAAAATACTTCTCTCAATCAAACAAAGTTTGAAAAAAAAAATGTACAGCATTTACCAGGGCGATAACTCAGCAATTAAATGTATTCAATAGGGTTCATCCAGGATGAACTTACTATTATTACTGATGACTATTATCTACAGATAGTCATTATTCTGGGGAATGATTGTACACATGCTGGACTTTTGATGGGTTCTGTTTTTTGTGGGTCACCTGTACTAAGGAGGCATAATATTGAAATTCAGAATGGTACAATGATGTTTTACTGTTCTTTACCAGGCCCTCTGTTCTGCACCACTGACAAGGGGAAAATAGTCTTAAAAATTCTGAGGAGAAACATATATAAGACAACTAAAATTCATGACTTTGCAAATTTGTTCAAATATTGTACACATAACCACAATTTTTTGCTGAAAATTGGTATAATAAAGTTTTCAGGCATAATCTGTTTTTAACTACATGTATTTGAATTGTGTGCAATATTTTTACCAGAGAGTTTATAATGGGTTCATAGTTCATTAGCATGTTTCATCAACAGTTCACACTTTCAGATGTAGGGTGACCCATGTACTCATAAAATACAGTCCACCGCTGATAGTTCGAGACTACCACTGAAGCGTGCACATTCGCCGTGCCGAGACCAACTTTCTGACAGTATGATACTATAAATAGCCATGGCACGTGCAATTCTCTACAAATCTATCAACTATTACAGCCGTAAAAAATTTATTGTTGACGATTTTGAATAGCAGTTAAATTAAGCTTCTTGGTTATTACAGCAGATTTAGATATTACGTTCGTTTCATTTTTAAAATCGCTTTATCATTAACTGTACCGTTAAGAGCGGCATCTTTTGGTTTAGTACAAATAATATCTCTGAATCACTCGGGTTAGGCAGGAACATGATACTAGCAGTAGTTTCATTTTACTTTTACAAGCTTCTTAAAACGATTGTTGAGCTACCTAACGTGCTTATTTCTAAATTCAATTTCTTGTTCTAGCTTTCTGTTATGTTTCGTAAAAAAGTAGTCTTGATTATCCCGACCTGTCAATCAGACGTAGAATGGTCGATAGACTGGTTAAGCGAGACTAATTTCAAAACAAGGGCACGTAACCTATCTTTTACTCAAAAGTGTCTGGATGTTATGGACGACTCTTGGAACCAGTTTTCAGTCTATTATTTATACATGATTAATGGTCATAGCTTATTAAGTACAACATGATCGTTTATTTAGTGACTATAATTGTGTGAAACTGATTTGAGGCTTGGCATATATATAAATATTGGGGTGTAATTGTCGAGATATATGGAGATATTTATTTATGGTGGGTCACCCTATCAGATGTTATAGGACAGCTGTGCTTAAAAATATGTTTTCCTTCATAACTTTAGTTCCTTAGAAGTTGTAAATTTCAAAAACATACTTCAGGCTATTGAATTTGATGAAACCATATTGTTGTTATTTTGTTGATCAAGTTGCCATGCTTGTTTTTGCAGGTCCACCAATTCCTCCTCACAAACCGTCGACTGGTTCACAGGATTCAGAAGTAGGACAACAATGGAACTGTTCAGCTTGTACTTTCCAAAATCATCCGACAGTGAATAGGTGTGAATGCTGTGAACTACCTAGAATAGGTACGGCATATCCATATAATCATAAATCCTACAAAAAATGCTACTGTTAAAATCGTTGATGCTTCTTTAACTAAATATAAATTGCCATTTGTGATGATCTGTTTAGTAAATAATCATTCACAACTACTTTAATACCAATTTGAATATTTTAAAATTCAGTTAACCTTTAATTATTATTATCCTTAATCCATGGAAAATATGAGTGTATCTTGCATGGCAACCGATTGTTCAACAATATCAATACCTTAAAAACATTGATAATGTTTCTGTTTAGAACACAGATTTTTTAAACTATTCAGTTTTATTTTGTATGCATAAAAATTGTATGTAATCTGATTAAAACACAGATCCTATTTCGTTTCGTTTTTTATAGTTCAAAATTTCGTTTTACTTGTCTTTACTTCCCTACGATCTGGATGAGTTGTTAATGACCTGAGTTCTGGTTGATGTGAGGGATTAGCCAATGAAACGGTCCGTTGCAGTGAGATCTTGGCGTTTGATGCACGAAACTGTGGGTATCCTGCTAGAAACATCAATGCTGATTGGTTAATCAAGTGTCTGACGTCATAGGATCAAAAGCCGTTTCTATGACCCCTGATGCGACCTCCCACTACAACTGGTCAGATCTTCATCTAGTAGAGGCCATCTAAAGTATAAAAAAAACAAAACGAAATATAGATCTGTATTTTAATCAGATTGAATTGTATGTAATCTGTTATTTTTAAAATCTTTGTAGGAGATTGGCAAACTCCACTATCTGGTTCATCATGGATGGATGTAAAACAAAATGCTGTGCCCCCTCCCCCACCTCAAATTTCATCCTCTAGACCCCAACCACCACCACCACCACCAAGTTCTGGGGTACAGCCTCCCCCTCCCCCACCTGCTGTAGGAGCTGCACCACCAGCACCTCCATCCCCACCCTCTACATCATTTGTTCTCTCTAGAAAAGAACGAATTTGTGATAAAAGAGATCGGATAATCAAACACTTTCAAACACTTGGAAAGGTAAACATTTTATAGTTGTTTAACATTGTATGTTAATTTAAGTAGTGAATTCTAAAACGTTCAGAGCACTGAAAAATGATGAGAGTCAGAAGCATCATTGCAACAAGAAACAGAACCTTACTTCCAGATATATCAGGTAGACAAGTACTGGTTTAATCTTTGCTTCCAGATATATCAGGTAGACAAGTACTGGTTTAATCAAAGTTAACATCATTTATAGGATTTGTTTCTTGACTGGATGCATAAGAATATATTCTGTAAATTTCACATATATATTCAATTTATGAATGTTTTTTAAATATCAATAGGTTGAACATCAAAAACAGGCCAAAATCCCATCAGTTGATGAACAAGATGGTTTAGAAAATAGAAAAAAAGCTGTTAGAGGTGAAGGCATGTTGGGCGACTTACTATTGAAACAGAGTCTCAAAAGTGAAAATCTGAGTACGTATGAATTGACCTTGTCTCAAAATTTCAGCTCAAAATATTCATTCGTTTGGACGTGAACGTCAAAACTGCTTATCCAGACACGTAACCCTTTTAAGATTTCGGGTCAATTTTTTCATTGGGTGACCTGATAATCGATTCCCGTTCCTTTAGAGGTCTATACAATGAATGACCCATGTGCTGTACTTGATAACGAAAGGTAAATTTCATCAACACATTATTTTTATACGCCCACATTTTCATGTGGACGTATATTGTCGTCACCCCTGTCCATCCGGACGTCCGTCCACAATTGTTTGTGGACACTCTACAGGTTACAATTTTTATCCGATTTCAACGGATATTGCCATGTATCGGCTGTAACTTCATGGATTATGGCTTGTGGACCCTATAGAGGTCACAATTTTTATCCGATTTTGTTGAAACTTGAAATGTAAGTTGATAACCCAAAGATCTTGGTTTCTTTTGATATTCTCGCATATCAGACCGTAACTTCCTGAGTTATGGCACCTGATTGTACGAAAAATCACCGTTGCACCCTAAGGATGGTTGGGTTCGAATTTCGTGAAAATCGGCCCAAAACTAACAGACAAAATGGCTGCCCCTCATTCTCAAATAGCGTAAAAAATATGGTATATATCAAGGTTGTGGACCCTCTAGAGGTCACAATTTTCTTCTGATTTTGTGAAACTTGAAATGTAAGTTTATAACCCAAAGATCATGGTTCTTTTCGGTTTTCGCACATATCAGATAGTAACTTCCTGAATTATGGTCCCTGATTGTTTGAAAAATCGCGTTTTTAGCTTGAGGTCCCTCTAGAGCTCACAATTATTATCTGATTTGAAAAAAAACTTTCAAATATATCACTGTTACACCGTAATTGTGGTTGAGTTCGAATTTCGTGAAAATCGGACCAAAACTGCCGGACAAAATGGTCGGGCCACGTACACAATTAGTGTAAACATCTGGTATATAAAAGTTGTGGACCCTCTACTTACTCAACCCTAAGGTAGAGGATTTTAAGGGATTTTAACACAAAATTAAGCAGTTTTATTCTGCAAATTATTATTTGGATTGACCCTTCAAACACTTTAAACTTATCAGTAGGAGCTGACTGCGATAAAACTAATCTCAGTTACAAAAAATTATATTGTATTTGTGGCAGACATATAGGGTTTGGGAACATTAAAGTTATCACTTGACTGAAACTATTATACCAAGATTCAAATTTTGAATACAGACACTAATTATTAAAATACGGGTAAGAAACCTATACCACAGATACTATTGTTGACTGTTTATTAAAATATTAGGTGTTCTGTGAGAGGATTATTCAGTGATTGTTTACATTTAACTTATAACTGGTCAGTGAAAACATCAAAGATAAGATTCCAATTTTTATATATATGTATATGCAGTCCTCTAAATTCAGAATTTTCTACTATGGCACAAAAATATGAAAAATGCTTTGGCAGAATGGAACTGCTACCGCACCACTGCATTTTTTTGTACAACTTCTGAACTTTCAAGATGAATAAATTTATATGATAAACAAAACTAATGTTAGTGGTATTACATATACTTTTATAGTTATTATTACTGTAGTTTAAAATATTCTGCAAATTGATATACTAAAAAAGAAAACAACATTGATGACAGATGAGTGTCAAAAAGAGTAGAAGTAAGCTATATGTATCCATATGCGCGAATACTTTGTGAAATCAATTAAAATTTTCTTGTTTGTTTGGCATATTATAGCTACAACACTAAAACAGATCAATTTTATTTAATTTTGGTTTGAAAGATTAGCAAGAAAATAAATGTGATGACCTGTTATACGTTCCATTACATATTATGGTGTAGTAATTACAAACAAAGGGTGTGAATCGGTCCAGGTCCTTCGTACGTGACAAACGATACAGTTAAAAAATACAAATGACGAGAATGGTAACATTGTTCATGCATTAGCCAGAGTAACCAGGCAACAGTCTGTGCACCCTATGTCTAGTTTAGTTTATAATCGTTGAAAATAACACCACTGTACAAGGTAAAGCATGGATAAGCCTACAGCACATGGGTTAAAAGTGTATTCGATAATTGCAATAAATTTGTCCGACTTTCGTATACAAAATGATAAACAAAATATGTATTGACCATATAACACGGTCAGACGACTTCCTCCTGGTACTATTCTATAACCTGTACATTAGTCATTATTAGAATCATAAGATCTTCCATGACAAAAAACTAAGTGAATTATGCCGTGGCAGACAGAGGTTGCCTTGGCTTTTACCACAGTTTTGCCGTTTGGTGTGGTTAATTTTGAGCGCTGTATATGTGTATTTATTAGATTGCATACCACACACTTGTGTGTGCTTTAACCTGTACATATGGTTTACATTCAAATTATTCAGGGTTCCCGCAGTCCTTGAAAATCCTTGAATATCCTTAAATTTAAAATTTCATTTTCAAGGTCTTGAATATCCTTGAATTTCGCGGAAATAGGAAAATATCCTTGAATTTCAGTTGAGATCCTTAATTTTGTATCAAATGGGTAATAATAGTAAGTTGATATGAAAATCCTGTTTAGATTAGAAGTTTTATAACGATAGTTGTAATGTTTTGGTTATTTTTAAGATGAAAAATTGTAACTTTAGGCTAAAAAATGTCCTTGAAAATCCTTGAATTTATCCTTGAATATCCTTGAAAAAATGTTTGACGAAGCTGCGGGAACCCTGTTATTGTTTGATAGTCATTAAAAATCGTTTGTAAAGTCCAAAAAGCTTGTGCCTAGGGTGTAGTTAAATGGTTATGGTGTAAGTTTCCCGAGAGGCGTGTATCAAACAATTTCCCATTTATTCATCTACAGCATTTATTTTTTAGACGGACAGTACAATTTTCTGAGAGGCATGTATCGATCATTATCCCTTTTATTTATCTACAGCATTTATCTATTAGATGTTTAATTTCCCAGGATACATTTAGCCAATCTGTTTAATTACGCACTGCGTTGGACAGGTTGATTTTAATTAAGATTATTTACTTATGAAGCAGGCATAAAAAAAAGTCAAAGATTATAAAAAAAATGTTCACCCATATAGATGCTTGTCTTACTGACCCTGTGGTAATAGTATTATAATCCATTATATATATAAAGATGCTTTCCCACAAAAGTATTTATCAGCTGGTTATTTCAAATTTTTGCAATTTTGGTATATATGGAAAGTAGAGACACCCAATCTTACTAGAAAAATACTGGATTCCTTGAACACTCGTGGAGCACACACAGGACAAAAGTGGGAGGTTGTCACTAACTGGTGTCTGACAATTAAGGACTGTCAACTCGAGTGACGTAGATTGTCTGAGCTCTTGAGGTTAGGGAGCGCTTGATGTATATGTTGATATACTTGATGGTGAGCGGATATGGAAAAGATGAGAGACGTTAAGGAGCTAAATCCGTATTCTTTGGGACTTAGAAATGGATACAAATGGGTTGCAACGCATATAATATTGTAATATGAATGTATATAAACTGATTTACATTCAATCGTTTCTGTTTTTACTTTGATTTCTAATCAGTTATGTTCGGCGAAATATGCGAGGGGTCCAAATTGAATGTCAGTCTTTGGCGTCTAGTTATTCCATCTATACCGGTAATATTCTCTCCTGTGGGGTATGTTTAGCCTTGTTCATAAAGTCACTTCATTAATAATTACACACAAAAGCATTCTGGCACGCGATTAAAGACATCGTCTTTTATATGCAATGAATTCTCCTCCAGCTTTGCAGCTGTTGCTAGGTGCCACGAGAGGCAAGTCACGTGACACAAACATGACTTCTTTTAATAGATTTTTTATAGCTTGGAGTATTTCCTCACGAATACAATGTTTTGAGAGAGATTTAAAGCAAATTTTTGATAGATAAATTAGTTTGAATATGTTTTTAGTCCAAATATATCATCAAATCACCCAGTTTGTACATGGGAAGGTATCTTGAAAATAGTAATCACCACACTGACAAACAAGTTACACAATACATCGAAAATCCGTAAATCACATCCCAAGCAATATATCTTCTTTAAATCAGAAATAATCATTGATGTTTCTTCAACTAAATATAAATTGCCATTTGTGATGATCTGTTTAGTAAATAATCATTCACAACTACTTTAATACTAATTTGAATATTTTAAAATTTAGTTAACCTTTAATTATTATTATCCTTAATCCATGGAAAATATGATTGTATCTTGCATGGCAACCGCTTGTTCAACAATATTAATACCTTAAAAGCATTGATAATGTTTCTGTTTAGAACACAGATCGTTTAAACTATTCAGTAGGCCTATGCTATACAAATTGTATGTAATCAGTTATTTTTTTAATCTTTGCAGGGGGTCGTCCATCTCCTCTACAATCTGTTCCATCAAGGATGGCTGCAGAAAAAAACAATGCTGTACCCCCTCCCCCGCCTCCAGTTTCATACTCAAGACAACCACCACCACCACCACCACCACCACCACCAGGTTCTAGGGTACAGCCTCCACCCCCACCACCATCCTCTGCACCATTCAATCTCCCTGGAACCATAACAGATCAACGATCTAATTTCTTGGGTGCTAACCGTGGTGGTAAAACCTTACACTCTGTAGAGGCAAGATCACCAGACATTTTTTCTGATAAAAGAGATCGGTTATTAAAACAAATTCAATATGGAACCAGTCTTAAAATGGTAAAAATTTTATAGTTGATGCTTTTATTTTTTATTGTATAAATGAAAACATGTAATTTTTGAGAAATATTACTTACATGAATTTGAATTCCGTACAAGAATTAGATATGAAAAGCTGCAAGGTTCACCTTTTTATTTTGTACTAATATTATTCCCGACTCGATATATGCTACATAATATTAAAGGAAATGAAAGCTTATTGGCCCTATTTCCTAAAGCTGACCTCTTCTAGTTACCTAATTCTGGTCTCTTTTAGTTATATTCAGTAATGTAGATATGGGTCCTTATGTGATGAATAATTTCACTATAGTAAATGTATTTCATTAGATATCAAGAGATCCACCCGTTCCTTATAAACCGATAGTATTTCGTACTGCTACAATGAGGTCCCAAATTCCTGTATCACCTGTTCCATCAACAGAAGTTATAGACACTGATGATCCTGCTGGTAAGATTTAATTGCTAATATGGTCTTTGTCAGTACATGGCTAAAAACAACAGTGAAGTCAGTAGTTTTATTTTTTAAATTTTCTTTGTAAAAGATGCATTATGTAAGGGATAAATCTGCTTATTACTTGTTTTTATTTTGGCTTTAACTGTTATATAAATTTTTATTTAGAAATTTATTCACATGACAAGCCTATAATCAACTCTCTAGATCATTGAATGGTGCAGAATTAAAATACGATTGCCATTTAATGATTTAATTTAAAAATGGAGAAACGAGGCTGAGTCTCGATGAACAAGTAGCATCATTATGATAATGAACGATCTATGTAAAAACTTCAAATAATGACAACGTCTTTTAGAATAAAGTAATTTGAATGAAATTTTCAACATATAATGCATCTTTAATTTGGTTTTGTAACAGTTGTGGACGTATATTGTCATCGCCGTGGGTCCGTCGCTTGTGGACACAATTTTTATCCGATTTTAAAAACTGTTAAAAGATGGGTTTGAATTTCAAGAAAATTTGATTGAAACTGCCCGACAAAATTGCTGCTACTCGTACACAAATACTGTAAAAGTATGTAATACCAAGGTTGTGGGCCCTCTAGAGGTCACAATTTTTATCCGATTTTGATGAAACTTAACTCTTTGACCCCGACTGGCTGGTTTTCCGGCCAAGATAATAACATCTATATCCTGGCTGGCTGGTTTTCTGGTCAAGCATGACAAATTAGAAATTCCACTATGAAGCGAGGGCTTTCTTTGCTTCCCTTCGCGATACTCCAGTATGGAATTCCATCAAGTTTAGACCAATCAGAACAATTTAACATGTGACACAATGTGTCGTTTGCAGTGAGGGCTTTACCATCTTTACTTGTGGACAGTACACAACACAAATATTCCTGAAAATATTGTTTTACGGTCATAATGAATGGCAGACAGAAGTGCCTTAGTAGTCCGGTCGCCAAACCCAATAATTCGAGCGAACCTGGAAATTGTATACAAAGTGTCCTCTTTCAGAATCTGCCAGGTGAACCTCGGTCACCCTTGAGCGTTTTGAGAAATTCAAGATGGCGTCCAAGATGGCCGCCATTTCAATTTATCCCCTATAACTCCCATAGTATTTAGTCTAGGGTGATAATGTTGGTGTCTAACCGTATGTTTTGGGGGTCATGCTCTTACTGGATGTGACACGGTTGCATGCAGTTGCGGTGTGGGGAAAGGAACAGCATTGAAAGTGATGAGAGCTGGATTGTATTCTCTCTCATTCCTCGGGGTAGTAGACTCTCCAATAGAATCGGTGATTACACAAGCCACATCATTTATGTCAGCGTGTTATGGACAGAGCTCTAGCAAATCGATGTCTGAAATACGCTGGAGGGTATGGGCATCCAAAACTGGAAATGTATCGTCATCATGGCCACCTAAACTGTGTAGTCTTGCTCCAACGAATGATGCATTTGCAGAGAATGTAAAACAGAGCTCATCACCATGCTATTGTGTGGCGTTCATTGGAAGATCGTTATCCGCCTGAACTTGATCCGAAACTGTATGGCTGGGTGAAGGACACAAAATTGAAAACATTACAACCGGTCACCCTTCCAGTTGATAATCAACTTGCTCCGGAGTCTGTCATGTGGCTCTTCAGATGCTGATGCACTTGGGCTGTAGCTGCACTAGGGATGGCTTAAAATGTACAGTATTTTGTGCTTTTGCCGCCGCAGGTTGCAGCAGGAAACACGACTAAAGGGTTAAACTGAATATTACCTATTTTTGGGAGTCATTTTCGTCTTTTGCAGGTAGAATTCGGGGTTTTGTTGAAAATGTTCAAAAATAGCCACTGGTAGCCATGTATGTGGTGTCATCGTATCAGTCTTATGCACCTATGTCCTGAAATATATAGCTTCTCTCTAGATATACAGTAGCTAGGTTTGGTGAAATAATCGCCGCTAAAGGGTTAAGAGGCCATATTAGCCGCCATGTTGGATTTTACTATCATCTAATCACTCCACAATTTAATGAATGCTTTCAGAGTATTCCTTGACCCCGAAAACATACGGTTAGACACCAAAATTATCATCCTAGTTTAAATACTATGGGAGTTATAGGGGATAAATTGAAATGGCGGCCATCTTGGACGCCATCTTGAATTTCTCAAAACGCTCAAGGGTGACCGAGGTTCACCCGGTAGATTCCGAAAGAGGACACCCTAGGCTACTAAAATCATTCATAAAAAAAACTTTGTATACAATTTCCAGGTTCAGCCATAGTTCTGCCGGACTATAGTAGACTAGGCACTGGCCAGAATACTTGAGAGAAATGTCAAGGACTTGAATAATGTTGATTATGGCATTCTGTTGAATTTAGAATTTTTGACTTTTTTCAGTGTTTTTTTGTGAACTGTGGAACTATGATGACCAATGTTGCCATGAAAAATTATATTACATGTATATGTATTTTTAAGAAATATTTTTCCTGGTAGCACATGATCCATACTTGCATAATGTAACTTTTGTTGGCGCTTTGGGTGATTAGCAATTTTATATCTTGTCACTGTAAATTGTCAAATTTTTCCCCACGGGCCAGGGGGATAGTCATGTACGGTATATATGCCAGGGTTCAAAGCAGGGATCTTAATCAGCTGTTTTTTGTCGGCTTTAGCTGCTTGAAGTTCCATCAAGCCGATTGTTAAAACAATGAACCAGCCACTATGGTATCATAAATCTACTTTCGGCTAAATTAAACCAGTTAATTATTATTGTTAATTAAGTAGTTAATCAACTTGCTTGTCGGCTACAATAACAGTCATACCTTAGTAAGAATCGGCCACGTGGTTCATAATCCGAGTAATTAGCACCCGGTAAAAAAACAAAACAAGCTTGCTGATTATTCATAACAGGTCCAGTAAGTTACCTTGAGGAAATAGGCCATTTGGCAATCGAAGGAAGACGATACGATCTCGGAATGGATTGTGTATCTATCGCGCACCTTCAATGCGCTGTATGAATTCCAGGTGCACCGGTAGATATTAAGATAATAATTGGATTATAATTTAATGGTTTCACTGACCAGTTGTTAGTTGAATTTAAATCTTAGTTAAATATAATCCTTGGATAGAACACCGAATACACCGAGAAACAGTCATTAATAATATATTATGAAGCTCCAATGCCGAATCCCCAATGACACGTGACATAGGTTAGAATTCGGTAAAAAAAAACAAACCCAGCAATGCTAGTTTTAGTTTTAAATAGCGTTTACCGTTGTGATTTTTTATTTTATACACATATTGTCGTTATTATTATTGAAAGCTATATGGCACAGTCGTATGGAATTTAATTTTAAAACCATTTCAATTATGGTTGTCACGTGATCACTGTGCCGTGTGTCTATCATGGACGAATGAATAAAAACATTTGCAAGTTAGTGATAGAAAAAAAAAACACCCTACAAATTGTGTGTTAGGAAGAAATACCATGGTGCTGTATCAACTTATATGCATCGAAAAAAAAACGAATACAGTAATTTATTCAGATATATTACTGACATGAATTTCAAGCCGGTACGTGAATTAAATATGGATAATTTTCCGAACAGTGTACAATTGTCGTTATATTTGTGTTAAAAATCTGTAAATAGGAGAACAGCCTTTCCCTGATTTCTCTGAGCTACTAGTTTTATTCTTATTTGAACTCTTCATGCTTGATTGAGGATGTGCGGTTGCCCTCTTTATATAGTTGGTGGGGACCGGAAACATGTGACGTCACAGATGGACCGGAGTCAATCTTTAACACTAGAGTCGATTATTCCAAAATTGTGCAAAGATATTCAGCTAAGAAAATTGCTGTCGTAATTATGCATATTTGCATAGACTCAAGGCTCCAATCCTTTTTGACTTTATAGTTTAAGGTTTTTTAAACTAATGAGGGCTTAGGAATAACTCTATTGGGTTATGGGGATGTTTGTGCTAATTTTTTATTAGTTTTCGCTGTGGGGGTACCACAGCTAAAATGATTGGGAACTCGTCCCGGTTTTCACTCTCTGCCCTGAGTTAGGCTAAGAATTATGCTACTATTTCGCATACTTTGAAAAGTGGCTCTTGGAAAGTCTTTTTCGAATTCTACAAGGAGCTCACGAAGTTGGTTTTGTGTTTCTCGATTGAAACATTGTAAAAATACCCAGTCATCTTTATTGAGGTTCGATTCTGCCAAGTCATCGCGATTCTATGTGCGAAAAACTGGCTCAACTCCTTCACAAAAAGCCTCCCAGTTACTCATGGTTGGGAAAGGTTTTTGATGCTATTATTTGAACAAATTTCATCACAGTGAGGCAAAATAGGACCGATACTCTGTTTCACAGCGGTGTCCAAGATATCGACTTGGTGTTTAGATTTCTGGTGTCGAATGAGATATATTTTTGGTAATTACATACAATAGAATATGATATTCACAATACAAATTACCAAGAAGTATTTTTGTTGAAGTCTGGTTATATTAAAGGGAACGGAAGATTAAAATTTAAAACCCAGTTCCTACCAGGACATCATTTGACCCAATTCTGGCCAATTTGTTTCAAAATGGATTAAGAACCCTGGTTCAAACGGTTAAAATGTGCGTTTATAACCCAAAGATCTCGGTTCCTTTCTGTGTTCGTGCATATCAGACTTTAACTTCCTGATTGTATGAAAAGTCATGTTTTTAGGCTAAATAGGTACTTCAGTCTGATTGGTTGAGACTTTGGAACACAATAACTCTCCTTCTAATCGAGGTAGAATGTTCAAACTCGGTGACTGCATTCGATCATGCCCATTTTCCACTATGGCTAAGCAGTGATAAGCAATTTGATTGGTTGAGACTTTGGAACACAATAACTTTGGTCCTAATTGATGAGAGTGATGAAACTCAGAGTATAGATGCCTTATATCAATACCTTGATTAAGACTTTGGAACATACAACTCTGCTTTTAAATTGACTAAGTTCGATTGTGAACATTTTCTGCTTAGACTAAGTATAGATAATGAGTTGATTGGTCAATACTTTTCAAAAAGATAAATGTGCAGTTAATTAGTATATGGCATCTATTTTTGGGGGGATTTGGACGGGGGTCATCAGCCTCACTGTTGGCTTGGTTATCTTGTTCTCTGTCCATTGGGTTATCTTGTTCTCTGTCCATCTCTCGCAAAATGTGGGCGTATAGTGTATCTTGCTTGGCAACTGCTTGTTATCTAATTTTGATGAAACTTAAAATGTATGTTTATATCCCCAAAATCTGAGTTCCTTTTGATATTGACACATGTCGGACTGTAACGTCCTGGATTACATGTTTGGCCCCTTATTGTATGAATATCGCTTTTTTTTTTTTAGCTTGTCCCTTGTCCATCTCTTGCAAAATGTGGGAGTATCTTGTATGGCAACTGCTTGCTTCAAATTTGTGACCATCTGTGGCTAAAGGATCCTCATGTCGCATGTCATCGTATAGAAATACAGTGTATAGAAGTATTGTAGGACGAAAATTGTGAAAATACATTACTTAATGTCTCTAGGTTCATGTCCCAAAAGCTCAAAATAAAAATCATAACATAAGTAGGTAAAGGTTTGCATTTAATCAGCCATATGCATCAACAAACATGCGAAAACAAAGGAAAAAAACCTGCTTTTTATGTTTTTTTGCAGTATTATATCGAGCGAACCACCGGGACTTTTACAACAAACTTTCAGAATTAAATGCAGAATCCCAATATATCAATACCGGTAACTCAATTTTCATTTTTTGATCCATGAAGATCCTTTAGCTGGAGCTGGTCACATTTGGTTGTAAGAAATTGCGGTCGTGAGAGAATAAACCCTATTGATTTTCAGCTTTCCATAACTTTTCGTTCCAGCGTAATCCCCCCCCCCCCCTTTTGCGGAAAACCTTGTGAACTCCATATAAGCTACTGTTTTTAACAGATGAACCCTATTGATATTCAGTTAGTTAAGAATTATCCCTCATTTCTGAAAACACTGTGAACGCGATAGAGGCTATAGTTTTTAACCGAAATATTGGGGTCATAAGAGAATGAACCCTATCTATTTCCCTTTTATCCATCCATCTGTTGAAAAATGTTGGTAGTTGCATGGCAACTCTTTGTTTTATATTAAAGGGGTAACAGAACTGACAGCTGTAAGAGATAGTATAAATGAAACAGGAACAGATGATAGCATGGATATACAAATAAAGAAAAGCGCAAAAAGTAAAAAAAAGATTTTAGTACGTAAGAGCCAATGTATTCAGCAGATCAAAGATGAGTCAGATTTGATTTCTGACTTTGAAAGGCCATCGCAGAAATCGGCATTTTCATTTGGATCAAAGCAACCAACAATTTCTGAAAATAAATCTGGATTTAGCGCAGTTAATAGAAGAAGTAGATTCTCTGGTTTTGGAGCAACAGACTCAACATTAGGGGGTAATACTAAATTATTTGAGGAAGAACCTAACTGTTTTTCTCTTGCATCTGAACTGGCTGAATTCTCTGATTTTGGTTCAAAAAGCTCAACATTTGGAGCTGGTATGGATGGTGGATTATTTGGATCAAAGCAACCAATAATTTGTGAAAATAAATCTGGTTTTAGTGCAGTTACTACAAGTAGTGGATTCTCTGGTTTTGGATCAACAGGCGAAAATAAATCTGGTTTTAGTGCAGTTACTACAAGTAGTGGATTTTCTGGATTTGGATCAACAGGCTCAACATTTGGGGGTGGTACTGGTAGTAAATTTTTTGAGGAAGAACTTAAAACATCTGACCAAGGTCAATTCTCTGATTTTGGATTAAGAAGCACAACACAACCATTAATTTCTGAAAAATATGGATTTGGTGCAGTTACTACAAGTGATGAATTTTTCGGTGGAGGTGGTAAGGTTGGTGGATCATTTGACTCAATTTTTGAAAAGGCTCCATTAAGTGCAGTTACTAAAAGTGGTGGATTTTTCAGGACAACCATGTCAAGTAGTCAAAGTGGATTCTCTGGTTTTGGATCAACAGGCTCAACATTTGCGGGTCGTACTGGTAGTAAGTTATTTGAGGAAAAACATAAATCATCTAGATTTAATGTAGTCACTAGAAGTAATGTCAAAGACCAGCAGTCTACTAATAATGTATTTTCTGAATTTAGAGCTACACAACATTATGGGCCACCACCACCACCAGCAACACTACCTTCAACACCAACACACCTAACACCAGACCAAAATTTCATTTCAGCTGCTGCTATTCCACCCATGCCCGCTCAAACTATGAAACAGCCACCCCCAACAAAAGCAATAACTAGGGCACAACAGGCACAGCAGCAACATCAACCGATGAGTACTGGTATTCATCCCCTCTCAAACACATTTTCACAACTGCAACATTATGGGCCACCACCACCACCACCACCACCATCTGTAGCACCGCCACTATTACCACCACCACCACCAGCAACACTACCTTCAACCCCAACACCAAAACAAGACCAATATGATTCTTTCATTTCAACTGCTGCTCTAACTTTGAAACCCCAATCCAAAACAATAACTAAAGCACAACAGCCACAGCAGCAACATCAACCGACAGGTACTGGTATTCAGCCCCCTTCCCTCTCAAATACACAACCACCACTGAAACAACCTACAGTACAATATTCCTCAACTCAACCTGGTACTGCTATTCAACTCCCAAGTACACCAGTACCATCAAGTACACCACCCCAACCTAATAGAGCTCTGTCTTGTAGAGGAAGATCATCAGCAACTAGAGCCAAAATGGATAAATCTTCTATACCACCACCACCGCCAGTACCACCATCTAGAGATACAGATCATAGTTCACATCTACTAGCCCTATGCAACGCACGTGGTCAATCATTGACTGGTAGAGAACCATCTTTTAAAGCCCAACCACAAGAAATACACAGTAGATTGAGTAGAGGTAACTGCTTTTATTATTTGCCCACATGTCTGTCTGTCGTCCACAGACTACATTGATAATCTGATTGCTATCAAATTGATTTTGTTTACATTAGTGAGATGAAGAAGGCTATTTAATTTATTCTGAAGTTATGGCCCTTGTTTCACTTTGTTGATGCTTGTGAACATTTAAACCATTTTCATTAATAGTGGCTAGTGTTACAGCCCTTGTTCGACTTTGTTGAACCTTATGAACGCTCTAATGACAACAGTTACCATTCGATTTGTATGAAATTTTTATGCGTTATTTGGACTAATGAAACGAAAAATCCTATTGAATTTCAAGAATTTCCGTTCATTACTTCTAGAGTTATGGCCCTTGTTTAACTATTGAACCGTTGTTGTGAATGCTATGACAATAAAATTTTTATCCTATATGTATGAAATTTATAAACATCATCTAAATTAGTGAAACAAAGAAACCTATTGAATTTCAACAATTTCCATTTATTGTTTCTAAGAGTTATGGCCATTGTTTTACTTTGTTATACCTCGTGAACCTCTAACGATAAAAAGTTTTATCCTATATGTATGAAATTTTTATGTATCATCTAAATTAGTGAAACAAAGAATCCTACTGAATTTCAGCAATTTCCATCAATTACTTCTCAAGTTATGGCCCTTGTTTCACTTTGTTGATGCTTGTGAACACTTAAACAATAACAGTTATCATCCGATCTGTATGAAATGTATATACATCATTTCAATTAGTTGAACGAAGAATTCTATTGAATTTCAGCAATTTCCGTCAATTAATTCTAGAGTTGAACCTTGTAAACATTCAAATGACAAAAGTTATCTGATCTGTATGAAATTTATATATGCATTATTCAAACTAGTAAAACAAAAAAGCCTGTCTAATTTCAACAATTTCTGTACATTACTTCCAGAGTTAAGGCTCTTGTTTCAGTTTGTAGAACCTTGTGAACCCTTAGATGACGAAAATTATAATCTCATCTGTATGAAATTTTCTTGTAAATGCTCCAAAATACCCACAAAAGAATAAATATGCGACAACCCTTGTCGATCGCTTGGCCGATTTAGCTGCGGTGGGCGTATGTTTCGTTGCCTGCAAACCTATCTTTTATGTTTTCTGGACCCTTTACACAGTCAATAATTTCAATCAATAATTAGATTCTTTTAGAAATCTGGGCCCTTATTCACGAAAACTTAAACTAAGATACAATCAAAATTTTAAGAAATATTGCAATTCGATTGGCTGACCAGTAAAATCAATTTGCATATATCCAATGAATTTGCAGTATTTCTTAAAATTTTGGTTGTAACTTAGTTTAAGTTTTCGTGAATAAGGGCCCAGAATTCAAATTATTAGAAAACTATTATGAGTTATATCAGAATGGTAATCAATAACATATCTATAAAGATATCATATTAAGGACATATAAAAACAAATATTCTGGTTCTCAGACAATCCTTTCAAACAATCTGATCCGGCAGTGAGATTTTTATTTTTGTGTTTCTATTTTGTCAACGGATCATAAGGCTAAATGACTTTAAAAGGAACATCACATTTGAAGGTGGTACATTTATCTAATCTGTTTTTTCAAACTGTTTGATTAATCATATTTGGGTAACATATCTAAAAAATTGCTTCTAAGTTACTGTAAATACTTTTATAAAAAGTAACTAATAATTGTCTCATTTAGTTCTAATGTGAATGTTGCTCTTTCCACGTGTACCTCTCACCTGCATCCTACATTACAACATGTATCGTGATATGCAGGATAATGATTATTCACAAAAGAATGCACTTAAAAGATCTGTAAAATTAAGTAGATCATGCAGATGTAAATGATAAAACTGAAACAATTTTTCAATTGTCCTGTTTGTTTCAAGGACAATATTGATGTCAGTCATTATCACATATGTGATAGAGATGGTTAAACACATTCCAAATATAATTTTAACACAGAGATCATTGCTACAATAGCTGAGTAATACAGGTTTCCTGAATCGGAAGTGACGAACGCCAAAGGAAAAGACGAGGCATCCCTCTATATAACTGACTGAAGTGACGAGTGATAACAAATACATGGGCGAATTTCTGCTCACTAATAATTCCTTCCAAGACCAAAAGTTGTGTGAGACTGTGAGAGGATATCTGAAAATTCATAAAAAGAATTGACTGCCACTAGATAAGAGAACACGAAAGAAAAACAGAAAAAGTCTGTGCATTACCATGTTTTTATAAGGTATAGAATGAATATAAACAAAGGAATGTACAGACTTTTTCTATTTTTCTCGTGTTCTCTTATATAATGACATTCAATTACTTTATTGAATTGTCAGGTATCCTCTTACAGTCCCGTATAACAACTTTTGGTCTTCGAAGGAATTATTAGTGAGCAGCAATTCGGCCGTGTATCTGTTATCTCTTGTCACATCAATAGAGGTATGACTCGTGTTTTCCTTTGGCGTTCGTCACTTCCGATTCAGGAAAACTGTATTACTCAGCTATCATAGCAATGATCTCTGTGTTAAAATTATATTTGGAATGTGTTTAACCAGCTCTATCACATTACTTGATAATGACTGGCACCAATATTGTCCTTTAAGATTGTTTTATGTTTTATTAACATTTATCAGCAATATTTAAAGATACATTCCAACAAAAGTATTTATAGGGTAGTTATTTGATATGTATGGAAAGTAAAGACACTCAATCGTACTATAGAAATACAGGATTCCCAGAAAAACACCCATGCGATACCCACAGGACAAAGTTTAAGAGTGTCCCTAACAAGCAGCATGTCTCCTCCAGTGGCGTAAATGAGTGCTTCATATGTGTTGATCTAATGGCTAAGAGTTGTGAAAACAGTGAACTTTTGGTTGAATATGTTTTTAGTCTTAAATATATTATCAAATCACATAGTTTAAGTTTAGTAATCAATCACAATATTCTTATTTCTTATTTTTGTCCACTGTCTATGTCCATCCATCATACTTTTTGGGGCTTTAATTATCTCTATCTGCTTCTAAGATAGAAGGGGAGTCATGTTGGCTAAGTGGGTAATGTGCTGGCTCGCTAGCCTATTGGCGTGCACGTAAAAGATCCCTTGGCAGTTGGAATTCGATATAAGAGTAGGCCACACAGTGCCGCTGCCGGGGCAAAATTTCCCTCATAGCACACTGCTTGGGATATGCCTATCTTCAATAGCCCAGTCGGAGCAGAACAGTAGGATGTTCAACCCAATTTCATTTCATTTCTAAGATAGAAAGTGAGGGGTTGGATGACCGAATGATTAGCACGTGCGCGCTGTATCATAAGGTCTGTCATTGATTCAACTGTCATGGTTTCGATTCCCCGGTTGTACGTGACAAGGAGTAGGATCCTCTGTCCAACCTAGTGGGTTTTCTCCGGGTCCTCGGGTTTTAAAGTTTGGCAGCCCTTATGGCATACAAAAAGGTGACCACCTGACATTGAAAGTTGGGACAAGCTTACAAGTGTTTTTATTGTCAGATGACATCATGATATTCTGATAATAAGCCCATCGCCATCTTTATGTTTCACAAAAGCTAATTGATGGGCCTGTTTTTAATCCAACTGAATCTAAGCCTGGAAATTGGCATTGATATTTTGATTTTTTAATCTAAATGAAGTGTTGAATAATCAATTGGGTACATATTAACATGTTTGATAATTTCCGAAAAAATGAATGTCATGCATCGGTACTTCTTCCTATTGATCAGCTTATGTCATTTAAAGTTAAACCTGTCATTTATTTTACAGCATGCAGTCGACCTAGACTTAGAAAGGAGGAAGAAAAACTTCCAAACTATGCAACACAAGAATGGTCAGTAAATGACATGGACGAGATGATGTTAAGCAATGATCAAGCGGAAAAATTAAACAATTCACTTCATGAGTTGGCATGCAAACCCAAGAAGAAGCGAAAATTTAACCTACTGACTTATTCCAGTGAAACAACTCAGTTTGGAATAGGATTTGATATACCATCTATTTGTGTTTATGAGAAGATGACATTCAACTTAAAAATATTACTCTCATTACAAGAGAAGGTAAAATATCAATTTTATGTGAAATATTGATAGATACAGTTTAATCTTGAAGACATGGGTTATGTCATGGTCAGCTGTCGCTTTTGTCACAGAATTTTTTCTCCAATTTATAATTTTGAAAGAGACAGATATAAATTCTTTCTGGCACATATGCAACACCAATTGACACAGTTAAAGACTCAATACATACACAAAGAATTCTCACTCATGGAGTACATATACTATTCAAAAAAAGTAGCGGATATTTGATTTTTAAGTGTTATTAAAGTCACCTAATGAAACTGACGAAGAAACAAATGACAAAATGAAATGAAGTTCACATTCATCGATTTATTCCAAATGATCGTTAGACTAAGTAAGGCACAGACTGACCATTATAAGGGTAAAATGATACCCGGGGTCAAACAGCAAAGTTACCACAGCATCACAACCAAGTCAGTAACGGGTAAATCCTCCTCTGTTTGCCAAACAAGCATTGATCCGACGTGGCATACTCCTAATGAGACGTCTAAGGTCATTTTGGTCCAGATTGTCCCATTCCTGTTGCAACGCAGCAGCAAGTTCTTGGACATTGGCAGGACGTTGTTGACGTTGACGTAACCTCTGTCCAAGCATGTCCCAGACATGCTCGATGGGGGAGAGGTCGGGACTCAGTGCTGGCCAAGGTAATGTGGTGATGTTCTGTTGTTGGAGGTAACCTGTAACGATCCTGGCCCTGTGACATCTTGCGTTGTCATCCTGGAAGATGAAACGGCGGCCATGACGTCGTGCGAACGGCACAACATGGACTGCCAAGATGTTGTCCCGGTAGTACTGGCCTGTAACACGCCCTGCAACAACATGTAAAGCCGTTCTTCCAGCAACAGTGATGCCTCCCCACACCATAACAGAACCACCCCCAAATCGATCATGTCTGATGACGTTAACGTCTTGGAAGCGCTCGTTTCGACGACGCCACACCCTCCTACGTCTGTCCAAAAAATCAACAGTGAACCTTGACTCATCTGAAAACATCACATTGCTCCAGCGTCGATTATCCCAGTGTTAGTCGGGCGGGAAGGTGACCCCTATGCAGTCGATTCCGAATCGTCTGGCCACTCACTCTCACACCAGTGTCTGTTTGAAGACGAGCGCTGATCTGATTTGCTGTGATGACACGATTTCTCAAGGCCAAGGTACGGATAAATCGATCCTGGGCTTGAGTTGTCGCCCTTGGTCGACCTGAGCGTGGTCTGTCCTGTACAGATTGTGTATCACGGTATCTGGACCATAGCCTGCTTATGACAGACTGAGAAACATTCATCGTCCGCGCCACAACCGCCTGTGTTGTGCCGATCTGTAGCATGCCAAGGGCACGTAACCTTTCATTTTGGGTAAGCCGACGCATATCAAAATTTGTTTTCTGGTCACTAAAACAATTAAACTGATGTTTCCACCCTGGAATTCAATGCCACAATGACTGTAACATTCAAAGTCAGAGTCGTGCAAATCTTGGGTTGGACCCCCATGATGATCCCAAGCATCACCTGCATTCCATGCGGTAGCTATTGGTGCGTTTGGGCGTCACATGTAACTGGAAATGTTTCTTCTGTTAGGTTCTATAGTGACTTTTTTCGTAGTCATTTGCATATTTTAGTATTATGCCCCCAAAATCAAATATCCCCTACTTTTTTTGAATAGTATATATAGAGTGTCATATATAGGGAAATTTTTTGTTTGTGTTATTTTTACTTGTTAATTTTTATAACAAATAAAAATAAGTGGGGGTGCCCAAGTTCAGATTTTGTCGTTGATACCGTGTGGTTGAAAAGTTTTTAATCTAATAATCCAATGTAATTCAATTGTGCGTCTGTTGGTTGTGGAAGTGTATAACTCAGGGTCTGAGCCCAGTTGTTTAATTATTTGGTAGTCCAGGTCTCGACTAGAATGTCTCGGTAAGTTGAAGTGAGAGGCGACTGGGGTGTCTCTCTTGTGGGTAATGTCAGCAAAGTGTTCTTTCAGCCTAACGCGGAACAATCTTTTCGTTTCACTAATTCCAGCTTGATTTCCGGTTTAATAAACCATTCCATCTACCTTTCACGTTTTCCTTTTTCTTTCTTCTCTTACCTTATTATAGCCTCCGGGCCTCAGACCCGCCCTGGGCCTGCCTTCTTTTCCCATCCAATCTACCCGGTCTGAAGAGTTCAATACAAACGAAAATAGTTCACCGCTTTTTGCCCGAAATCCCGGCAGAAGTATAGACACGTCTACCTCGCACCATACCTAAATCTTACTTTAGGTTAATCCTGAATTGAGCCTCAATACCGAACTACGGTATTCGAATACTCATGAACTGCCACAAGACCACATTCTGGCAATATAATCTAGTAACCTCGGCGACCCCGCCTAATACTCACCCCGGTAAATCATATTTACGGGGACTATTAACACCGAACCCCGGTGCCTGGCATATTCATGAACCCCGCCAAAATATCAAACCCCGGTATACCAACCCCACCAAATTATACCAAACACCTGTATAATCAACCCCGCCAACCCCGCCAAAATTTACCAAACCCCGGTAAACTGACCCCGCCAACCCCGCCAAAATTTACCAAACCCCGGTAAACTGACCCCGCCAACCCCGCCAATTCTCGGAATAGTATAAATAGACCTCCGCCTTTGGAGTCTAACCAGTCTGAAGGGTTCAATACGAACGAAACTAGTAACTTAAAAAACCAGGGATAACTAGAAGATCGCCCTTTTCTTTCTACTTTTGTTAATTTTTTTATAGCCCACATCGATATGTGGTCATATATTGCCGTCGCCCCTGTCTGTACATCCGTCGTCCACAATTTCTTGTGAACACTTTACAGACTGTATTTATCATCTGATGAAGAAATGTATTTAATTTCAATAATTTTCCCCCGCCTTTTGAAGAAAGCAGAGATAGGCAATTTGATTGGTTGATGCTTTGGGACACAATAACTTTAGTTCTAATTAAGTGAGAGTGATGAAACTTGGTGTGTACCTTGACTAAGTTCGATAATGAGCATTTTCTGCTCAGGGTTAACAGAGCAATAAGCAATTTGATTGGTCGAGACTTTGGAACACATTAACTCTCCTTCTAATTGAAGGAGAATGTTAAAACTTTGTGTAGGCGTTCATTAGACGTTCTATGGTTGAGACCATGGAACACGATAACTTTGGTTCTGATTTGGTGAGAGTAATGAAACTCCTAGTGTAGGTTCATTATATTAATAAGTTGACTAAGTTCGATGATAAAAATTTTCTGTTTAAGCTAAGTAGCAATAAGCAGTTTGATTGGTCAAGACTTTGGAACATAACAACTGCTTTTAATTGAGGTAGAATGTTTAAACTTGATGTAGATGTTCATTAGGCTAATGTCTTGACTGATTTCCTAGTAAAGCAATTTCATTGGCTGATGCTTTGGGACAAGATGATTCTAACAGATGGTGAGTGATGAAACTTAGTGTAGAGTTTCACTACCAGGTACTGCAAAACCTTGACTGATTTTGATCATGAACATTTTATGCTTAGACTAAGTATAGATAATCAGTTTGATTGCTCAATACTTTTGAAAAACATAAATGTGCAACCAATTAATATGTGTAATCTTTTTATTTTGGGAAAATAAGTGAAAATAAGAATCCTATTGAATTTCAGCAATTTCTGTTAATTTCTTCTACAGTTAAGGTCCTTGTTTCACTTTGTCGAACCTTATGAACACTCGAATGATGAAATTTATCATCTGATCTGTCTGAAATATAAATGCATCATTTAAATTAGTGAAACGAAGAATCCTATTCATTAGTGAAGTGAAGAAGCCCAGTAAATTTCAGCAATTTCCAATAATTTCGTCTAGAGTTATTGCCCTTGTTTAACTTTGTCAAAACCTCGTGAACCCTTGAATGACGAAAGTTATCACCCAATCTATATGTAATTTATATGGATCATTGAAATTAGTAAAATGAAGACGCCTGTTGAATTTCAGCCAATTACTTTGTTGAACCTTGTGAATGTTCGAATGACAAAAGTTATCATACGATCTGTATGAAATTTACATGCTTTATTTAAGTTAGTAAAACAAAAAAGCCTGTAAATTCCTTCCAGAGTTAAGGCCCTTGTTTCAGTTTGTAGTACCTTGTGAACCCTCAAGTGACAAAAATTATAATCTGATCTGTATGAAATTGTCTTGTACATGTAAATGCCCCCAATTACCTACGAAAGAATAAATATGCAACAACCCTTGTCGACAATTTAGCTGCTTTTGACGTATACTATTTTTTTTTAAATTTATATCTATGGTATAAAGGTGAAATTTATTTTAGTTAATAACACACTAAAACACTTACAAATTGGCGTGCACGTAAAAGATCCCTTGGCATATGGAATTTGATATAAGAGTAGGCCGTAGCGCTGCTGCACGGGCAAAATTTCCCTCATATCACACTGTTTGGCCCAGTTTAGGAGCAAAACAGTAGGACGTTAAACCCCATTTCATTTCATTTCATCACTAAAACACTGTTGTATTATTTTAATCCCCCAAAAGCTGAATTCGCTATATGGAGTCGATATCAAGCGTAGTTTATGAGAAATTGGGCTGTATTTGTCCATTCAGGTTCGTAACTGAGACTTCCAGTGAATAAACCTTATTTACTAGTAATTACATTGTTAATTATACAGTTACATTTGGATGAGCCAAATATTTATATGCTTCTTTTCCTTTATAAAAGGTCTCATTGTCGCTGTGCATGTAACACAGATATGTCAAGAGATGAAGCTAGACAATAGTGAGTCTTCATCTGGTTAGGAGAGTAGATTTGATAGAATGCATGACAACTGGGACCAAAGAACACCCGGGCCAAGACCACTCAGACCAGTTGAACCTAATCCAAATGTTATTATAGTATGTGAAAGAAAGAAATCTTGGTCCAAGTGATCTATCAGCTGGTCTGAGTGGTCAATTGGTTGGTCTGTCTGGTCTTGGTCTGCATGGTCATTGGTCTGTGTTGTCTGGTTACCATTTGATTGTGCCAACTGTTGTACGTCGAGCCTAATGACTCATCAATAAATGCTTGTATGTTGCAAGTATTCAACTCCTTATTTTGTCTTTTTATATATTTATTTTATAATACAGGAAGGTTATTGGAAATTTGGGAAAGAGTTCAATGATTTACTTGGTGTTAATGAAGATAAATGTAGACTACTATTGTATAGTTGTGGTATCCGATCTCTTGGTATGTTAAACTTTATTTAGAAGCATATTATGTTTTTGCTCAAACCTGTTACAACAAACCATTCTGTCAGCACAAATCACATACAGCTGTCTATTCTGCAATTACATAAATTGTTGAAAGGGGGCTGTATCTGTGCAAAAGTTGAATTCTCATAACTTCAATAGCACCAAAACATTCTTATATTGCTGAAAGAAGAGATGCTGTTAGAACTTAAATGTGATAATTCATGACGAAACATATTTGATCAAACTTTTGGAGCCTAGAAAGCAAGTTTCCTTCAAATTTCAAGAGAACATCATTCTATAAATGTTTTAACCCAATTCTAAAAAGGCCTATTAGACTAATATAGCATATTCCGGTATTAGTGGTTACAAGCATTTTTAATTTGTCAATCATTACTACACTTACTACTGTAAAGTGCTGTTTCTGATTAGTTATCTTTCTCTGTGTCCAGATCCTGATTCCACTTGTAGGTATATGCTGATCATAGATATAATGTCTCTAGAAACTGGACATATGTACACTATGTAGCTTTATACAATCCCCTAGAGATGTCAACTCACAGTTTATCTGCTAATGCAGTCGGAGAATCTAGTAGACAAATGAAACCATATCACCCATAATTGCGATCACGTGGCAATGATTAGAGAGCTATTAAGTATTAATGTTATTAATAGAATATGGCTTTTAGTGGAGACAACTTTTACTTTAGACAAAGATTTCTGGAGGCCTTTTTGGAGCCACTGTGACTCAGTATCATGCTGGTTGGCTAATGAGGACGTTCCAGGTTCAATCCAGCCTGGTTTCCCTTTGTCAATAGTGCAGGACAGAGGGCTTAGCAAGGGAAAGCATCTAGCTAGTCTTTCAGATGGGACGAAAACCCTTTGGGTCCTGTATACACATGGACTTGACCATAAAAGTTGGAATTCGAAGAAGAGTAGGCATAAACGCTGTATTATAGGCAAAATTTCCTTCATGCGTAGCATAATCCATGGTGTATGTCCATCTTCACTAACCCTATTTCATTTCATTTGTTCTTATATTTTAGGTGAAAAAGTAACTAAGGATATCATGAATCTTTTGTCAACACTAATAGCTCTGATCCGTATTCTAGAGGATTTATTAAGTAAAGTACAGCCTCAAAAAGAAAGTCCATCATGGAAAACCCTGCTTCAGAATTCCTCAGATAGAATGTTGCTTATCAATCAGCTTGATTCCAATGATGCCCAAGAAACCTGTGAATCCATAGATAAAGCAATACAGTTTTATAATTCTACAAATGATAAATACCCATTGGTATATTATACACTTGAATTAGGTGACGACTGGATTACTATTGCAACCAAATTGTTAGGGACATACAGGGCCAGTGCTACTGTTAAGCCATATATGCCATTAAGGGAGCAGACCTCAGAGGGATGGTGTGTATACTAGCCCTTGAGGGACGCAGTTTTTGTATTTGAGAAAAACAATTTTTTTCTTTAAAAAAAAACATTATTTTTTAAAATTTTAAACGATGTTCTAGGTAGTTGGCCTTGCACAGACCTCAGAGGGATGGTGTGTAACTAGCCCATGAGGGACGCAGTTCTTGTATTTGAGAAAAACAATTTTTTTCTTAAAAAAAAACCCATTATTTTTTAAAATTTTGAATGATGCTCTAGGTAGTTGGCCATGCGCAGACCCTGGGAATATACTCAGCATTACTGTTTAAATTTATAGTAATCATGTGAAGTCATATATTTCTATATTAAGTTATATGTAGGAATATGTCATTTTAAATGTTTTGTATGACTTTTAAGAGTTTATTTTCTATAACAATTTTATATATAAGCTATTTATATCAACATGGTGTTGTTAATACATGTATTGTTAACTAAAAGGAGCAACATACCAGAATACAAGCCACATATATATATGTATATTCTAAACCTCAAGAAATATTACTAAAACAACCCGTTTAAGTTCAAAATTATTCATAGGTCTGAGTATAAATATAGAAATAATTTTAAAAGCCCTTTCACACATGGCTGTCCATTCTTTGCACATTTATTTTTTGCCAAGTAACAGAATAGAACATAATATGTTTTTAAAACATTTATGCACCATCTGCATAAAAAGATCAAAACATCTCAAATACCGTTCACGAACGGCTGTCCATTCTTTGCACAGTTTTTTTTTTTAAAGATCAGATTTGCTTTGTTAGATAACAGTTAGAGTAGTATATGTTTTAAAATATTAATGCACCACCTAGTTTGTTGTTTTTTAGATATATTTTTGTCCCCCGCCTTTCGAAGAAAGCAGGGGACTATTAAAATGGGTTCGTCCGTCTGTCTGTCCGTCTGTCTGTCCGTCCGTCTGTCTGTCCGTCTGTCTGTCCGTCACACTTTTTGGGACACAATAACTCTCTTCCTAATTGAGCTAGAATGTTCAAACTTGGTGTATGTGTTTATTAGGTCAATGCCTTGATGGAGTTCGAAGATGAGCATTTTCCGCTTAGGGTAAGCAGAGATAAGCAATTTGATTGGTTGATACTTTGGGGCACGATAACTCTCTTCCTAATTGAGCTAGAATGTTCAAACTTGGTGTATGTGTTGATTAGGTCAATGCCTTGATGGAGTTCGAAGATGAGCATTTTCCGCTTAGGGTAAGCAGAGATAAGCAATTTGATTGGTTGATGCTTTGGGACACGATAACTTTAGTTGTCCCCCGCCTTTTGAAGAAAGCAGGGGACTATTAAAATGGGTTCGTCCGTCTGTCTGTCTGTCCGCCTGCCTGTCCGTCCGTCTGTCTGTCCGTCACACTTTTTGGGACACAATAACTCTCCTTCTAATTGACCTAGAATGTTCAAACTTGGTGTGGGTGTATATTAGGTCAATGCTTTGATGGAGTTCGAAGATGAGCATTTTCTGCTTAGTGTAAGCAGAGATAAGCAATTTGATTGGTTGATGCTTTGGGACACGATAACTTTAGTTCTAATTAAGTGAGAGTGATGAAACTTGGTGTATAGTTTTATTACATCAGTACCTTGACTAAGTTCGATGATGAGCATTTTCTGCTCAGGGTAAGCAGAGCGATAAGCAATTTGATTGGCCGAGACTTCGGAACACAATAACTCTCCTTCTAATTGAGCTAAAATGTTCACACTGCTTCTAATTGAGGTAGAATGTTTAAACTTGATGTAGATGTTCGTCTTGACTGAGTTCAATGATTAACATATCGATCTCAAGCTAAGCGGAGATAAGCAATTTCCTTGGTCGATGCTTTGGGACAATATAACTTTGATTCTGTCTGATAGAGAGTGATGAAATTTAGTGTATAGTTGATAAACAGTTTGATTGCTCGATACTTTTGAAAAAAATAGATGTGCGATTAATTAATATGTGGCATCTATTTATTTGCGGATTTCGGCGGGGGACATCAGCCTCACTGTTGGCTTGTTTCATATAGTTTTAGTATATGCCCACATTTTCATCTGAACGTATATTGTTGTCGCCCCTGTCTGTCTGGACATCTGTCTGTCCGTCCATCCAGGTCACAAGTTTTATCTGATTTTGACGAAACTTGAAATATAGGTTTATATCCCAAAGATCTCGGTTACTTTCGATATCCACACATATCAGACTATAACTTCCTGGATTATGGCCTCTGATTGTACGAAAAAAATCCCGTTTTTAGCTTGTGGTCCCTCTAGAGATCACAATTTTTATCTGATTTAAAAAAATGTTCGAATATATCACCATTACACCATAATAAGGGTTGGATTTGAATTTCGCGAAAATCAGACCAAAACCACCAGCAAATAGTGTTAAAGTATGTAATATCAAGGTTGTGGACACTCTAGAGGTCAAAATTTTTATCCCATTTTGATGAAACTTGAAACAAGTGTTTATATCTCAACAATCTCGGATCCTTTCGATATTCGCATATCGGACCCTAACTTCCTGGATTTATTGTACGAATAAATCGCAATTTTAGCTAGTGGTCACAAATATTTCACAGTTACACCCGGATGATGTTTGAGTTTGAATTTTGTAAAAATCAGACCAAAACTGCCTGACAAAATGGCCGCTGCAAATAGTGTAACAGTATGTAATACCAAGGTTGTGGACCCTCTAGAGGTCACAATTTTTATCCAATTTTGATGAAAATAAAAATATATGTATATATCCCAAAGATCTTGGTTACTTTCGATATTTGCGAATATCAGACGATAACTTTTTGGATTATGGCCCCTGATCGTACAAAAAATCACATTTTTAGCTTGTGGGTCCTCCAGAGGTCACATTTTTTATTCGATTTTAAAAACCATTTTAATATATCACTGTTACACTCTGATGATGGTTAAATCCAAATTTCAAGAAAATCGGACTGAAGCTGTCAGACAAAATAGCCACTGCCTGAAAGCAAATAGTGTAAAAGTGTGTAGATTGTGGACCCTCTCTATAAGTCACAATTTTTGTCCAATTTAGATGAAACATATAATATATGCTTACATCCCAAAACTCTCAGTTCCTTTCAATAATCGCACATTTCAGACCATAACTTGCCGGTTTGTACAAAAAATTGCTGGGGTTTTTTTTTGGCTCGTTCTCTATCTAGCTCTTGGAAAATGTGGCCGTATCTTGCCTGGCAAACGCTGGTTTACAATATGTTGATGTTTTTATTACAGCAGGGACCAGACAGGGAATTATAATTTATAATGTTTACAAAATTTATAAAAGATGTTTTGTAAAAGTTTTCTTGATTATCTGGGGGTACATTTTATAGGGCTGACCCTGGTGAACAGCACGTACAGCATGATTTACATGAAAATCATGGAGAACACATTACCATTTCAGAAGTCAGGTTGCGTTTTTGAGGACATTTCATGGGTTCAATTCTGTGTTTGGGATGGAGCCTTATTGCTCAGGTAAAGTTGAAGATGTGGTCACAAATATACAATGCGTCTATTCAGAGTAACATACCAACTTGACGTTTCTTTTGCTGCTTAGTATATTTTCTGTTAGTGACCTTTATACTATAGACAATGGTAAGTATATCCAATTAAAACCACAGTGTTATTATATGTAAATGTGTATCAATTTAGTACCATCTCTTTGTAATTACATTATTTATAAATAGTCCCAAGTACTTTAAAATGTTATGAAACCAGTGTTGAAATCAGTTTGTATCGGCACACCTTTTATCTTTTCACCGTAAAACAAGCAGCTTTACAGTTGTGCTAATATTTTTGGGTATATATTACAGGTCATAGATTGAATTTTCATTTCCATTAATTTTTATCGTTTTCCCTTCACTAATAATTATTGTCATGCGCATGTATCATAATAATGCCATGACATCATTTAATTGTTTACTATCTCATTATTAAATGCTTGATGATACCTTTAGTGGGTGAAAGCGCTAGCTAAGATGAAATTATTTTTTCCTTTCTAAAACTTCATATTTCTAAATACATTTACCAGAGAGTAGAATCCTTTATGTATATTAAAACAACTGCTGTATTGTCTATTCAGCAAAAACTGATATATTAGTTTTCCAAGAAACCTAAATCTACGGTCATACTTTTCCACTCATTACATGTTTTGTGGCATGTAAGTATAGGATATTAACCTACCCGAGGTTGATATGATTTTGTGATTCCTACTCCACAACTTTAGTTTAAGGGATGGTAGGGTACAACTTTCAATATCAGCCCACCAACTCAAAGACTTTGAAGACTTCTGATTTAGTTTCTATTCAGTTCTAAAAGTAGGATTTAATTTCATCATTATGCTAGTATTTTATATTCAGCCTCACATATCACACAATGCAGATATTGCTTTATCATTGATTTTAAGAAGATCACCATTGATTGGTGAATTGTTGCTACCTTAGTTTTAAAACAGAATATTCATTCCTTATATTTTGTTATATTTAATTTTTTTGAGATTTTTATTACAAATGTTTGCTATATTTAAACTTTTATGTAATATTTTTGTAGATCAAACAACGTATATGTCACCCTTACAACTCAATGACTGCCAATATATTACACACTCTTATTCTTAAACTCTTGTACAATTGCTGTCATTGAAATTCAATATACAGTAAACTGTAACACATAAATATACCCGTAGCTGTTTTCCATAAATATGTGTTTTGGTTTTTACTAAATGCCATTTAAAGATTATTGTAACACATATGTGGTATTATTTATTACTCTGTCCAGTTACATGTACTAATGCCTCTAAAAGATTATAAATTTCAATATTTTCTATTTTCTAGACTGTTATTTGACATTGAAGCTCCATGTAATCACTGGCCTAAATCACTATTAATGACCCAAATGCAATTCGATATGAATATTTGTTAGTTGTTTTGACACAACTTCAGGAGTTATTGGATTATGATGAGTTGTTTAAGGCTGAGATATGGTTGACTTTGGTAATGAATACATTCGTGATATTGTATAACTATAATTTAAAACTGTGATATCAATTGCTTTGTACTATATTTAGTATATTATTATAGAAACATGTTTTTTATGTGGTTATATGTGAAGGTATATTGTCTTAACATGCAACTGTCGTCCATCCAGAATTTCTTGTGAAAGTCGCGGATTATGGCCCATGGTTGTTTGAAAAATCGCATTTTTAGCTTGCGGATTCTATAGAGGTCACAATTTTTTTCCAATTTTAAAAACTGTTTAAACACATCACCATTCCACCATAATGAAGGTTGAATTCAAATTTCGGGAAAATTGAAATGAAATCCGATTTTGATGAAACTTAAAACATATCTTTATATCCCAAAGATCTCAGTCCCTTTTGATATTTGCACATTTCAGGCCATAACTTTCTGGATAATTGCCCCTGATTGTACAAAAAATCATGTTTGTTTTTAGCTTGTTCTCTATCCGTCTCTTGCAAAATGAGGGTGTATCCTGCCTGGCAGCCGCTGGTTAAACTTGCAGGTATTTTTCATTGGATCATCAGGAAGTTTAGAACTTTTTTGAGAGCAAATCGTGGAATTATCAGCCTGTTTACATTCAAACTTAGAAATATTTAAAGATAAAAAAACGCAGTGGGATTGGTAATAAGAGTATAAATTTTGTGATTTCAAATTTTTAAGGCGTTTCACTGAGCTATCTTTCCATTCACAATTTTACATTCTAATTGTGACAGCAATACAGGATAGGGTCTTCGATGGTGTGTTCATTAGGACATCAAGTAGAACTCTATCAATTTTCAATCATATTGTTCAGAGTTATCTCTGCATTGATGTTTTGATAAAGGACTAAATGTAATTCTTAAAACTTGGTTCGATTTTTTAAAAATTTACACAGCAGAATTTGTTGACAATGATTTTAGATCAAACATGAGTGACTTTGCTGCTGGTGGGCATATTGGGGTCCAGATAAGTTCAGTTAGTAGTTAAGTTTGTTAACATAAAATGAAAGCACCGTTAAAATTTGTATTTTGACAAAACAAGAAAATAATTGTTTAAATCTGACACTTTTTTTTTCTAGAAAAATTGTGATATTTATTGCCTTTTTTTAAAATTAATTTTAGCTTAATTTCAATAAAAATACATTTTTTGAAAACTGTTGTTATAAATATATATTTATAACCAGACAGTTTGTCTAACTAAAGTTCAAACAGTGGAAATGAGCATGTTAATGTATTAAGGTTGATCTTGTGTTCAACAAGGATTTTAACATCCCTAGTTTGTGCCATAGGTCTTAGGTTAGATTTGCCCTAGTTGGCTGAATTATTAATCTATTTTGCATTTTGTTTGGTTTATAACTACAAAAATGTTTTAGGAAAGCCGGACCCTTGAAAATAGGATGTGATGTCATATGTAACTCAAGAGCACAAAAGTTGTTTATGAATTGATCACTAAATCCCCAGTCATTCGAAAAATTAAAAAGAAGCATGGTGTTTTAACATCCCACTCAACTAGGTCATTTTGGGACTAACTTTGTAAATCTTTATTTAATGAATCACATGCACGCATGGGTCTTTAACAGTGAGAGGGACCCAGGAGAAAACCCACAGGGAAAGGCAGATGGCCTAAAAACGGCAGTGTTTTCAATATATTTATTTAAGAATTTTAATAAATTTTTAGACGACTGGAAACTGGTCTTGGGTCTACTTATGGCAGAAGACGTTACTGTAGCTTTGAAAAGTCAGAGGAGAGGTCTCCCTATGGATCATTTACATCAAAATCATTAAAAAACACAATTTTCCCTGATTGGCCCTCGAAGTTTGGACTGACTGATGGACAGATTTGTGTGGTAAAAAGCATACACACTCCAAGTGAGTGTCAGCAAATTTAATTCGACACTTGCAGTGCCATATATGAACAGGGCCCACAACAGGCCCCCCCCCCCCCCCCCCCCCCCCCCCCGGGCCCTGGAACAAGCAACTTGGAAGATACATGTTCTCTAACGTCATTTTGGCATTTATCTGGGTTAACTGGAGGTCACTTTGTTAAAATACAGAAAATGAGATTTAACACAACAACATATGATATACTAAATACATGAACAGCGTTTTAGTTTTACTGATGTAATAATAATCAGATGTAAACGATTTTGACAGGAAATTTTAAGCAAGCAAACAAATGGAAAACAAAAACTGTGACCATCAAATGCCAAAATACTATGTGTTTATTGTTTTTAATACCCAAAATACAAGCTTCTCCTGGAGATATTAGTGTCGTATTACGTTGTCATTGGTCGGAAAAAGGTCTGCAATTGGCAAAAATATCGAAATTTTTAGCAACTAAAGAAAAGATGGTAAAAGTTTGGCTTACAGTTCGTTTTTATACGCCCACATTGAAATGTGGTCGTATATTGTCGTCGCCCCCGTCCGTCCGTCGGTGGCGTCCACAAGCAATTGTGGACGCTCTAGAGGCTAAAGTCAATATCTGATTGACTTTAAATTTATACACAGTGTTTAAGGTCTTGAGACGAAGAAGCCTATTGATTTTCAGCGATTTCTGATAATTACTGCCAGAGTTATGGCCCTTGATCACTTTGAAAAATCTTGTGGACGCTCTACAGGCCAAAGTTAATATCCAATTGACCTTAAATTTATACACAGTGTTTGAGGTCATGAGACGAAGAAGCCTATTGATTTTCAACAATTTCCGATAATTACTGCCAGAGTTATGGCCCTTGATCACTTCAAAAAATCTTGTGGACGCTCTAAAGTTATCATCCGATTGACTTCAGATTGATACACAGAGTTTAAGATCTTGAGACGAACAAGTATATTGATTTTCAATGAATTTTTATGACTTGAACAGTTAAATCCATGATATTAAAAGCTTTGCATACAAAACGTTAGCATGGGGCAGAACTTTATAAAAACCAAACAAATTCTAATAGTTTTCTGATAATTACTTTGTGAGTTGTTGTTCTTAATCAGATTTTAGTGTATTATAAATGTTTCATTACCGAAAAAAGTAAAAATATGCGACAACTCTTGTTGACTGCCCGGACGATTTAGTTGCTGTGGGCGTATGTTTCGTTGCCTGGCAACCTATCTTTAATAATCACATACCAGTCAGCCTACCTAGAGGGATTGATAACCACTTGCATGAAAGGTGCTTCGTCAGTATGTGAATCAAATATCAAAATATGACAAAATAGTCTGTTTACGATGTCTGAAAGTTTCCATTCAAGATATTGATCCATCCAGAAATGTTCGTCAGATGTGCTTAACAGGGTAATAAAACTCATTAAAGAGATTTCATTCCTGAATTGTTTGAGTGACTTGATTCTCAAATACAGCAATGTGGATGTCACATGCTACTTACACATCCTGGAATTTGGAGACTTATAACCAACACCATATGATAACTGAAAACTTGTATTTCCTTGAAAGTGTGTCAAAAAGCCTTTAAAAAGGTTTGCCGAGAATATTTTATCCTTGTACTATTTGAATTAAATGCTTTTAACTATGTACCCCTTGCAACAAGCTAATGAAACTTATGAACCAGCGGCTGCCAGGCAGGATACGCCCATAATTTTGCGAGAGATGGATAGAGAACAAGCTAAAAAAAAAAAGCAATTTTCCTTACAATCAGTGGCCATAATCCAGGTAGTTATGATCTGAAATGCGCAAATATCGCAATGGTCTCAGATATTTGGGATATAAAGATATATTTTAAGATTCATCAATATCTGATAAAAAAACGTGATTTTTCATACAATTAGGGGCTATAATCCAGGAAGTTATGGTCCGATATGTGCAAATATCGACAGGAACCAAGATCTTTGGATTATAATCATACATTTCAAGTTTCATCAAAATTGGATAAACATTATTGTGACTTCTAGAGGGTCCACAACCTTGGTATTACATACTTTACACTATTTGTGTACAAGGAGCAGCCATTTTGTCCGGCAGTTTGGGTCAGAATTTTACAAATTTTTACTCAACCTTCATTGATGTGTAACGGTGATACATTTAAACGTTTTTTAAAATTGAATACAAATTGTGACTTCTAGCGGGTCCACGAGCTAAAAATGCGATTTTTCGAACAATCGGGGGCCATAATCCAGGAAGTCGCATTTGGATATGCGCGATCATCGAAAGGAACTAAGAACTTTGTGATACAAATTTCAAGTTTCATCAAAATCGGATAAAAATTGTGGCCCCTAGAGGATCCACAACCTTGATATACCATATTTTTACACAATTTGCGTACGAGGGGCAGCCATTTTGTCCGGCAGTTTTGGTCCGATTTTCACAAAATTCGATCTCAACCTACATTACGGTGTAGGACCACAAGCAGAAAACACGATATTTTGTACAATCAGGTGCCATAATTCAGGAAGTTCCGATCTGATACACGTGAATATCAAAAGGAACCAAGATTTTTGGGTTATAAACATGCATTACAAGTTTCATCAAAATCAGATGAAAATTGTGACCTCTAGAGTGTTCACAAGCTAAAAACGTGATTTTTCGTACAATCAGGGGCCATAATCAATCAAGTTATAGTCCGATACATGCCAATATCGAAAGGAACCGAAATCATTGGGAGACGGACCTATATTTCAAGTTTCAGCAAAATCGGATAAAAATTGTGACCTGTAGAGTGTCCATAAATTGTGGACGGACACACGAACAGACAAGGGCGATGACAATATAAGTTCACATGAAAATGTGGTTGTATAAAAACTTGATATTCCTGCCCTCAGATTTTTGTACTCAGATCTTCACTCCCAGAAATAGCATGTTTTTATAATTATTATGACTGTTCCCAAATCCTTATATGTCAAATATATGTTTATAAATTTATAATGAAGCTGGTGATTAGCATTTACCATGGGAGATGTTAGATGGGTAATGTTACAGATAATTTGGACCACAAAGTAATAGCGGATCTTAATAGACACTGCTCACAGTGTAGATAAGAACACTCATGGGGCCATTTTATTTTGGCCAACAATGTTTATTCATGTGACTGATAGTAAAATATTATGGTCTGATTACAAGCTTATATTAGGACTTTAATTTACCATACATTGTAAACAATTGAGAAAAATCAGTGCTAACATGAGAAGTGAGGGAACAGGAGGTTGTGGAAAGATGAATATCGATAGGGTTCTTCCCCTCATGACACCAAATTTGAACAAATCTGTTAAAAACTGTTGTCTCTATCAAGTTCTCTTATAGACTGAAGGACTAAGTGCCGCCTTAACTTGCACACATTGAAATGTGTTGATGTTACATTCAGTTGTATGGTATGCTAGTCTTCAAAATGAACTGAAATAGTTAAAATTAAATAATTTTTATTCAAGAATGAAAAAGCAACTTGATAATAAAATAAACCATTCCTTGAAAATAACAAAACACAATAACAATAGGAATGTATTTCAATCTCTTATTTTATCTTCAAATGTGGAAGAAAAATAAAACCAGTGTTTGCCATGCAAGATACGCCCACAATATGCACGAATATCGTCAGGAACCGAGATCTTTTGGATATAAGCATATATTTTAATTTTCATCAAGATCGGATAAAAATTACGACTTTTAGAGAGTCCACAACCTTGATATACCATATTTTTTACACTATTTGCATACAAGGAGCAGCCATTTTGTCCATCAGTTTCAGTCGGATTTGAACTCAACCTTCATTGGGGGGTAACAGTGATACATTTAAATGATTTTAAAATTGACTACAAATTGTGACTTCTTGAGGGTCCAATCCACAAGCTAAAAATTTGATTTTTCTAACAATAAGGGGCCATAATCCAGGAATTTGCGTCCCGATATTTGTGATTATCGAAATGAACCAAGATCTTTGTGACAAATTTTTTTTAAAGTTTCACCAAAATTGTGACCTCTAGAGGGTCCACAACCTTGATATACCATATTTTTATGCTATTTGCATATGGGGAGCGGCCATTTTGTTTGTCAGTTTCAGTCCAATTTTAACGAAATACACACTCAACCATCATTATATATTTGAACGTTAGGGCCACAAGCTAAAAACGTGATTTATTGTACAATTTGGGGCAATAATCGAAATATCGAAAGGTACCACGATCTATTTGTGTCATAAACATACATTTCAAGTTTCATCAAATTCGGATGAAAATTGTGACCTCCAGAGTGTCCACAAGCTAAAAACTTGATTTTTCGTACAATAGGGGGTCATAATCCACGAAGTTACAGTCCAATACTGAGATCTTTGGGAGATAGACCTATATTTCATCTAAATCGGATAAACATTGTGACTTGTGGAGTGTCCACAAACAAAGAGAGAGAGGGAGATGGAGTTTAACATCCACTGGACACAAACTAGGTCATTTCGGGACAAACGTGGTTTAATTCTTTTTTATTTCAATAATTCGCTTGTGCATAGGGGTCTTTAGCAGTGGGAGGAAACCGGAGGACCCGGAGAAAACTCACGAGGTTGGACAGGTGACCCTAATCCTTGTCATGTACAACCGGGGATTTGAAACCACGTCAGTTTACTCAATGACAGGCCTTATGATAAACCCACCCCCCCATGTCCACAAACAAATTATGGACGGACATGCTGGGGCAACGACAATATACGTCCACATGAAAAAGTTATAAATTCAACATTCTCAACAAAACTTGCAAATTTATATTTATAATAATATACAAATTGTGACACATCTTTTGTTAATTGTAACCTTTAAATTTCCTTACTTTAAACCTTTTATATGTAATTAAACTTACATATTAAATTTACAATTAAATAGACATCAGTATTTTCATGACCTTTGCTAAAATTATAATTTTCAATCCACAGTGATTTTACTACTGTAAACCAAGAAACTAACATAAACAACATAACACCAGAATATACATTTTATGCTAAAGTGACACGATCTGACAAACATAT